CTCCACCAAACCACTCCCCCTCCCCTCCCTCTCCACCAAACCACTCTCCCCCCCCTCTCCACCAAACCTAACATCCAGCATTTTCTTTTCTTTGTCACAACAGGGAGAGTGAAATTGGCCTTTTCTGTTCAGCCCTCTTAGGTTTAAGAAAATCCGATAACTCAAGTGCGCGCACTCGCGAGAAACAGGAAGAGGGTGAAGGCGGTAAACACATACGCCTGGGAGAAACAACAGTTTGAGTTTTAAAGAGAGGGTTGCATGGTCAGAAATTACTATAGGTTGGTAATCACTGACGACAGTAGCTCAGTTGGTAGAGCATTGGCCTTAAGGCCTGAAGGTAGTGGGTTCAATTCCCACCTCTACACCTTCTCCATCGACTCCCACTGATGACTGCTGCCGTTGTGTCCTTGGGCAAGACACTTGACCCCACTCTGCCCAAAGCCCCCACTGGAAGATCAAGGCTATGCTCACACTCAGAGAGCAGCCGTCCTCCTGTGGACTCACCACCTGCAGAGGGTCAGTGAGGGGCTGGTGCTATGAGACTTGGGTGGCATCTCTGACTGCCACCCCCCTGACCCAGAAATGGATTAAAGGGTAGAAAATGGATGGATGGATGGTAATCACTGACTGACCATGTACGGTCATTTTGTTTTTATCAATAAAAAAATAATAAATTCTACTGTACGTTTGATGAAAAGGAATATTGTCTATCTTGAGGGTGCAGAAAAAAACTATCAGAGTGGATAATAATAATTAAATACAAGAAACGGCTTTTGATGTTGTACTATATATACAAGCCTGACGGATGACCGGTCCATCCCAGGGTTCAAACACAGATTCAAATCTCCTCCCATTACAAGCAACTGTGAGTTTAAGGAAAGTATTAGCTTGAAAAAACGTGTAAAAAATTGAGGATCGTCACAGTTTAAGATAAGATAAGAATTCCTTTATTCGTCCCACAGTGGGGAAATTTTGATGTTGCATCACACATATAGGACAGTAGTAAGAGCACACAGGGATCACACACAATATATACAAATAAGTAGTAGCTATGTTTCTTAGCTAACATAACTAGCTGTAGATGCTGAAAATGCTTCAATACCAGTCAAAAAATATATATGTAGTAGTGCAATTATATACTGTACAGTTAAATAGCGCAGGATAAAAAGTATATAAGTAAAGTGACATGAGGTAAAGTGACATTGTTCTGTGACATTCTGAAGTTGCAGTATTGCACATTGGACATGATTTAAGAATTTACTTAATTATAGATGAATGAAATTTACAGGCTCAGCAGTTCTTATTGTACAGTCTGACAGCAGCAGGAAGGAAAGACCTACGGAACCTCTCCTTCACACAGCGAGGGTGAATTAGTCTGTCACTGAAGCTGCTCTCCAGAGCAGAGAGAGTGCCCTGCAGGGGGCGACAGTCATGGTCCAGCATAGATGTTAGTTTGCTCAGGACCCTCCTGTCCCCCACCTGCTGCACTGTGTCCAGGGAACAGCCCAGGACTGAGCTGGACTTCCTGATGTTCCAGCTTCTTCCTGTCCCTCTCTGTGATGCTGCTGTTCCAGCAGACCACACCGTACAAGAGGCTGATGCCACCACAGAGTCATAGAAGGTCTTCAGGAGTGGCCCCTGCACTCCAAAAGACCTGAGCCTCCTCAGTAGGTAGAGCCGGCTCTGGCCCTTCTTGAAGAGGGCGTCTGTGTTATGAGTCCAGTCCAGTTTGTGGTTCAGATGAACACCCAGGTACTTGTAAGAGTCCACTCTCTCGCTGTCCCTTCCCTGGATGTTCACTGGAGCTGGAGCTGCAGAGTGACGTCTGCGGAAATCCACCACCATCTCCTTGGTCTTCCTCACGTTGATGAGGAGGTGGTTCATCTCCTTGGTCTTCCCCGCGTTGATGAGGAGGTGGTTCATCTCCTTGGTCTTCCCCGCGTTGATGAGGAGGTGGTTCATCTCCTTGGTCTTCCCCGCGTTGATGAGGAGGTGGTTCATCTCCTTGGTCTTCCCCGCGTTAATGAGGAGGTGGTTCATCTCCTTGGTCTTCCCCGCGTAGATGAGGAGGTGGTTCCGCTGACACCAGTCCACAAAGTTCTGTATAACTCTTCTGTACTCTGTGTCATCGTCCTCGGAGCTGAGTCTGATGATGGCAGAGTCGTCGGAGAACTTCTGGAGGACACAACCGCCCGTGTTGTGTCTGAAGTCCGCAGTGTAGAGGGTGAAGAGGAACGGCGCAAGGACAGTTCCCTGGGGGTCCCCCACACTGCAGGTCAGGACCTCAGACACGCAGTCCCTGGTTCTCACAAACTGGGGTCTGTCTGTGAGGTAGTCCAGGATCCACTGGGACAGGTCGTAGTCCACACCGGCTGTCTTCATCTTGTCCCTGAGAAGCTTCGGCTGGATGGTGTTGAAGGCGCTGGAGAAGTCAAAGAAGAGGATCCTCACAGTGGAGCCGGGTTTCTCCAGGTGGGACAGGGAGCGATGGAAGAGGGAGATGATGGCGCCCTCGACTCCGATGCCCGGCCTGTAGGCGAACTGCAGCGGGTCCATCGAGTTAAATGATTGTGAGCGTGGGAATACGTCCTATCCCAAGTATTTGTAAGACAAATTATGTAGGTGCGGACCAACCAAAAACAAATTCAGATATAAATATTTTTTTAAATATATAATTTTATTTTGAAAACATGTTAAAATGTTTAAAAGACGACTGGGGACAATCTATAGTCTTTTGGGGGAATCCTGCGACCTGCTCCCCCGGGTCAGGGTCCGCGGCTCTGCCGCTTGGCTGGATTCGCTGTTCTGCTGCATACTCCGCTTTGTAGACAGTTGTTTTTGGTCTTTGCCGTATTCCCGCGTGGAACCGTTTGGATCTGGTTCTTCGTGCGACCTGGTCCCGTTCGCTCTGCGCTCCAACTCGTGTCTCAGTTCTGTTCTGTGTCCCGTTGCTCCTTTCCCTGTCCCTCATTATCACTCAGATTCTTCTTCTGTTAAATTCCGGCAGAATCACTTGATTTCAAGCATCCACTCGCGTTTGTATGACAGCTGTCAGTTTTCTGCAGTCCAATATGGCGCAGTGATGGGCGAGCTACTTGATTTGTGTAGTGAGCTGAGCTACAAGCTACTCAACACTAAATTCAGCTTCATTACACAGAAGCTACCACCCATAAAAATGAAGCAAGCTAAGTTACAAAATCTTGTCAAAAGTAGCTTGATTAAAATGTTAATCGTTTGACAGCCCTAATATACTGTATATACCAGGGCTGTCAAACGATTAACATTTTAATTAATTACAGCTTAAAAATTAATCATAATAAATCGCATTTCAAACTACCAGAAAAAGTATGCCATAATATTCTGTAAATGGTTGTTTGAATGGAAAAAAAATTACAACATAGTGTAAATATGTACTGTTGTTTATTAAACAACAATAAATCCACATAAAATAGCATTACCATTAACATTATGTTTTTTCTGTAGAAGGCAGTATATTTTGAAAGTTGTATTAAAAGTTAAGTAGAGTAGAAACTGCGTGACGTTGTTTCTCCTCCAACGAGTGGCAGCGCTTTTATAAACAGGCCACGCCTCCTCTAGAATATGCAGCACTGTTACTAACAGGCCATGCCTCCTCTAGAGTCTGCAGCGCTGTTACTAACAGGCCACGCCTCCTCTAGAGTCTGCAGCGCTGTTACTAACAGGCCACGCCTCCTCTGGAGTATACAGCACTGTTACTAACAGGCCATGCCTCCTCTAGAGTCTGCAGCGCTGTTACTCACAGGCCATGCCTCCTCTAGAGTACGCAGCGCTGTTACTAACAGGCCACGCCTCCTCTAGAATATGCAGCACTGTTACTAACAGGCCATGCCTCCTCTAGAGTCTGCAGCGCTGTTACTAACAGGCCACGCCTCCTCTAGAGTCTGCAGCGCTGTTACTAACAGGCCACGCCTCCTCTGGAGTATACAGCACTGTTACTAACAGGCCATGCCTCCTCTAGAGTCTGCAGCGCTGTTACTAACAGGCCACGCCTCCTCTAGAGTACGCAGCGCTGTTACTCACAGGCCATGCCTCCTCTAGAGTCTGCAGCGCTGTTACTAACAGGCCACGCCTCCTCTAGAGTCTGCAGCGCTGTTACTAACAGGCCACGCCTCCTCTAGAGTACGCAGCGCTGTTACTAACAGGCCATGCCTCTTCTAGAGTATGCAGCGCTGTTACTAACAGGCCACGCCTCCTCTAGAGTACGCAGCGCTGTTACTAACAGGCCATGCCTCCTCTAGAGTATGCAGAGCTGTTACTAACAGGCCACGCCTCCTCTAGAGTATGCAGCGCTGTTACTAACAGGCCATGCCTCCTCTAGAGTATGCAGCGCTGTTACTCACAGGCCATGCCTCCTCTAGCCTCTGCAGCGCTGTTACTAACAGGCCACGCCTCCTCTGGAGTATACAGCGCTGTTACTAACAGGCCATGCCTCCTCTAGAGTCTGCAGCGCTGTTACTAACAGGCCATGCCTCTTCTAGAGTATACAGCGCTGTTACTAACAGGCCATGCCTCCTCTAGCCTCTGCAGCGCTGTTACTAACAGGCCATGCCTCTTCTAGAGTATACAGCGCTGTTACTAACAGGCCATGCCTCCTCTAGAGTCTGCAGCGCTGTTACTAACAGGCCATGCCTCTTCTAGAGTATACAGCGCTGTTACTAACAGGCCATGCCTCCTCTAGCCTCTGCAGCGCTGTTACTAACAGGCCATGCCTCTTCTAGAGTATACAGCGCTGTTACTAACAGGCCATGCCTCCTCTAGAGTCTGCAGCGCTGTTACTAACAGGCCACGCCTCCTCTGGAGTATACAGCGCTGTTACTAACAGGCCATGCCTCCTCTAGAGTCTGCAGCGCTGTTACTAACAGGCCATGCCTCTTCTAGAGTATACAGCGCTGTTACTAACAGGCCATGCCTCCTCTAGAGTCTGCAGCGCTGTTACTAACAGGCCACGCCTCCTCTAGAGTATGCAGCGCTGTTACGAACAGGCCATGCCTCCTCTAGAGTATGCAGCGCTGTTACTCACAGGCCATGCCTCCTCTAGAGTCTGCAGCGCTGTTACTAACAGGCCACGCCTCCTCTGGAGTATACAGCGCTGTTACTAACAGGCCACGCCTCCTCTAGAGTATGCAGCGCTGTTACTAACAGGCCACGCCTCCTCTAGAGTATGCAGCGCTGTTACTAACAGGCCATACCTCCTCTAGAGTCTGCAGCGCTGTTACTAACAGGCCACGCCTCCTCTAGAGTATGCAGCGCTGTTACGAACAGGCCACGCCTCCTCTAGCGTCTGCAGCACTGTTACGAACAGGCCACGCCTCTTCTAGCGTCTGCAGTGCTGTTATGAACAGGCCACGCCTCCTCTAGCGTCTGCAGCGCTGGCAAACACAACAGCATGGCAGGAGAAGCAGGTAGAGCCACCTACCTGCTCTGGCTGTAACTGCAGGCACAGCAAAACAGCCCAAACGACACAACAGTGAGGAAGAGAAGAGGGAACTAAAGCCAAAAAAGGATCGAAGAAGAAATCAAGCCCGGGTGAACATAGCTAGCTTACATCGTATCCTCTGGAGAGACTTGTCTATGGGAGAGACCTGCGGGACTACGCTTCTGACTACATTTGGACTAGAAACTAGCTGTAATCTTTCACTTATATATTTTGTTAGCAGTGCGTTGCTTTTGTACCACTTCATCAGTGATTGCTGTACAGCAGTGGTTCTCAAAGTGGGGTATGCGTACCCCTAGGGGTGGGCGGGGCTCCCTCTAGGGGTACACCAAAGGGTCACTTTTTTTTTATTTAACCAGAAAAGTACTATTGAGATTAACTCATTGACCTCAACATTGCTTTTCAGCAGGTGGCAGCAGAGCACTGTGGGTGTCTTGGTCAAAGATCACTCTGAGAACTCTGAGCAGGAGAGACAGAGGTGAAGCAGACATGGAGTAATATAGTCAGGGTCAGGCTACATTTGGAGGCAGTTTGAGCAGTAAATGTGTCTCTAAAGCTGACACAGACCATGTGGAGGGTCAGAGCAGCAGACCATGTGGAGGGTCAGGGCAGCAGACCATGTGGAAGGTCAGGGCAGCAGACCATGTGGAGGGTCAGGACAGCTGACCAGCAGTGCACTCTAAAAAAAGCCACAGAAAAGTGGACTATTGCTAAAACTATCACCGAGTCTGCACCAGGAGCCAGCGGCAAAGTCCAGTTATGGTCACTGCGCTCGGACTAAACAGAACGACACTCTGTAGATGAAACAACACAAACGCATAAACGCACAAACATACGCGCCCAAACACACAAAGACACTCAACAGTATTCTATTGCACTTATAGTATAATTCACCAGAATCGACTTTTTCCGGGTGAGCATCATGGCCTTGGATTTTCAGGTGCTGATTCCCATCCCAGCTGCTTCACACTCGGCTGCAAACCGTACCAGTGCATGCTGCAGGTCCTGGTTCGTTGGAGCCAGCAGGACAACATCATCCGCAAAAAACAGAGATGAAATCCTGTGGTCCCCGAACCGGACCCCCTCCGGCCCCTGGCTGCGCCTAGAAATTATGTCCATAAACACAGTGAACAGAACCGGTGACAAAGGTCAGCCTTGGCGGAGGCCAACATGCAGCGGGAACAGGTCTGACTTACTGCCGGCAATGCGAACGCAGCTCTGGCTCTGGTCATACAGGGACCGGACGGCCCTCAGCAGAGGACCCCGGACCCCGTAGTCCCGGAGAACCCCCCCAAAGGACACCCCGGGGAACACGGTCGAACGCCTTCTCCAAATCCACAAAGCACATGTGGACAGGTTGGGCGAACTCCCATGAACCGTTGAGTTCCGATGGAGAGTATAGAGCTGGTCCAGTGTTCTGCGACCGGGACGAAAACCACACTGCTCCTCCTGAATCCGAGATTCGACCATCGGCCGTAGCCTCCTCTCCAGTACCTTGGAGTAAACCTTACCGAGGAGGCTGAGGAGTGTGATCCCACGATAATTGGAACACACCCTCCGATCCCCCTTCTTGTAGAGAGGGACCACCACCCCGGTCTGCCACTCTATTGGCACCGCCCTCGATCGCCACGCGATGTTGTAGAGACGTGTCAGCCAAGACAGTCCTACAACATCCAGAGACTTTAGATAGTCAGGACGGATCTCATCCACTCCCGGCGCCTTGCCACCATGGAGGCTGCCAACCACCATGGAGGCTGCCAACCACCTTGGTGACCTCAGCCAGGGAGATGGAAGTATCCACCCCAACATCCTGAGCCTCTGCCTCCTGGACGGAGGACGTGACGGGGGGATTGAGGAGAACCTCAAAGTATTCCTTCCACCCCCCGACAATATCCCCAGTCGAGGTCAGCAGCTCTCCACCCGCACCATACACAGTGTTGGCAAAGAACTGCTTCCCCCTCCTGAGGCGCCGGACGGTTTGCCAGATCCTCTTCGAGGCCGACCGATAGTCATGCTCCATGGACTCTCCGAACTCCTCCCAGTCCCGGGTTTTTTCCTCTGCAACAGCCCGGGCCGCGGCACGCTTGGCCTGCCGGTACTGGATAGCTGCCTCAGGAGTCCCCCGAACCATCATGGCTCGATAGGACTCCTTCTTCAGCCTGACGGCATCCCTTACTGCCGGTGTCCACCACCGGGTTCGGGGGTTGCCGCCGGGACCAGCACCAGAGACCTTGCAACCACAGCTACGAGCCGCCGCATTGGCGATAGAGGAAGAGAACATGGTCCACTCGGACTCAATTTCCCCCTCCTCTGCCGGGACTTGGGAGAAGCTCTCCCGGAGGTGTGAGTTGAAAGTCCGTCTGACAGGGGGCTCAGCGAGACGTTCCCAGCAAACCCTCACTACACGCTTGGGCCTGCCAGGTCTGACCGGCCTCCTCCCCTGCCAGCGGATCCAACTCACGACCAGGTGATGATCGGTTGAGAGCTCCGCCCCTCTCTTCATCCGAGTGTCCGAGACACAAAGTCGATCATCGACCTCGGCCTAGGGTGTCCTGGTGCCACGTGCACTGGTGGACACCCTTGTGCTCGAGCATGGTGTTCGTGATGGACAGACCGTGACTGGCACAGAAGTCCAACAACTGAGCACCGCTCGGGTTCAGATCAGGGGGGCCGTTCTTCCCGATCACCCCTCTCCAAGTGTCACTGGCATTTCCCACATGGGCGTTGAAGTCCCCCAGGACAATAACGGAGTCCCCGGGCGGTGCACTGTCCAGTACCCCTCCCAAGGACCAAGAAGGCCGGGTACTCTGCACTACCGTTAGGCCCGTAGGCCGTCACAACAGTGAGAGACTTGTCCCCCACCCGGAGGCGGAGGGACGCGACCTTCTCATTCACCGGGGAGAACTCCAACACGTGGCGGCTGAGATGGGGGGCAATGAGAATGGCCACCCCAGCTCGCCGCCTCTCCCCGTGGGAAACACCAGAAAAGTGGAGCGTCCAATCCCTCTCAAGGAGTTGGGTTCCAGAGCCCAAGCTGTGTGTGGAGGTGAGGCCGACTACCTCTAGTCGGTATCGCTCAACTTCCCCCACGAGCTCGGGCTCCTTCCCCCCCAGTGAGGTGACGTTCCACGTCCCAAGAGCCAGCTGTTGTGTGTGCGGACTGGGTTGTCGAGGTCTCCGCCTTCGACTGCTGCCCAGTCCTCGCTGCACCTCGCCACCACGGACCCCTCTGCAGGTGGTGGGCCCTCAGGAGGGACTGCCCACGTCATCCCTTCGGGCTGAGCCCGGCCGGGCCCTGTGGGCTAAGGCCCGGCCACCAAGAGCTCGCTTGCGAGCCCCGACCCTAGGCCTGGCTCCAGGGTGGGGCCCCGGCTGCGCCATGCCGGGCGACGTCAATGCTTTTGTAATAGTGGTGTCCATGGTTGGCTTCGGACTGCGCTTCGTCTGACTCATCACCTGAGACCTGTCTGCCATGGGAGACCCTACCAGGGGCATGAAGCCCCAGACAGCATAGCTCCCAGGATCATCCGAGTACTCAAACTCCCCCACCACGTTAAGGTGGCAGTCCAAGGGGGTGACAGAAATTTTTAAATTGAATATTACTTATGCACATTTTTACGCATTTAAAAACGTTAAGAATGCGTTTCCTCCTACAGAAACCACATTCAAACTAGAAATAAAATATAGCCCTCCCACTCCATTTTCAGACATTTTTTAAAAGGCTCCAGGAGCCACTCCAGGAGCACTAAAGAGCCACATGCGGCTCCGGAGCCGCGGGTTGCCGACCCCTGATCTAGAAGAACAGAATTCTCTGTTATACCTTTAAGTAAAAAAAAAAAAAAAACATTTGTACTTAAAAACTGTTCCAAATCAAATATTACCTCTTAAAAACCTATATTCAAATATTTGGTTGGGCAAATACATGCCTCCACATGACTTTTAGTGTGCATGTGTGTGTGTTCACAGAGGAGCCTGACTGCCAGCCCCTTCTCTGAGCTGCTCAGCCTGAAGGAGCACCACGGGGAGGTGTCCCTGTCTCCAGACGAGACACACATGCTGTGGGTCATGGGACCGGTGCTCTCGGTCATCCTCATCATTCTAACTGTGATCGCCATCTTGGTCTTTAAAAGGTTGGTTCATATATAGTACTATAAAAGGTACCAGACTAGAGTGAGCGTTGGTTCTGTTGCCAGGGCAGTTATGGCAGCTTATTTTTGTGTTCAGAAGAACTGATTTCAAATCCAATGTAATACTATTCACATTTAGAATTATGTATCCTAGATCATCTTGGCATTTATTTTCATGCAAAGCTAAATGTTCCTATTACGTACTTTTAATTCCTTATTGTAATAAAATCATACAAATTCAAATGTAAAAAAACTGTACACTGTAAAAAATGACACTGTACAAAACATCAAAAAGAAGGAAAAACATAAGTAATTATTTATGTCTGGAATAGTGTGTCCACAGCACTGCTCCAGGTGTGTGTAAAAGTCCCATATTTCGCTCTGCTTCATGTTTCACAGTCCATCCTAAGCACATGTGTGAAAATAATTTGGGTAATACATCATACAACACTCAAAACCTATACTATAACCATTTCTTGCATTGAAATTATATCACCTAAATTGGAAAGAGTGGATCTCCTTTTCCTGTGAACTCGCCCACCCCCGTGCAGAGGCCGCCCGGAGACCACAGCCCGCCGCCCGGACCGCCGCCCGGACCGCCGCCCGGACCGCCGCCCGGACCGCCGCCCCCGGACCGCCGCCCGGACCGCCGCCCGGCCCGCCGCCCGCCCGCCCCGACCACGGCCCGCCGCCCGGACCGCCGCCCGGCCCGCCGCCCGGACCACGGCCCGCCGCCCGGACCACGGCCCGCCGCCCGGACCACGGCCCGCCGCCCGGACCACGGCCCGCCGCCCGGACCACGGCCCGCCGCCCGGACCACGGCCCGCCGCCCGGACCACGGCCCGCCGCCCGGACCACAGCCCGCCGCCCGGACCACAGCCCACCGCCCTCCTCCACTCTGTGACATCAGCTCACACAGACTTTGTGGACACACAGCGTGGGGTTCGACGGATTTCAGAGGCAGATTCCCGTGAAAAAAATGTCTAATCATATTAGTCTCTTTCTTTGTCTTAGGGTAATCCAAATAATGTCACATTTTACACCCAAAAACTAGGGCTGTCAAACAATTAAAAAAATTAATCAAGTTAATTACAGCTTAATAATTGCAAATCAGCAAAATTATCCCATATTTTTTCTGTAAATGGTTGTTTGAATGGAAGGATAAATAACAACATATGTATGTGTTTATTATAACGACAATAAATCCATATAAAATGGAATTAACATTATTAACATTCTGTCTTTCTCTAGTGGACTCAGACCAAAAACAGTTTGGTTTCAAAACAGTCTGAAATGAAGAATGTCATTAAATCTGTTTGATGTGCACACAACTTTTAACTTTTGGTCACGACCCACATTCAAGGGAAATTAGGTACCCCAGCTTGCGTCGAAAGCTTTACATTTTTAATTGCGATTAATGAAAAAATGTATCTAACGTGCGTTAACTCGATAATTTTGACAGCCCTACCAAAAACACATTTTCTACAAAAGGACAAGATGCCTACACTTTTAGTCGGTGACAATAGTAGATAAAAGCAGAGATCTATGTGAAGCGAACACACAGTGGCTTGGTCCGGCTATCAGGCTGCGCAAGCTGGTTTTCTGTTTTTATTTCTCCCCTGTCAATCACCTCCTGGAAGTGGGCTTCATCAAAGGCATTTTGCAACATCTCGAGAATGAAAGAGAAAGAGAATCGCTCTCTAACTGAAGCTTGAGGGGAAACAAGGGCATGTGAATAAAGGCACTTCGATCTGGAGAGACCAAGACAGACACAAATGCATTGAGAGAGATTTATTTGTTTGGCGCATTGACCCCGGCAGGGACACTTGAAGAGGGGAGATCACCACCATGGCTTACATGTGGAACAGACACGTTGGAGCATGCTGGACTACTAATGTAAAATTCTCTGTGGGATATTTTGTACAGACTTTGTAATTTCTTTTTTAGTTTAGGTCCTGGACCTGTGTTTTCTTATGTGTGTTTTTCAATCATTTGTACTTCGTAAGCTAAGATTGTGTTTTTATCATTGTAATTTCAATTAATGAGTACATACCTGTGCAGAAACTACAGATATTGTGCCAATTATCTATTCTTTTGAACATGTTGGGAAAACTAAATCTCTCTGTTTCTCTCTCTCTGTGTCTGTCTCTCTCTGTGCCTGTGTTGCAGTCAACAGGAGAGGTGAGTATTCAAACAGAATTTCTCATGCCGTTTTGAAAAACACACAATAAGGGTTGCATTGACAGGCAGAGGGTGTAAAATATCAGTCAATCAAATATCATGAGAACGTTAACCTAACTTGATACGCACCCATGAAAGTACCAACGGTGGTGTTTAGTTGTGGATAACCCTACACACTGAAGTTAAAGATGTAGTCAATAATTTATCCAGACGCAATTTTTAAAATACTGTGGGGAAAAAAACTAGTCATGTTATCATGTGTTTTCACCATATACCGTAAATATTTACGGACGTAGTCACGCCTATCGACGTTTAAACTACCACCACTTTCGCCGTCTATGGGCAGTTTCAAAATGGCCGCGGGGGCTGAAAAATGTGAATAAACGCATTTGTGCATGCGTCAACTGCACAATCACCTGACTCTGGCCAGACCCTTGTAGTTCGCTGAGCTTCTCACAAGGGTAAAAAAAATCCTTATATGTGATTGGATAAACCACTTGTATGTTTTCTTGAATGACGTGTTCCTTCCTGAGAGGAAGAGGATACAGAGGAGGTAAAAGAAGTGGGGCTGAGGGACTTTAGATTGCGGTATGTTATTGTGGGTGTTTGTTTGAGAGTTTGACTGGGTATGGTAGTATTGACGGTGACAGCTAGGTGGTCGGAGAGGGATTGATAATGAGGCAGAGGAGCAGATGAGATCGAGAATTTGACCATGAGAGTGAGTGGGAGAGTTTACATGCTGGATGAGGTTTAGGCAGTTTAAAATATCCAGAAAATCGGCTATGAATTTGGCGTGTGTATTATCAACATGGATGTTGAAATCTCCAAGGAGGAGAACAGAGGGAGAGATGGAGGAGAGCTGTGTGTAAAAGTCTGTAAAGTCTGAAAGGAATGAAGTACAGGTTTCGGGGGGGGGGGGGGGGGGGGGGGGGGCGGTATATAATGGCAACGATGGGAGATTGTGAACCAGAGAGTCTGAAGACCAGGTGTTGGAATGTGGTAGTGGCAGGGATGAAGATGGGGCGAAGATTGAGGTTGTGCTGTAGATGACTGCGATGCCTCCTGACGTTCAGGGCGGGGGTGTCGAGGTACAAGAATCAGAATCAGAATCATTTTTATTATTTATTTTACATACCCCAAGCGACTTGCAGCTGTAATTGCAGCAAAAGGTGGCGCTACAAAGTATTAGCGCAAGGGGGCCGAATAATATTGCACGCCCCACTTTTCAGCTTTTTATTTGTTAAAAATGTTTAAATTATCCAATAAATTTCATTCCACTTCACGATTGTGTCCCACTTGTTGTTGATTCTTGTCAAAAAATGTAATTTTTATATTTTTATGTTTGAAGCCTGAAATGTGGCGAAATGTTGAAAGGTTCAAGGGGGCCGAATACTTTCGCAAGGCACTGTACATACATACATACATATACAAACACATACGCACACATACATACATAAACAGGCACATACGCACACATACATACATAAACAGGCACATACGCACACATACATACATATACAAATGTACAATAATAAAACACAGAGCATTATATAATGTGTCAATAAAACCGAAATGATAGTATTTGTAAAAGTTGTTAATGTGTTGTTAATGGACCAACCACACACACCAGAATATTAAGTTGAATCTTAACTTTGTTCATATTTCTGTAATACAATAAGTTTACAGTGTTTCTTGAATGCATTGAGGTTTGTTGTGCCTTTGAGGAAATGATCTAGATTCTTCCAGAGGCCTCTCCGTGTGATGCAGTGACTGAGGGTGCTACGACTGGACTGTACTGTAAGATTAAAGGCTCTACGCAGACTGTATCCCTCTTCTCCATCAGCAAACATGTTCTGAATCTGCTCTGGGAGTTTGTTATGTTTTGATCATCAGAGTTCTTAACGTTATTAGATCCTTAAGTTTTAGGACACGAGATCTTAAGAATTAAGGATTTGTGTGTTCCCTTTGTCCAACTTTGTGAATGATCCTAATCGCTTTTTTGAACAACAGTTCCAGACTACTTCTGTAGGTGTTTCCCCAAACCTCATGACAGTAGGTGAGGTAAGGGAGGACCAGCGAGCAAAGAAGTGCGCATTGGTTTCTCAACACGGCCCACCCCAAACCCGCAGAAATTAAAACTACTGTTTAATTGTCAAAATCAAAGGACAACTCATTTTAGATATACAACATAAAATGTTTGATTGACTGAATAAATAAAGGTCAATTTACAGAACGGATCAGGACATTAACATTACACATCATACATTTTTTTTTTAAAGATAACATTTCCATGGGTTCGGAACAAATAACTGTTAATGTCAGGCTTGTTATTGAAAATGTATTTTACTCACTGGAAGCGCTTGTGGCCGGTATGCATAAAATGGCTTTTGCCAGAAGTGATAAACTGGGGTATTCACGTTGGTGATCTTTCCGAAAAGAGAGTAACTATTGTAATATAACGCTGAACGTCATCATCTGCCTCAAACAGCTCCTCTGGTGTGTCTTCACACTCAGCAAGAGGCCCACGCCTTTTCTCTGGCATCACTAACATTTATAATAAATACATATTATAACAATCATAATGAAGATGCTTTCAAACTATTTAACAAGCTGTAAACTATTTATATTATACCTCCACACGCGTAACACCTGTGGCCTGCGTAACACCTGTGGCCTGCGTAACACCTGTGGCCTGCCTAACACCTGTAGCCAGCGTAACTCCTGTAGCCAGCGTAACCCCTGTAGCCAGCGTAACACCTGTAGCCAGCGTAACACCTGTAGCCAGTGTAACACCTGTAGCACACGTAACACCTGTAGCCTGCGTAACACCTGTAGCACACGTAACACCTGTAGCCTGTGTAACACCTGTAGCACACGTAACACTTGTAGCCTGCGTAACATTTGTAGCCTGCGTAACACCTGTAGCCTGCTTACCACCTGTAGCACACATAACACCTGTAGCCTGCGTAACACCTGTAGCACACGTAACACCTGTAGCACACGTAACCCCTGTAGCACACGTAACACCTGTAGCCAGCGTAACCCCTGTAGCCAGCGTAACACCTGTAGCCAGCGTAACACCTGTAGCCAGCGTAACACCTGTAGCACACGTAACACCTGTAGCCAGCATAACACCTGTAGCACACGTAACCCCTGTAGCACACGTAACACCTGTAGCCAGCGTAACACCTGTAGCCAGTGTAACACCTGTAGCCAGTGTAACACCTGTATCACACGTAACACCTGTAGCCTGCGTAACACCTGTAGCACACGTAACACTTGTAGCCTGCGTAGCACACGTAACACTTGTAGCCTGCGTAACATTTGTAGCCTGCGTAACACCTGTAGCACACGTAACACTTGTAGCCTGCGTAACACCTGTAGCCTGTGTACCACCTGTAGCACTCGTAACACCTGTAGCCTGCTTACCACCTGTAGCACACATAACACCTGTAGCCTGCGTAACACCTGTAGCACACGTAACACCTGTAGCCAGCGTAACGCCTGTAGCCAGCGTAACACCTGTAGCACACGTAACCCCTGTAGCACACGTAACACCTGTAGCCAGCGTAACACCTGTAGGCAGCGTAACACCTGTAGCCAGCGTAACACCTGTAGCACACGTAACACTTGTAGCCTGCGTAACACCTGTAGCACACGTAACACTTGTAGCCTGCGTAACACCTGTAGCCTGCGTAACACCTGTAGCACACGTAACACCTGTAGCCAGCGTAACGCCTGTAGCCAGCGTAACACCTGTAGCACACGTAACCCCTGTAGCACACGTAACACCTGTAGCCAGCGTAACACCTGTAGGCAGCGTAACACCTGTAGCCAGCGTAACACCTGTAGCACACGTAACACCTGTAGCACACGTAACACCTGTAGCACACGTAACACCCGTGGCCTGCGTAACACCTGTAGCCAGCGTAACTCCTGTAGCACACGTAACACCTGTAGTACGCGTAACACCTGTAGCACGCGTAACACCTGTAGCCTGCTTACCACCTGTAGCACACATAACACCTGTAGCCTGCGTAACACCTGTAGCACACGTAACACCTGTAGCACGCGTAACACCTGTAGCCTGCTTTCCACCTGTAGCACACATAACACCTGTAGCCTGCGTAACACCTGTAGCACACGTAACACCTGTAGCCAGCGTAACGCCTGTAGCCAGCGTAACACCTGTAGCACACGTAACACCTGTAGCCAGCGTAACACCTGTAGCCAGTGTAACACCTGTAGCACACGTAACACCTGTAGCCTGCGTAACACCTGTAGCACACGTAACACCTGTAGCCTGTGTAACACCTGTAGCACACGTAACACTTGTAGCCTGCGTAACATTTGTAGCCTGTGTACCACCTGTAGCACTCGTAACACCTGTAGCCTGCTTACCACCTGTAGCACACATAACACCTGTAGCCTGCGTAACACCTGTAGCACATGTAACACCTGTAGCCTGTGTACCACCTGTAGCACTCGTAACACCTGTAGCCTGCTTACCACCTGTAGCACACATAACACCTGTAGCCTGCGTAACACCTGTAGCACACGTAACCCCTGTAGCCAGCGTAACCCCTGTAGCACACGTAACCCCTGTAGCACACGTAACACCTGTAGCCAGCGTAACACCTGTAGCCAGCGTAACACCTGTAGCACACGTAACACCTGTAGCCAGCATAACACCTGTAGCACACGTAACCCCTGTAGCACACGTAACACCTGTAGCCAGCGTAACACCTGTAGCCAGTGTAACACCTGTAGCCAGTGTAACACCTGTATCACACGTAACACCTGTAGCCTGCGTAACACCTGTAGCACACGTAACACTTGTAGCCTGCGTAACACCTGTAGCACACGTAACACCTGTAGCCAGCGTAACGCCTGTAGCCAGCGTAACACCTGTAGCACACGTAACCCCTGTAGCACACGTAACACCTGTAGCCAGCGTAACACCTGTAGCCAGCGTAACACCTGTAGCCAGCGTAACACCTGTAGCCAGCGTAACACCTGTAGCCAGCGTAACACCTGTAGCACACGTAACACCTGTAGCACACGTAACACCTGTAGCACACGTAACACCCGTGGCCTGCGTAACACCTGTAGCCCTGTCCCGTAACACCTCCTGTAGCACGCGTAACACCTGTAGCCGCTTAACCACCTGTAGCACACGTAACACCTGTAGCCTGCGTAACACCTGTAGCACACATAACACCTGTAGCCTGCGTAACACCTGTAGCACACGTAACACCTGTAGCACGCGTAACACCTGTAGCCTGCTTACCACCTGTAGCACACATAACACCTGTAGCCTGCGTAACACCTGTAGCACACGTAACCCCTGTAGCCAGCGTAACCCCTGTAGCACACGTAACCCCTGTAGCACACGTAACACCTGTAGCCAGCGTAACACCTGTAGCCAGCGTAACACCTGTAGCACACGTAACACCTGTAGCCAGCATAACACCTGTAGCACACGTAACCCCTGTAGCACACGTAACACCTGTAGCCAGCGTAACACCTGTAGCCAGTGTAACACCTGTAGCCAGTGTAACACCTGTATCACACGTAACACCTGTAGCCTGCGTAACACCTGTAGCACACGTAACACTTGTAGCCTGCGTAACACCTGTAGCACACGTAACACCTGTAGCCAGCGTAACGCCTGTAGCCAGCGTAACACCTGTAGCACGTAACCCCTGTAGCACACGTAACACCTGTAGCCAGCGTAACACCTGTAGCCAGCGTAACACCTGTAGCCAGCGTAACACCTGTAGCCCAGCGTAACACCTGTAGCCAGCGTAACACCTGTAGCACACGTAACACCTGTAGCACACGTAACACCTGTAGCACACGTAAACACCCGTGGCCTGCGTAACACCTGTAGCCAGCGTAACTCCTGTAGCACACGTAACACCTGTAGTACGCGTAACACCTGTAGCACGCGTAACACCTGTAGCCTGCTTACCACCTGTAGCACACATAACACCTGTAGCCTGCGTAACACCTGTAGCACACGTAACACCTGTAGCACGCGTAACACCTGTAGCCTGCTTTCCACCTGTAGCACACATAACACCTGTAGCCTGCGTAACACCTGTAGCACACGTAACACCTGTAGCCAGCGTAACGCCTGTAGCCAGCGTAACACCTGTAGCACACGTAACACCTGTAGCCAGCGTAACCCCTGTAGCACACGTAACCCCTGTAGCCAGCGTAACACCTGTAGCCAGCGTAACACCTGTAGCCAGCGTAACACCTGTAGTACACGTAACACCCGTGGCCTGCATAACACCTGTGGCCTGCGTAACACCTGTGGCCTGCGTAACACCTGTGGCCTGCGTAACACCTGTAGCCAGCGTAACTCCTGTAGCCAGCGTAACTCCTGTAGCCAGCGTAACTCCTGTAGCACGCGTAACACCTGTAGCACGCGTAACACCTGTAGAACGCGTAACACCTGTGGCCTGCGTAAGACCTGTAGCACGGGTAACACCTGTAGCACGCGTAACACCTGTAGCACGCGTAACACCTGTAGCCAGCGTAACTCCTGTAGAACGCGTAACACCTGTGGCCAGCGTAACACCTGTAGCCAGCGTAACACCTGTAGCCAGCGTAACATCTGTGGCACACGTAACACCTGTGGCACACGTAACACCTGTGGCCTGCGTAACATCTGTGGCCTGCGTAACACCTGTGGCCTGCGTAACACCTGTAGCCAGCGTAACTCCTGTAGCCAGCGTAACACCTGTGGCCTGCGTAACACCTGTAGCCAGCGTAACTCCTGTAGCCAGCGTAACTCCTGTAGCACACGTAACACCTGTAGCACGGGTAACACCTGTAGCACGCGTAACACCTGTAGCACGCGTAACACCTGTGGCCTGGGTAACACCTGTAGCACGCGTAACACCTGTAGCCTTGGTAACACCTGTGGCCTGGGTAACACCTGTAGCACGGGTAACACCTGTAGCACGCGTAACACCTGTAGCACGCGTAACACCTGTAGCACGCGTAACTCCTGTAGCACGCGTAACACCTGTAGCACGCGTAACACCTGTAGCACACGTAACACCTGTAGCACACGTAACACCTGTGGCCTGCGTAACACCTGTGGCCTGCGTAACACCTGTGGCCTGCGTAACATCTGTAGCCAGCGTAACTCCTGTAGCCAGCGTAACACCTGTAGCACACGTAACACCTGTAGCACGCGTAACACCTGTAGCACGGGTAACACGGGTAACACCTGTAGCACGCGTAACACCGGTGGCCTGCGTAACACCTGTGGCCTGGGTAACACCTGTGGCCTGCGTAACACATGTAGCACGCGTAACACCTGTAGCACGCGTAACTCCTGTAGCACGCGTAACACCTGTAGCACACGTAACACCTGTAGCACGCGTAACACCTGTAGCACACGTAACACCTGTAGCACACGTAACACCTGTGGCCTGCGTAACACCTGTGGCCTGCGTAACTCCTGTAGCCAGCGTAATTCCTGTAGCACACGTAACACCTGTAGCACGCGTAACACCTGTAGCACACGTAACACCTGTAGCACACGTAACACCTGTGGCCTGCGTAACTCCTGTAGCCAGCGTAATTCCTGTAGCACACGTAACACCTGTAGCACGGGTAACACGGGTAACACCTGTAGCACGCGTAACACCGGTGGCCTGCGTAACACCTGTGGCCTGGGTAACACCTGTGGCCTGCGTAACACCTGTAGCACGCGTAACACCTGTAGCACGCGTACTTCCTGTAGCACGCGTAACACCTGTAGCACACGTAACACCTGTAGCACACGTAACACCTGTAGCACACGTAACACCTGTAGCACAGGTAACACCCGTGGCCTGCGTAACACCTGTGGCCTGCGTAACACCTGTGGCCTGCGTAACACCTCTGGCCTGCGTAACACCTGTAGCCAGCGTAACTCCTGTAGCCAGCGTAACTCCTGTAGCACACATAACACCTGTAGCACGGGTAACACCTGTAGCACGCGTAACACCTGTGGCCTGCGTAACACCTGTAGCACGGGTAACACCTGTAGCACGCGTGACACCTGTAGCACGCGTAACTCCTGTAGCACGCGTAACACCTGTAGCACGCGTAACACCTGTAGCACACGTAACACCTGTAGCACACGTAACACCTGTGGCCTGCGTAACACATGTGGCCTGCGTAACACCTGTAGCCAGCGTAACACCTGTAGCCAGCGTAATTCCTGTAGCACACGTAACACCTGTAGCACGGGTAACACGGGTAACACCTGTAGCACGCGTAACACCGGTGGCCTGTGTAACACCTGTGGCCTGGGTAACACCTGTGGCCTGCGTAACACCTGTAGCACGCGTAACACCTGTAGCACGCGTAACACCTGTAGCACACGTAACACCTGTAGCACACGTAACACCTGTAGCACACGTAACACCTGTAGCACACGTAACACCTGTGGCCTGCGTAACACCTGTGGCCTGCGTAACACCTGTGGCCTGCGTAACACCTGTGGCCTGCGTAACTCCTGTAGCCAGCGTAACTCCTGTAGCACACATAACACCTGTAGCACGGGTAACACCTGTAGCACGCGTAACACCTGTGGCCTGGGTAACACCTGTGGCCTGCGTAACACCTGTAGCACGGGTAACACCTGTAGCACGCGTGACACCTGTAGCACGCGTAACACCTGTAGCACGCGTAACACCTGTAGCACACGTAACACCTGTAGCACACGTAACACCTGTGGCCTGCGTAACACATGTGGCCTGCGTAACACCTGTAGCCAGCGTAACACCTGTAGCCAGCGTAACACCTGTAGCCAGCGTAATTCCTGTAGCACACGTAACACCTGTAGCACGGGTAACACCGGTGGCCTGTGTAACACCTGTGGCCTGGGTAACACCTGTGGCCTGCGTAACACCTGTAGCACGCGTAACACCTGTAGCACGCGTAACACCTGTAGCACGCGTAACACCTGTAGCACACGTAACACCTGTAGCACACGTAACACCTGTAGCACACGTAACACCTGTAGCACACGTAACACCTGTGGCCTGCGTAACACCTGTGGCCTGCGTAACACCTGTGGCACACATAACACCTGTAGCACGGGTAACACCTGTAGCACGCGTAACACCTGTGGCCTGGGTAACACCTGTGGCCTGCGTAACACCTGTAGCACGGGTAACACCTGTAGCACGCGTAACACCTGTAGCCAGCGTAACTCCTGTAGCACACATAACACCTGTAGCACGGGTAACACCTGTAGCACGCGTAACACCTGTGGCCTGGGTAACACCTGTGGCCTGCGTAACACCTGTAGCACGGGTAACACCTGTAGCACGCGTAACACCTGTAGCCAGCGTAACTCCTGTAGCACGCGTAACACCTGTAGCACGGGTAACACCTGTAGCACGCGTAACTCCTGTAGCACGCGTAGCACGCGTAACACCTGTAGCACGCCGTGTGGTTGTGGTCCCGGCCGTGGAACACTGGACCAGCTCTACACTCTCCATCGGACACTCGAGGGCTCATGGGGGTTCGCCTCGAGGGCTCATGGGGGTTCGCCTCGAGGGCTCATGGGGGTTCGCCTCGAGGGCTCATGGGAGTTCATGGGGGTTCGCCTCGAGGGCTCATGGGAGTTCATGGGGGTTCGCCTCGAGGGCTCATGGGAGTTCGCCTCGAGGGCTCATGGGGGCTCATGGGAGTTCGCCTCGAGGGCTCATGGGAGTTCGCCTCGAGGGCTCATGGGAGTTCGCCTCGAGGGCTCATGGGAGTTCGCCTCGAGGGCTCATGGGAGTTCGCCTCAGTCACATGTGCTTTGTGGATTTGGAGAAGGCGTTTATCCATCCCTATGCTGTGGTGTTGTGGTTCCCACTTTTTTGGTGACTTAGTTGGTCTGGGCAGCGCCCCATAAAGTTCAACACAAATAAGCTTTTTGCAGAGTAATTTTGATTCTTTGGCAATATGATTGTTAGCATAATCCTAATCATATTTTTTCATTTGAAAATTTTTTAAACATAATGTATCACATGTGTTACTAGACTATAATAAGTCTTAGTCATTATAAATATGAATAAACAAACTAAAACCACTTATATATTTTATTCTTATTAATTGTAATGTGCACAACAATGACAATGATTTTTTTTTTTTTCAATTAAACACTCATCCATAAAGGCCATATTTGTGTATGACTAATATTTGGCTCATGTACTGGGGGAAGCTGTGGATGTCTGCAGCTCCTCCAGAGTTACCATAGGCCTTGTGTTCACATGTTGTCCTTGGTAGAGCTGTGAGTTTGGCCAGACTCTTTCCATTTATGAATAATGGATTGAACAATGGTCTGTAGGCGGCACGGTGGCTGAGTGGATAGCACTCTCGCCTCTCAGCAAGAAGGTCCTGGGTTTGAATCCCGGTCGGACCAGGGCCTTTCTGAGTGGAGTTTGCATGTTCTCCCCGTGTCTGCGTAGGTTTCCTCCGGGTACTCCGGTTTCTCCTACCACTAAAAATATGTACAATAGTTCTGGCATGTGCCTCCTGTACTGGCCCCGCTTCCATCTCTGTGTGGAGTGAGAGACAAATGCCCAAAAAATAACAATTGTAAACCGCTTTGAGACTCAGATCTGCAGTGAAAAGGTGGTATATAAATAAAGATTACTGTGAGATGTTTGAAGATTTGGAAATGTTTATACAACCTTATCATGCTTCAAACCTCTCCACAACTTTATTCTTGACCTCTTTGGTGTGTTCCTTGGACATCATGATGCTATTTTGTGTGCTCTCTAACTCAGAAAGCGCACGTGTTCCTCACTGAAGGACAAGGTTGTCGAGCCGCTGAAGGAGACGCAACACGCCACCTATGATCCTGTGGAGCTATGGAGACTTCAGCACCCCGCAGTAGGCAAGTCTCCCACAGCAGGCAAGTCTCCCGCAGCAGGCAAGTCTCCCGCAGCAGGCAAGTCTCCCACAGCAGGCAAGTCTCCCGCAGCAGGCAAGTCTCCCGCAGCAGGCAAGTCTCCCACAGCAGGCAAGTCTCCCACAGCAGGCAAGTCTCCCGCAGCAGGCAAGTCTCCCACAGCAGGCAAGTCTCCCACAGCAGGCAAGTCTCCCGCAGCAGGCAAGTCTCCCACAGCAGGCAAGTCTCCCGCAGCAGGCAAGTCTCCCGCAGCAGGCAAGTCTCCCACAGCAGGCAAGTCTCCCGCAGCAGGCAAGTCTCCCACAGCAGGCAAGTCTCCCACAGCAGGCAAGTCTCCCGCAGCAGGCAAGTCTCCCACAGCAGGCAAGTCTCCCACAGCAGGCAAGTCTCCCGCAGCAGGCAAGTCTCCCGCAGTAGGCAAGTCTCCCGCAGCAGGCAAGTCTCCCGCAGCAGGCAAGTCTCCCGCAGCAGGCAAGTCTCCCGCAGCAGGCAAGTCTCCCGCAGCAGGCAAGTCTCCCGCAGCAGGCAAGTCTCCCACAGCAGGCAAGTCTCCCGCAGCAGGCAAGTCTCCCGCAGCAGGCAAGTCTCCCGCAGCAGGCAAGTCTCCCGCAGCAGGCAAGTCTCCCACAGCAGGCAAGTCTCCCGCAGCAGGCAAGTCTCCCGCAGCAGGCAAGTCTCCCACAGCAGGCAAGTCTCCCACAGCAGGCAAGTCTCCCGCAGCAGGCAAGTCTCCCACAGCAGGCAAGTCTCCCACAGTAGGCAAGTCTCCCACAGTAGGCAAGTCTCCCGCAGCAGGCAAGTCTCCCGCAGCAGACAGGTCCCTCACCACAAGCTGAATAAACAAAGAGCTCCGCACCTTTACTCTAATGTGATCACTTGAAGTTACTGCTTCCACTCAGTCACTAAGTCTAAATAACACATACAATTCCTTCACATTCCTTAAACCAGTGTTTTTCAACCTTTTGTGACTCAAGGCAGAATTTTTTCATTGAAAAATCTCACACATTGCCTCACGCAAAGATGCAAATATGAGGTTTTTCATACGGGTTTGACTTTACAAAGTTTACCATGTTTGCATGTATCGGTAACAGTGCGTAACAATTGCAGCTGGGTGTTTCTAGTTCACTCTGTTTATACTTGGACATAAGAGGATCTTTGTTAACACCCGCGTGCGCCCCTCACTGGGTGGCAAAAAGACTCAGGAGATAAATAGCACTTTATATAAGCACTTTAACAATAGCACTGTATATAAGCACTTTAACAATAGCACTGTATATAAGCGCTTTAACAATAGCACTGTATATAAGCACTTTAACAATAGCACTGTATATAAGCACTTTAACAATAGCACTGTATATAAGCACTTTAACGTAAGAAGATGAGAGGAGATGTATAGACAAGCTAAAAATAAGTAAATGAGACCCAACTGAACAAATTCAAAGCCCATATGGGACGACGGATGAGGAGGAAAAAAATTGGTCAGACTCTCCTCTGTCTTGGCACCGGTCTGCTGGGACTGGGACTCGGAGACATTTATTCTTACTTCATAGAAAACCCGGGATCTTTCATGCAAGAAGGGTCCGTGGCAGAGGTGGGACAAAGTCATTGTTTAGCAAGTCACAAGTTAGTCTCAATTCATTGCCCTCGAATCCTGAGTCAAGTCACAAGTCAAGACAGGCAAGTACCGAGTCGAGTCCAAGTCAAAGTCCAACAAGACTCAAGTCAGTCCCAAGTCCTACTGTTTGACTTTCGAGTCCTCTCAAGTCTTTTTGACCACAATTTGTTTCTTTTTGGTCTCCACGTAATTTTTTGTAGGCAAACAAAATAATCTTAGGAATCATTTTGCTGGCGCATTCTCGATGGTCTTTGACCCATGGTCTAACAGCCAGTTCCATGTGGTTGGCTGCTGGTAAATCCAAACAATCTACGTGATTTGATTGGATGTTGTGCCAGATGCAGGCTCAGTTACACATGCACAGGCACACACATAATCAGAGATAGAGCAGTCCGTGTCAACATACTTTTTTATCTTTGGGGTTTTTAATGCGAAGTAGCAAGTGCTGCATATATGAATAGTATGCTTATATTATAATGAAGAAAAATAATCTCAGTATTGGGCTTGGACCAGAAGATTTGTGCGGCTCACGGGAGAGAGAGGTGTTTAAAATATAACAACAGAGATACGGTGCAATTGTGAGTTATATTGACTGGAAAAGTATTTACAAAAGAGACTGGATATATGTACAGTATATACAATATTTACTATGTGAGTGTAGTGGTATAAAATCTGTGCATATAACATCTATATAATTAGTTCAATGTCCATAGTGGTTATTGTCCAAATGTCCAGTAAAGGATAGGGGTAGTCTGAGGGGTCTAGGCTTTGGGCCTGGGGCAGCTCGCCATCAGAAATGGGGGGCAAAGGACTGAAGGGACCAATGGAACCTGACCTGTATGAACAGGACCAGCATTAGTCATATCTCATAATTACCAATATGTCATTACATAAGAAAGCGTCTCATATACATTAATTCAATCAAAGTACTCATTCTCAGATCAATGCACCATAAACAATAATGCAAATATTAATCTAGCTTAGTGCACATAATCAAAACAACAATTTAAAGTATGTAAACTTTTGCAGGAGGAGCAAAGCAAAAACACACTCATAATATTGAGCCTCGGCGCTCACACAGAAAAATATAAGAAAGAGCACAGGCTAGCACTAGCTACTAGCTCTGTGCAGAAACCATAATGGTTTTACTCACTAGTTCCTCTTTAAAACACGGCACACAGTGTGACAACTGCGTAGATTCAATTGTATGAAGTGTCTGTAGTGAAAGCATATCAATTACGGTTTGTAGAACAAAATAGTGAAAAATACCTGCAGCTCGTTCAATTCCAGCTCCCCCACAACACACCCACTGGTGAATGGAGCGTGGACCGTGGGAACTCACTTTGCGCGAGAGTTTGAAGTGAGTTCTTTTCTCCGCATCTCTCTCTAGCAAAGAGAGATGCGGAGAAAGGAAAAAACCCGGATTACGCAAGTCAATTGGCGTAAGTCAGAGTCATTGATGGTAAAGTCCAAGTCGAGTTGCAAGTCTTTTTATATTTGGTCAAGTCGAGTCTAAAGTCATCAAAATCATGACTCGAGTCCAAACCTCTGGTCCGTGGTGTAAATCCATTCTCTCATTTTTCATCGCAGTAAAGTGGCCCAGCATTTCGCCGTTGCGGTAAAGTGTTCTGCACATTAAAAGCGGGTTGTCCCGTTTTGCTGTTACTTACGGTAAAAGTGGAGCAGGAAGCCGCGGGGATGAGCAACCAAAATATAATGTTTAAAATGAACCATCACAGTGAACAAATGCGCAGTGAAAGTATTTGCAAAACATATATTTGTTTATGAATTTTTATCCCCTCATCCTCCCGGCTTCCCGCTCCAGCATAAAAGGGCAACCACTTTACCTCGGCCGTTTGATTCAGATTCAATTTATTTGCCATTTGCAGTAAAACCACATTGGAATACATTAGCAAAAGTCTCCAGTGTGCACAGACAAATACAGACATAAAACAACATTAAAAGACAAAAATAAAACAAATAAAACAGTAAACAAATGTCACTGTGAAATCGATCGACTAAAACAGTTTCAAAACAAGTGCAAATCATTAAAGTGCTCTGTTCACACTGATAACAGCCTGTGGATAAAAACTGTTAGCGTAACGAGATGTCCTGCATCTCAGAGAGCGATATCTTCTGCCAGAGGGAAGAAGCTGGAACATGGCTTTCCCAGGGTGGCCAGAAGAGTCATTAACAATCCTAAGAGCTTTGTTTAAAAGTCTGGATTTATAAAGAACCTCCAGAACAGGAAGCTCACAGCCCACGGTCCTCTTTGCAGAGCGGAGCACCTTGTTTAAAGCTCTCTTTTCTTTATCTGTGATGTTTCCAAACCACACAGACACAGAACCAACAAGTAAACTCTCAATGGTGCAGCCATAAAAGTTCAGCAGAATCTTAGAGTTAGTGGTAAATTCTCTAAGTTTCCGCAGGAAGTAGAGACGCTGACGAGCTTTCTTAACGACTCGGTCAGTGTTTTTAACCCATTTCAGGTTAGACAGAGTTAAACCCAGAAACTTACACTCCTCTACGATCTGCACCTGGGAGTTGTCGATTACGACAGGCAAATGAGAACTATTGCGACTGAAGTCGTGACCAGTTCACATGTTTTGGATGCGTTCAACTGAGGTTGAACGCATCCAAAACATGTGAACTGGTTTGTCGCTGTTCTTTTTGAAATAATAAGAAAAAAAACGTAATCTGTCCCCAGCGGGCCGTACAACCGACCACACAACAAGAACGGACCATTTGATTTAGTAAAACCTCTCTCCAAACGTCTACAAATAGCTAACTCTCTAGCATCCAGGTAGCTTTCTATGCTGTAATGCCACACAGTCATGTGACCGGCGCGGAAAACTATAAACAACAACGTCACTCCAAGATCCTCCTATTCATAAATGATATAATTCCTTTTCAAAAACGCCTCCATCACTTTAATTTCTCACTAGCCACAATGCGATCTATGCTCTGTCCCCTCTACCTGTTACATCCTGTGGTCGCAACCAATTCTTACGTCTCAAAGTAATTAGCTACCTGCTGCCACCTTCTGGTATGAAAAAGCAATACGTGGTTACTCCACAAGTCAACACTCGCCAACGGCACATTATTTGCGGATGCATTTCTGAGTTTCTGATATTTCACTTTTAACACAAAACTAAAATATTATAGAATTAAAGCCGCAAGCGGCGTCGAACAGCCCTCGCCGCACCACGCGACTCCCCGCAATGCGCGCACCACCCCGTGCCAAGCCACCCCGCATCACGCCGTCCCGCATCACGCCGCCCCGCACCAAGCCACAACGCGCCGCTCCACAAGGCCCGGAACTACGTCGCACCACACCGTACCACACAGCACCGCTCAAAGGAGGTGGCGCCGCCGTGTGATGATTTGTTCCCGTAGCCATAGAAGATTGTTAGTCAAATTGTAATGAATATGATAAGTAGAGCTGGTTTGGCTCCTGATGTAAACTTTGACTCAGTTTTTAGGGGGCGCTATTGGGCCAATTTAAGATATTTCACTTTCACCTGACCTAAACCCTGGAGTTGAACAATGGATTCAAGTTTAATGCAAATCAGACTTTGTTTGTGCAAACGGGAAAAAAATTAAAAACGGCCAAAAAAAACCTCACATTTTGCCGCTCCGCTGCTCAAACAACGTTTCACTGATCATGGTGTTTAGACAATGTGGAGTGATATGGAGGCCAATCGGTGAAGCGGCCGAGGAGGAGTCGCTTTCCAACCGACATGTGTGAAAATGATTGCGGATCCTTTTTCCATTTTGCAGTGAAATTTATGGGCTTCCTGTTTGTCAGAGGGCGGAGCCATGATAACATTTCGGTCGTATCTTGACTTGAGGAACATGTGTACCGAATTTCATGGCTCTACGACAAACTTGACCTAACCCTAACCCTAACCATTGGCTGTTGTAGGTGGCGCTGTTCTGGCATTTTTTGAGTCCCATAAAAATAAACACCAAAATATCAAATTTTTCACCAGGTCTGATGTTTGGGAAAAATTTAACAACTTTTCATGCATGTTCAGGGGGTCAAATTAAGGCTCAAAGTGCAGAATTTGACATCTCTCGAGCAAAAACAATTAACCAAAGATCAAAAGCTGTTGTGGTTTTCAATCTATGTGGCCTAATTGGGTTTCCCGCAAATATTATTAGCCTTGTTAGCATGTTTTAGGATATCTTGATTTCAAGTAACAGCTAGCTAACTTGCCCAACACTGGGGACCGTTAGGCCAAGTAATTAGCTTGAATCTCACAAATAAGGCTAAAAGGTTAAGAGTTGCACACTATGATGTACAAAACTGATGAAAATATGTTTATACCTTGTACAGATGACTGAAACCTCTGATTCGTCCCCAAACATCATCTATGAACTCGCTGCTCATACAGATTCCAGCCATGACCGCTGTGAAGGATCATTCTCCTGCGTCATCGCTGCAATTTTGGCGCCCCCTAGCGTTTCTATGCGGAAGTGAAAAAGTGCGACTTCAAAGCCGTTTTTTTAACATAATTCATCTGAACATGTCAAAATGAACACCCGAAATATTATAAACACATATTGCAGTTATATATTCTAGATAGCAGCATGGTCAATTCTAGTACTACTTTAACAAAACCATTGAAATCACCAACACAGATCAGAGAATCAACACGTAAAGAATATAGAACACATGGTGATAAATGTCACACATGTTGTAGAATGTTAAAGTGTCCTGGATAATCACAGTCCTTCTAGTTGGACACTAACTGTCCAACAGACCCTCCTGCATCAGAGGAAAAACTCATAAGAAAACCCAGTGGAAAAAAAGTGAGAAACCTCGAGGAGACCCACATATTGAGAAAGGGATCCGCTCCCACGGACGGACAGGCTAATGATCCAGGACCTAAGCTAGCTACAGGACGTGGACCAGTGGCCGCTGAACGTGGACCAGTGGACGCTGAACGTGGACAGGTCCGGTGCAGGACTGAAGCACTCCCAGGCGGGTCGGGCGGGGCAGTCCGCAGGTGTAGATGGAGGAGGCCAGGCTCAGAGATCCCGTCATCGTACCATGAAACAGACAATGGGACAACGGGTGAATAGCAATGAACAAACTACAGTCAGAATCCTAATAGTGCTAAACAGATAAAGTAGGAAGGAGGAGAGGATAGTGCTCAAGTTACCATACTTCTCCAGCAGGGGGCTCCCTATGCAGCTTGACTGACAGTCTGAGGAGTTTAACCTTCTCCGAGTCTTACCTTCCTAGCCATATGCTAAACTAAAGAGGACTGTTTTAGCCTAGCCTAGAACGTAGGGCTGAAGATGCAGCGGACCGGGTCCAACATACGCAGACTCCAAGACCGGACGAAACCTGACCGGACAAAAACCTAACCAAATGCTAAGTTGAAAAAGAGTATTTTAAGCCTGGCCTTAAATGATGAGACGGTGTCTGCTTCCTTAACGTGCGTGGGGAGATGATTCCACAGTAAAGGAGCTTTGTATGGACGTTATGTAATATTGCTGATATGGCGTGTCTCCTGAATGAGTCCAGTTAATTGTATTATTCTGTGAAATGTTTTTAGTAGTAGGAGAGATTCAGCCACAGTAATGGCTGATGGTCCAGTGTGTTCTGGACTCGCTTCTGTCATCACCGTGTGTGGAAGGATTGGAACAATATCTGACTCTGAACATTGTAAAGTGCTTTGGGTGATTGTGGTCTGTAAAATGTGCTATATAAACAAACATTACTTACTCACTTACTGTATATTACTACTTATTAACACTTAATAATATAAAATATTCTGAAACTGCTCAGCCTAGGTCCACTTTTTCCCAAGTTTGTATTTTTTGTCTATATCCCTAGTTTGAGCTTAAGGCTGAGTGTGGGGAAGTGTTTAGACAATCTTAGTCCCTCATCATGTCCTCTGCACGCTTGACAGGTTTACAAAAGTACCCTCCAGTTCCTCTGTGCGCCCTGACAGAACACGTCCAGCGACTAAAAGCCAACAAGAATCAGCGCTTCACTCAGGAGTATGAGGTACCATCTGCTTCAAACGTTTAATTAGAGTATTTTGAGGACCCATTAGACAGTCACACATTTTGATGATACATTGCTACAAAGATGCTAAGATAAATGATAAATGATAAATGATAAAGATAAATAAATAAAGATAAAGATAAATAAAGATAAATGATAATATAAATTATAAATATGTCATGAAATATTGACCGTAAAGCTCCTGCTTTTCTGTCATTTTGTCACAAGGTTATTGTAATATTCCCGTAAACCATAATTATTGTTATTAAAAGCCAAATCTGACTCAACAGCAATAGGATAATAGAATATGTTTATTGGTTATACATAGTAATCTGTGACTGCATAGATTAGACACATATGACCATGCGGACATCGTATGTCAGAATTCATTGCTTGCTGTACATATGTCAGATGTCAAACATTTTCTTCACAAAGTTTTCACACACTGTTGTTGGTATTATGTCCCATTCCTCCATGCAGATCTCCTTTAGAGCAGTGATATTATTAATTTTAAGCCATTATTTTAAGCCTCCCTACTTACAGAATTATGTTTTGCAGTGCAGTTCAAACTCACTGTCCTCAATAAAAAGCCGGTTGGTTCTGAAAATACGCAGAAACACTGTTCCTTGATGCTATTGAAATAAGATTATGATTTTTTTTCACAGTGTATTGATCCATGTCAGCAATTCACCTGGCAGCACTCCAACCTGGATGTGAACAAGGCCAAGAACCGATATGCCAATGTAATCGCCTACGACCACAGCCGGGTGCTGCTCCGCCATGTGGATGGTGAGACGTGAAAAGCAGTATTAAAACTTCTTGTACCGCAGAACAAAAGTATTATGTATATTTATTATGCGGCTTCTCACAGCAGCTTCATTGATTTGAATGTAATTTAAAAACGTTCTTCCAGTCATAATTTCTTGATAACCGACCTCACAAAACAATAATGACCGTTGCCCATGCCAACGCACTCTCTGCTTGTAATTCAGGTGAGTAGATTTCTCCAAGTGGTCCAGCCACTTCATCACGACGGGCTACGTCACTACTACTGTCTCTGCAAGAGAAGCTATCGGAGCTAGCCACGCTCAATAGACAAAACAACACAATTACAATACAATGTATTCTTGTATAGCCCTAGGTCACAACAGAAGTCATCTCAGAGACTTAACAAAACCATTGAAATCACGGATCAGAGAATCAACAGTTAAAACACAAAGAATATAGAACACATGTTGATAAATGTCATACATGTTGTAGAGTGTCCTGGATCATCTCCACAGTCCTTTTTGTTAAGACCCTAACTGTCCAACAGACCCTTTTGCATCGGTAAGGAAAAACTCACAAAAACCCAGTGGGAAAAAAGTGAGAAACCCACATATTGAGAGAGGGATCAGCTCGACACGAACGGACGGGCTATAGATCCAGGACCAAAGCTACAGAATGTTGACCAGGGCCACACAGCGGCCGCAGAATGTGGACAGGTCCGGTGCAGGACTGAAGCAGCCCCCAGGCGGGTCGGGCAGGGCAGTCCGCAGGTGTAGATGGAGGAGGCCAGGTCCAGAGGTCCCGTCGTCACAAATCTTAATAATGCAGACAGATAAAGTAGGAAGGAGGAGAGGATAGTGCTCAAGTTACCATACTTCTCCAGCAGGGGGCTCCCTATGCAGCTTGACTGACAGTCTAAGGAGTTTAGCCTTCCCTGAGTACCTTACCTTCCTAGCCATATGCTAAACTAAAGAGGACTGCTTTAGCCTAGCCTAAAACGTAGGGTTGAAGATGCAGCGGACCGGGTCCAACATACGCAGACTCCAAGACCGGACAACAACCTGTCCGGACAACAACCTGTCCGGACAACAACCTGTCCGGACAACAACCTGTCCGGACAACAACCTGTCCGGACAACAACCTGACCGGACAACACCCTGACCGGACAACACAACAACCTAGCCAAATGCTAAGTTGAAAAAGAGTGTTTTAAGCCTGGCCTTAAATGTAGAGACAGTAAGTAAGTAAGTAAGTAAGTAAGCTTTATTTATACAGCGCCTTTCACAGACCAAGGCCACAAAGCGCTTCACAGTTTAAACAGGTAAAAACTGACAAAATACAATTTAAAATGTGCATACAAAAAAATAATAGAAAATATACATACAGTAAATATACAGTAAATATAATGGCCAAGACAACTCAGTGACAGGTTTAAAACAGCCGCAAGAAAATTATGTAAAAGCTTGCCCAAATAAATAGGTTTTTAGCTGACCTTTGAATGAATCAACCGACTCCATCAGCCGCAGAGGGAGCGGAAGATTGTTCCAGAGCTTAGGTCGCAACAGCCTGGAAGGACCGGTCTCCCCTGGTCCTGGAAGGACCGGTCTCCCCTGGTCCTGGAAGGACCGTCTCCCCTGGTCCGAAAGCGCGTGCGTGGGACCATCAACAGATTCTGATCCACAGACCTCAGGGCCCGAGTGGGGGTGTAAGGCTGAATCAGATCGCTGATATAAGGGGGAGCCTGACCATGCAGAGCTCTGAAAGTCAGCACCAATATTTTAAAATGTATCCTGTAGGACACAGCTGCAGCAGTGGAGAGCTTTGAGGACCGGGGTGATGTGCTCCTCCTGTTTGTGCGTGAGAACCCGAGCTGCAGAGTTTTGCACCAACTGCAGACATGATAGCTCCTTCTTGTTCAGACATGAAAACAAACCATTACAATAATCTAAACGAGAAGACACAAAGGCATGAATTATGAGCTCCAAGTCGTTCTGTGACACCATTTTCTTAAATTTGGAGATGTTTCTCAGCTGAAAAAAGCAGTTTTTGGTCAGCTGTTTGCAGAGTTGAACTAGTGACATATCCTTGTCAAAAATAACACCCAGATTTCTACATCACCCAAGTATTGTTTAATCCCTGGTATTAAATCATCAGGGGCAATCACTAGTGTTTCGGTCTTGTCCATATTCAGCTGCAAAGTGTTCTCACTTAGCCACTGTTTGATTTCCACTCGGCAACGAACTAAGGAATCAAGCCTATGGAGCTCAGTTGGCTTAAAAGTGCAATAAATCTGGATGTCATCTGCAAACATGTGATAAGAAACATCACAACAACTTTCAATAATCTTTCCCAAAGGGTACACATACAACAAAAACAACACAGGGCCTAAGACTGAGCCTTGAGGCACTCCACACAACAGATCTACTGACTCAGATCTGATTTGGTTTGCTTTAACACTGAAGCTCCGCCCAGATAAGTAGGAAGAGAACCACTGAAGAACTGACCCTGACAGACCTACTTCATCCCTCAGTCTTCTCAGCAAGATCTGGTGGTCAACTGTGTCAAAAGCTGAGGACAGATCCAAGAGAACAAGAGCCATGCATTTTCCAGAGTCAGCAGACATCATGAGGTCACTGGACACTTTCAGTAAGGCCGTCTCCGTAGAGTGGTGTTTGCGGAAACCAGACTGAAACGTCTCATGGATGCTGTTTTGATCCAGGAATAATGTCAACTGTTCAGAAACCACCTTCTGTAGGATCTTGGACAAAAGGGGGAGTTTGGGAATGGGTCTGAAGTTACTGAGGTCAGTCGGGTCCAACCCTGCCTTCTTTAGTAAAGGCTCCACAATGGCGTGTTTAAAAGCATTGGGAAAGACCCCTGTGGAAAGAGAGAGGTTCACCATTTGGGTAACCCAGGGGCCAATTACATCAAACACTTTCACAAAAAGCCTACACGGGAGGACGTCAGATGAGCAAGAGGAAGGTTTTATCTTGGTCATCATTGCAGAAATATCAGCAAGCGTCACAGACTTAAAAGAGGACCACAAGCTGGAGGCGGGCTCAGTGAGAGCAGGCGGACCACTTGGAAGGGGAAGAATTTTTTCTTTTATTCTCTTGATTTTTTCAGTGAAGAATCTCAACATTGCATTGCAGTCAGCTTCACACAACACAGGGGCAACTGGAGCAGCAGGACATACCAGAGAATTTATTGTGTCAAACAACACTTTGGGAGTTCTCTTGTTCACCGTCACCAGTTGGAGAATATAGTCAGATCTAGCATTTTCAACCATCTGATTATATGAGGACATAAGATCTCTAAGGTAAAGTGGATTTCCACAGACGCTCTGTTTTTCGACATAGTCTCTTCAGACTCAAAAGGCTTTCATTCATCCAAGGGCATGTTTTGCTCCTTAGTGATAAGTTTGATTTAAAGGGAGCCACCTGATCCAGAATCTGAACACAGTGACTGCTAAAACAGTCAATACAATTGTCCACATCAAGGCAGTCCATGAATAAACGTGGGTCAAACAAAGCAGAGAAACCATCAGCAGCATCGGTAGAAATAATGCGCCTCAGGGACCTGACTTCTGCAGGCTTAGGCTCCGGGCTAAAGTGCAGATCCAATAAAACAAGACAATGATCACTCAAATGGACATCATGGACAGACACATTGGAAATGTCGAGGCCAAGTGTAAAAACAACATCTAAAATGTGGCCTTTCTGGTGCGTGGGCTCAGAAACATGTTGCTCAAAATTGAAAGCTTCAGTCAATGACAAAAGTTCCATTGCGGAGCAAGATGTGCTATCATCAACATGAAGGTTAAAATCTCCAAGGATTAAAACAGAATCCAAATGAATAATGGAGGATAAAAAGTCACTAAAATCTTTCAAAAACACATTAGCAGGCCCGGGGGGACGGTAGATTGACACACAGTAGAATGGGTTTGAAGAGCCCACCTTGACCATCTGGGACTCAAATGAGGTAAATTCCTGGGTCTGTGTCACTTTACATGGACAACTGTCCTTATACACAACAGCCAGGCCACCTCCACGACGAGAGGGGCGGGGCTTCCCCACGACAGAGCAGTCAGCAGGACAAAGTTCATTTAAATGAATAAACTCTTCCTCTCTTTGCCATGTCTCTGAAAGGAACATTAAATTCAGCTCTTCTCTTGTGAATAGTTCGTTCAGGGAGAAAGACTTATTTGCAATTGACCGAGCATTCAATAGGCCAATATGCAAAGTTGAAGTGTGTGGAGGCCGTGGGAGCCGCTGACCAAAGCTCCAACGCTGTGTTGGCTCCATGACACTCGCAGGGGTCCGTGTAGAAGGCGACGTGGACGGGCTGTCACACAGGAGAAAAATCTTGCGCAGACATCGCGTGCGTCCTCCGGGGGCTGGGATGGCAACGGCCAGGCGGGCAGCGGCCAGGCGGGCAGTGGCCAGGCGGGCTGCAGCGCGTCTTCGCCTCACCTGTGCTGCAGAACGCGAGCCCCGTTTCTTCTGTTTCCTGGGGACTTTACGTGGGGCCCGAAACAGAAGCCAGTACTCAGGTGAGTCAGGGGCGATGATCAATGGAGGAGGGAACGCCTGCTTGTATTCGTTCTGTGTAACAAACAAGTCCTCCATAGACTCTTTAATACGGAACAGAGAGTCTCGATCATAGATCTGGAAAGCGGTGACACATCCATTTGAAACACAGGCTGTTATGATCACATATGTTGTGTAGATGACCATTATAAATCTATATAGCTCAAGACAAGAAACAGCACTGCCAGTCACAGGCGCCATCTTCCCAGTCCTCCTCCAGACAGTGTCTGCTTCCTTTACGTGCGTGGGGAGCTGATTCCACAGTAAACGAGCTTGGTAGCTAAATGCTCTGCCACCGAGACCTTAGGAACCACGTCTGGCGTTTTGCGAGCGCAGGGCTCGGCTTGGTTGATAAGATATTAATATGTCTTGAAGATAAGAGGGAGCCAAGCCATTTATGGCTTTGTATGCCAGGAGAAGAATTTTAAACTTTATTCTGTACTCCACAGAAGCCAGTGGAGTGATTTTAACACCGGAGTTATGTGCTCCCTCCTTTTGGTGCCTGTTAAGATCCTAGCTGCTGTATTCTGAACGAGCTGGAAGCTCTTCAAAGAGGGATGTGGATTCGTTTTTCCACGTCACTTTTAGGAAGGATATTCCTGATTTTAGCGATGTTCCACAAGTGGAAATACGTTGTTTTAGTTGCTTGGTTTATATTAGCCTTGAAGGAGAATTTCTTGTCGAAAACAACTCTAAGATTCCTCATAGTGTTGCTGAGTACTATTCACACATTATGGAGAGTGATTATCTGGTCGGCGAGGGAGTCACGCAGGCGTGGGTCCAAAAGTTTGGACACACTTTCTCATTCAATGAGTGTCCTTTCTTTTACAATACAATACAATAAAATTATTCTTGTATAGCCTAGGTCACAACAGAAGTCATCTCAGAGGACTTAACAAAACCATTGAAATCACCAACACAGGTCAGAGAATCAACAGTTAAAACACATGAAGAATATAAAGCACACACAGAAGAAAATGTCCATACATGTTGTAGAATGCTAAAGTGTCCTGATCATCACCAATCCTTTCTGTTGGACACTAACTGTCCAACAAGACCCTCCTGCATCCACAAGGAACAACTCTTAAAAAACTCTTAGGAACCACCAGACGTCTGGCGTTTTGTGAGCGCAACGCTCGACTTGGTTGATACGACACTAACGTGTCTTGGAGATAAGAAGGAGCCAAGCCATTTATGGCTTTATATGTTAAGAGAAGGATTTTAAACTTTATTCTGTACTCCACAGGAGCCAGATAATGTCAGTATAATACCCAGTAACACTGTGAGGAATCTTGGAGTCATTTTTGACCAAGAACTCTCCTTCAAGGCTTATATAAGCCAAGCAACTAAAACGGCGTACTTCCACTTACGGAACATCGCTAAAATTAGGAATTTCCTTCCTAAAAGTGACGCGGAAAAACTCATTCACGCGTTTGTCACCTCAAGGCTCGACTGTAACGCTTTACTGGCAGCGTGCCCTAAAGCGTCTTTGAAGAGCTTCCAGCTCGTTCAGAATACAGCAGCTAGGATCTTAACAGGTACCAAAAGGAGGGAGCACATAACTCCGGTGTTAAAATCACTCCACTGGCTCCCTGTGGAGTACAGAATAAAGTTTAAAATCATTCTCTTAACATATAAAGCCATAAATGGATTGGCTCCTTCTTATCTCCAAGACACGTTAGTGTCGTATCAACCAAGTCGAGCGTTGCGCTCACAAAACGCCAGACGTCTGGTGGTCCCTAAGGTCTCAAAGGTTACTGTTGGTGGCAGAGCATTTAGCTCCAAGCTCCTTTACTGTGGAATCAGCTTCATTTATGTTAAGGAAGCAGATACGGTCTCCACATTCAAGGCCAGGCTTAAAGCACTCTACTTTAATTTAGCATACACAGTTAGGCTGCGTGCCTGGATCGGTTTGTACACTTGGTGTGCAATCCATGAGTCTTGGGGCTGTAACCTAGCCTAGCCTAGCCGTGGCTGCTGCTGTCTCGCCTCCTTTCAGATACGCTCTCTTTATTCAAGGCTAGGTTTAAAACAGTCCTCTTTAGTTTAGCATATGGTTAGGAAGGTAAGACTCAGGGAAGGCTAAACTCCTCAGAGTGTTAGTCAAGCTGCATAGGGAGTCAGTTTGCTGGGAGAAGTATGGTAACTTGAGCACTATCCTCTCCTCCTTCCTACTTTATCTGTTTAGCATTATTAGGATTTTGACTGTAGTTTGTTCATTGCTATTCTGTCCGTCCGGAGGAGCGGATCCCTTTCTCATATGGGTCTCCCTCCCTGTGGGTTTCCCTAGTTCTCTCCAAGGTTTCTCACTTTTTCCCACTGGGTTTTTTAAGAGTTGTTCCTTGTGGATGCAGGAGGGTCTTGTTGGACAGTTAGTGTCCAACAGAAGGATTGGTGATGATCAGGACACTTTAGCATTCTACAACATGTATGGACATTTTCTTCTGTGTGTGCTTTATATTCTTCATGTGTTTTAACTGTTGATTCTCTGACCTGTGTTGGTGATTTCAATGGTTTTGTTAAGTCCTCTGAGATGACTTCTGTTGTGACCTAGGGCTATACAACAATACATTGGATTGTATTGTATTGTATAATAATCTCCAAGATCTCCTAGATTTCTGATCTAATTTGAAGGTTAGAAACTGGAGATAACGGATGGCGCGCTCTCTTTGTTTTGTAGGTAATTGTTTGGGGGAATATAACGCCATTTAAATCCTATGAATGTCATTATTTTCCGCTTGTCTTCTTTGGATTTCCACCTTTTGTCAAGAAAGACACTAATTGGAATGTGTGCATGTGTCTGCTGCAGGGGTTCCTGGCAGTGATTACATCAATGCCAACTACATTGACGGCTACAGAAAACAGAGAGCCTACATCGCCACCCAGGGGCCACTGCTGGAGACGCTGGGGGACTTCTGGAGGATGGTGTGGGAACAAAACGTCCATGTTATCATCATGATAACACGCTTGGAGGAGAATTCTAGAGTAGGTTTTATGTGCTAACTCACATAATAAATACTTTGCACTTTGGCCCTTTTACAAACAGCATATAGCATATATAAACTTGTATAAGTTTATATTATTAAAGCCACCCTGTATAATTTTTACAGTAGCTCAAAATTGATAAATGTTAAGCAATAACAAATGTACGGAGCCCCTCTGATGACATGGTCAACCAAAACTTATATTGTAGCCACAATATAGCTACTATATGCCCACAAAATTGTAATTACCCAGATAGCAACAGACTCCGTGGCGGATCCACTTCGATCCGCCACATCCGCCCCAGAATCAGACCTGTTGTGGACGCTCCAACCTCCGCAGCTTCCTCGCGCAGCAAACTGACACTCGGGGCTAACGGCATTCTCTGCAAGTTTAATAGTGAGTACTTCGTCAAAGAACATTTATATTATCCCCAGCTGTGTCATGAAGTTAGAATAGGGATCCTATATCCATATGACACGCAGCATAATTCAACAGATAAATCATTATCAGATCTGCGGGAGGGAACAAGACTCTAATCGGATCAGTAGTGAGTCCTGAGTGGATCCGCGAGGTCCACAGATCAGTGTCGGATGTGCAGCAGATACTTTTTGCTATGTTGTAGCAAAAAGTATGTTGCCCGCATGTTGTAGCCAGTGATGGGAATAACGGCGTTACTAGTAACGGCGTTACTAACGGCGTTACTTTTTTCAGTAACGAGTAATCTAACTAATTACTTTGACAGTAACTATAACGCCGTTATCATTTCCGACATCCCGTTACTGCGCGTTACTCAAGACGCACAGTGAACGTGTTGTCATGAGAGAAGGGAGGATGAGAAAACCTTTCAGCAATTATTGGCTGATGTAAAACATATTTCCTTTACAATCCACATGTCTACAGTTGAGAGGATGGTCATAAATTGTGTTTTTGAAACAAATATGGGTCTTAATCGCGCTCAACCACGGCTTGTATCACCGTGAGGTCAGCCTCAGAGGAGCTCATGTGAGCGCAAAAGGCTGCTGCATACAATTCCATCGATAAGCTCCTTGCTCTTCCTGGTTTATCTGCTAAGGACAGCAACAGGTTTGGCTAACATACATATAACACATTTTTACATAATCTAAAATGCACATAGGGTAATTTTTCAATGACTATAGGAATGATAAGAAAGAGAGGTGAAGTGTAAGACGGTTGATTTTAGAAATTGGATGCACTCGGCTGCAGCAAAACACAGGAGTTTATGGAGGACACACGCGTTTTGTTTTACTTTTTAAAACTCATTGGACTCATTTCCAAATGGAGGATTACATATCTACGCTCAAACCATTAACTGGATTTAAACAAGGAACTGGTCTGAACCGAAGTGGACTGTGCAGGTCATTTATAAGGTATAGCTATAAGGTAAGACCCATAACTCATAGTTTTGCGTTTTGTATGAACAAACAATGCGGGCATAAAACATATTTTGCTGTAGCCAAACAAATTGTCCACTTGATTTATATGATGTATATGTTCATCTGATTGGACTGAAGTCAGTGCTTCACCGGTGTTTCCACATTCACAGTGGAGCGTGTTTGTGTTTAGTGCTTACAGCACAGAGACAGATGAAGAGTGAACAGGACTTCAGCAGCAAAACAGACTTTTCTAGATGGAAATATTGGCACTGTTAAAGGTAAAAATGCGCACGTCGGGTGCACATTATGTTCCAGAACAAAACGAAAAAGTAACGCAATAGTTACTTTTACTGGTAACTAGTTACTTTTATAGTGGAGTAACTCCGTTAGTAACTCAGTTACTTTTTGGGAGAAGTAACTAGTAACTATAACTAATTACTTTTTCAAAGTAACGTGCCCAACACTGGTTGTAGCTATATTGTGGCCACAATATAATTTTTTTTTTTTACCATGTCATCAGAGGGGCTCCGTACAAATGTGACCTTTCTAAGAATATTTACCTCCACCATGTTTTTGAATATTTGTCATTGAGTTAGTATTTGAGGTATAAATGTCCATGAGAGCTGAGGACTATCCATGTCAAAGCGCCATCTTGAAATACATTGGTTGATAAGGGGCAAAAAGAATGCGAGAATCACGTATTCGTTTCACAGGTGCTACTAATAACGTTGCGTCCACTGTGCCCTCACAAGTTTGAAGTAGGAACCATGAAGGACCACAGTGATGTAACAGAACGACCCGAACAACAAACTTTTAGAAAAAGAATTATGCAAAAATCTCGAAACTGGCATTATAGCCGCAAAGTGTCAACATCGCAAACCACACACACATGTGTACACTTGAACATGACGTAACTTTTTTCCCACACCAACAGTGATGAGAACGAGGCAGAATCTGCAACACGGTCTCAGGATGTTCTGACCCGCTCTGAGTCCAACTGCTGTCACAAGTTTCAACAAAAGTTATTCAGGGGACAAGCCTCAAATATGCAAAACACACAGAATCTCTGCAAAACAGCAGCAAAAATACTTCATCACCAGCATGATTGAATGTTCTGTTTTCTTACCGCCTTTCTCACTGCTAATTTACACATCACGCGTTACAGCACGTACGCGTTATACGCCCAGCAGACGCGCGTAACTTTTTTCCATGTTAACCTATGATGATATTTACACTTCTAGCGTTATACGTGTGTATGACGGACGTATGACGGACGTATGACGGACGTATGACGGACGTATGACGGACGCATGACGGACGTATGACGTGAAGCTGCGCTCTAATTTAGGATGGATTTCTAATTTTGTGCGCACCAACGCGTCTCCCATTGAAATCTCATGTAAAACATTATTTTTCTAGCGGTCCTTGGCTCTAGATCACATCTACACACACACACACACACACACACACACACACACACACACACACACACACACACACACACACACACAGCACTTGTGTCTAAACATCAGCAGGAGGAGCAGCAGGTTTTACAGTGATTCTGGACATCGTTTTTTTTTCTTTCATAAAGTCTGGCGTCTGGTCAAACCAGCAACAGAGACCATGAAGACAAACACATGTGATCTGTGTTGCTCTACATCAGTCTCTGTACTGTCCTCTACACTGCTCCATAGACTACACAGGGACAGCATCAGTCTCTGTACTGTCCTCTACACTGCTCCATAGACTACACAGGGACAGCATCAGTCTCTGTACTGTCCTCTACACTGCTCCATAGACTACACAGGGACAGCATCAGTCTCTGTACTGTCCTCTACACTGCTCCATAGACTACACTGGGACAGCATCAGTCTCTGTACTGTCCTCTACACTGCTCCATAGACTACACAGGGACAGCATCAGTCTCTGTACTGTCCTCTACACTGCTCCATAGACTACACAGGGACAGCATCAGTCTCTGTACTGTCCTCTACACTGCTCCATAGACTACACAGGGACAGCATCAGTCTCTGTACTGTCCTCTACACTGCTCCATAGACTACACAGAGACAGCATCAGTCTCTGTACTGTCCTCTACACTGCTCCATAGACTACACAGGGACAGCATCAGTCTCTGTACTGTCCTCTGCACTGCTCCATAGACTACACAGGGACAGCATCAGTCTCTGTACTGTCCTCTACACTGCTCCATAGACTACACAGGGACAGCATCAGTCTCTGTACTGTCCTCTACACTGCTCCACAGACTACACAGGGACAGCATCAGTCTCTGTACTGTCCTCTGCACTGCTCCATAGACTACACAGGGACAGCATCAGTCTCTGTACTGTCCTCTACACTGCTCCATAGACTACACAGGGACAGCATCAGTCTCTGTACTGTCCTCTGCACTGCTCCATAGACTACACTGGGACAGCATCAGTCTCTGTACTGTCCTCTGCACTGCTCCATAGACTACACAGGGACAGCATCAGTCTCTGTACTGTCCTCTACACTGCTCCATAGACTACACAGGGACAGCATCAGTCTCTGTACTGTCCTCTACACTGCTCCATAGACTACACAGGGACAGCATCAGTCTCTGTACTGTCCTCTACACTGCTCCATAGACTACACAGGGACAGCATCAGTCTCTGTACTGTCCTCTACACTGCTCCATAGACTACACAGGGACAGCATCAGTCTCTGTACTGTCCTCTACACTGCTCCATAGACTACACAGGGACAGCATCAGTCTCTGTACTGTCCTCTGCACTGCTCCATAGACTACACAGGGACAGCATCAGTCTCTGTACTGTCCTCTACACTGCTCCATAGACTACACAGGGACAGCATCAGTCTCTGTACTGTCCTCTGCACTGCTCCATAGACTACACAGGGACAGCATCAGTCTCTGTACTGTCCTCTGCACTGCTCCATAGACACACACAGGGACAGCATCAGTCTCTGTACTGTCCTCTACACTGCTCCATAGACTACACAGGGACAGCATCAGTCTCTGTACTGTCCTCTGCACTGCTCCACAGACTACACAGGGAGAGCATCAGTCTCTGTACTGTCCTCTACACTGCTCCATAGACTACACAGGGACAGCATCAGTCTCTGTACTGTCCTCTACACTGCTCCACAGACTACACAGGGACAGCATCAGTCTCTGTACTGTCCTCTACACTGCTCCATAGACTACACAGGGACAGCATCAGTCTCTGTACTGTCCTCTACACTGCTCCATAGACTACACAGGGACAGCATCAGTCTCTGTACTGTCCTCTACACTGCTCCATAGACTACACAGGGACAGCATCAGTCTCTGTACTGTCCTCTACACTGCTCCATAGACTACACAGGGACAGCATCAGTCTCTGTACTGTCCTCTACACTGCTCCATAGACTACACAGGGACAGCATCAGTCTCTGTACTGTCCTCTACACTGCTCCACAGACTACACAGGGACAGCATCAGTCTCTGTACTGTCCTCTACACTGCTCCATAGACTACACAGGGACAGCATCAGTCTCTGTACTGTCCTCTGCACTGCTCCATAGACTACACAGGGACAGCATCAGTCTCTGTACTGTCCTCTACACTGCTCCACAGACTACACAGGGACAGCATCAGTCTCTGTACTGTCCTCTACACTGCTCCATAGACTACACAGGGACAGCATCAGTCTCTGTACTGTCCTCTACACTGCTCCATAGACTACACAGGGACAGCATCAGTCTCTGTACTGTCCTCTGCACTGCTCCATAGACTACACAGGGACAGCATCAGTCTCTGTACTGTCCTCTACACTGCTCCATAGACTACACAGGGACAGCATCAGTCTCTGTACTGTCCTCTACACTGCTCCATAGACTACACAGGGACAGCATCAGTCTCTGTACTGTCCTCTGCACTGCTCCATAGACTACACAGGGACAGCATCAGTCTCTGTACTGTCCTCTACACTGCTCCATAGACACACACAGGGACAGCATCAGTCTCTGTACTGTCCTCTACACTGCTCCATAGACTACACAGGGACAGCATCAGTCTCTGTACTGTCCTCTACACTGCTCCACAGACTACACAGGGACAGCATCAGTCTCTGTACTGTCCTCTACACTGCTCCATAGACTACACAGGGACAGCATCAGTCTCTGTACTGTCCTCTACACTGCTCCACAGACTACACAGGGACAGCATCAGTCTCTGTACTGTCCTCTACACTGCTCCACAGACTACACAGGGACAGCATCAGTCTCTGTACTGTCCTCTACACTGCTCCATAGACTACACAGGGACAGCATCAGTCTCTGTACTGTCCTCTGCACTGCTCCATAGACTACACAGGGACAGCATCAGTCTCTGTACTGTCCTCTGCACTGCTCCATAGACTACACAGGGACAGCATCAGTCTCTGTACTGTCCTCTACACTGCTCCACAGACTACACAGGGACAGCATCAGAAGGACCTGTGCGAGGCCTGTGTAGATACTCCAAAATAATGTTACGCGCAGAGAGCGCGCAGTAAACGCGTACGCACTGTTTACGCCTACTGTGTAAATTCCCCGTTACATGCCGCTTCACAAAGCAGACTTTGTTTACATGTCCGCCTCCGCGGACGTGCGTCAAGGCACATCTGTTGCGTGGTAGTGTTTGGAGAGATCCGCTCATTTATCGAACGACAGGAATCTTTCCTTAGTGGTCCGGTGAATTACCAGGTGTTGTGGACCATGGTCCTTGGAGGCTTCCGCAGTGTGGTTAAAATTACACAGCCTTGTATTATCAAGGCTATGCTCTCATCCTCCTGTGGATCACCACCTGCTGGAGGATGACAAAGGGAAAGAATGGATAGCCCTAAATCACCACAGGATCTTGGAGGACTTTACAAAGTTGACAATTCGCAAACATAGATCAAACTCATTCATTCATTTTCAACCCCTTTGAAGAAGATGACAAAGTTTGGGATTGCGTCTTTAATTCAGACAGAAGACATGTTTTATTGTCGATGGTAGAGACAGCACGATCACAGATACAACAGAATGCAAGTGTATTATACAGAGCGTTGGCATGGAGACCTCCAATCAGCAGCTGCCACAGTGCCATGTAGCTTGGCCTTCAGATCGACACAACAAGGGAAAAGTACTGGCTTCTGCACATTGATAGAATGATGAGTTTAACTTTAACAAAAGTTGATTCAAAGTGTTATGAAATCTCACCCCTTCATTAGTCCATTTCTGGGTTGGGGGGGTGACGATGAGAGCTGCACCCAATGCTCATAGCACCAGTCCCTCTGATCCTCTGCAGGGGGTGGGTCCACAGGAAGATGGCTGCTACATTAGTGGTGTCACTGCTTTGGTGTTTCAGCAGGAGCTTCAGGCAAAGTGGGGTTAAGTGTCTTGCCCAAAGACACAACGACAGTAGACATTCATGGGAGCAGTTGGAGTAGGTCAATCAAACTAATAACTAATATTAAACTAAAATTATCAGATTTTTTTCAAAAAAAGCTTTTGTTTGTTTTCATGGAAATGCTGTTTCTTGGCTGTAATCGTCCACAATATGACATGAAACGTTTTTTTATTTGAAAGAAGAATTTTCCTTAGCATGGTTTTGACTTATTTCCGTTGCATTTTCTTCCTCAAAATAATGTATTGTTCTTTAAATGCATCACCACATTGTTAAACATGTCTTTACTAACTGTCCTCATGTTCATGATTGTTGTTGGACAGGTCAAGTGTGAGCAGTACTGGCCCAGCCGTGGCACAGAGACCTATGGCGTTATCAGTGTGAGCGCTGTGGCGACAGTGGAGCTGGCCACTCACAGTATGCGCACCTTTGTTCTGCACAAGGTGAGGCTTTAATAACTCATGCCTTAATGACAAAGCTCTAACTATTACTGTAACTGCAACCTAACCATTTTATTTTTGTCGTCTCTGAGGTTTTTACAAAGTTCACAGACAAATCAGAACTGAGGCAGTAGTGCTAGTAGTTGCTGACTAGCAATTAGCAAACTACAGGTGGAATGTTACAATGCCTCTCAAAATTACTAAAACACCTTCAATCAATCAATCAAAGTTTATTTGTAGAGCGCCTTTCATACACAGGGCAACACAAAGCGCTTCACAGTCCACATCACAAATCATCACATAAAACAAACACCAGAATCACAATTAAAACATTAAAATCACACAAAAGATTAAAACCATTAAAACTTTCAAAATTACACAAGGAATTAAAAAAGTAAAATAAAATAAATGACAACAGTGCATTGGAAATGGAGATAAAATCCTTCAGTTGTATGCACAGGCAAACAGAACAGTCTTTAACCTGGATTTGAACATTGACAGAGTAGACGTCTCTCTCACATTTTCAGGGAGATTGTTCCAGATCTTAGCGGCATGGATCTGAAACGGAGCCTCCCCATGTTTGGTTCTCACTCTGGGCACCAGCAGGAGGCCAGTCCCTGTGCTCCTCAGAGTCCCAGCAGGAGTCCAGTCCCTGTGCTCCTCAGAGTCCCAGCAGGAGTCCAGTCCCTGTGCTCCTCAGAGTCCCAGCAGGAGGCCAGTCCCTGTGCTCCTCAGAGTCCCAGCAGGAGGCCAGTCCCTGTGCTCCTCAGAGTCCCAGCAGGAGGCCAGTCCCTGTGCTCCTCAGAGTCTCAGCAGGAGGCCAGTCCCTGTGCTCCTCAGAGTCCCAGCAGGAGGCCAGTCCCTGTGCTCCTCAGAGTCCCAGCAGGAGTCCAGTCCCTGTGCTCCTCAGAGTCCCAGCAGGAGTCCAGTCCCTGTGCTCCTCAGAGTCCCAGCAGGAGTCCAGTCCCTGTGCTCCTCAGAGTCCGGGCTGGTTCATATGGGACTAACATGTCACTAATATATTTTGGTGCGAGGCCATGGAGAGACTTGTAACAAGCAGAGCTGTTTTAAAGTCTATTCTCTGAGCCACAGGAAGCCAGTGCAGAGACCTGAGAACTGGACTAATGTGGTCGTACTTCCTGGTTCTTGTCAGGACTAATGTGGTCGTACTTCCTGTTCTAGTCAGGACTAATGTGGTCATACTTCCTGGTTCTTGTCAGGACTCGAGCTGCTGCATTTTGGATGCAGCAGCTCGAGACAGTGGAGCTAATCCAAATCAAATAAACAACCTGCCGTTTCTTAACATAAGAATTGACTATATTCTCTGTAAATGTATTTATGTAACTTACTAGATAAGATGCTCATGCTCGGTTCGAATCTCGGTGGGAACAGAGTCACTGAGTGGACTGGTCATTCTGAGTGTCAGTTTATCCTACATCTAAAAACATGTACAATAGGCAAATCCTCCAGCTCTGGTCCTGACCAAGTCGAATATGAATATCTGGAGATGGGTCCCATCAGAAGTCCCAGTGAATTGCAGGATTGGTACAATGCAGAGGACAATTAGTTGCAGAGGATAAATAAAGTATCTTAACCTTGATACAGAAAATGAAAATCCAAATAACTAATTTTATGTGTGCTGCTGTGGTTTCCAGGTTGGCAGCAGTCTGAAAAGAGAAGTCCGTCAGTTCCAGTTTTTGGCGTGGCCAGATCATGGCGTACCCGAGTATCCCACACACATACTGGGCTTTCTGAGCAAGGTCCGGGCCTGGAAACTCTCAGACACTGGCCCTGTTGTGGTGCACTGCAGGTAAAAGATCCACATACTCATCCACATTGGTGTCCAGACACCGGGACGCAGTGGATGAGTTGACCCGGCGAGTCCCGAGGGGGTGGAGGGTAGGGGATCTACTGCTTTTCAGAGTCTGCAGTGATTACATTTGTCCACTAGATGTCAGTGTTATAATGAAATGATACTAAACATTTGGATGAGCTGTGTGTGTGATGGGAATCCAGGGAAAGGGACTCTTTCAGAGGTACCAAAGAAAGTTTGGACGACTACACTGACACTGCGACGCAATACATTCACTTCTGCAAGGACAGCATAATCCCAACAAGGGTCATCTACAACAATGATAAACCCTGGTTCAATGCTGAGCTCAGGCAGCTCAGGAAATTGAAAGGGTCCACTTTCAGAGAGGAAGACAGCAGCGGAATTCAGGAATGCACCAGCAGTTCCAGCACGCGGAGATTAAAAAGAAAGATAAAAATATAAAATCCCTCAGTTGTAGCACAGCTAAACAGAACTGTCTTTAACCTGGTTTTAAACATTGTCAGAGAGGAGGCCTGTCTCCCAGCAGGAGTCCAGTCCCTGTGCTCCTCAGAGTCCCAGCAGGAGTCCAGTCCCTGTGCTCCTCAGAGTCCCAGCAGGAGTCCAGTCCCTGTGCTCCTCAGAGTCCCAGCAGGAGTCTAGTCCCTGTGCTCCTCAGAGTCCCAGCAGGAGTCCAGTCCCTGTGCTCCTCAGAGTCCCAGCAGGAGGCCAGTCCCTGTGCTCCTCAGAGTCCCAGCAGGAGGCCAGTCCCTGTGCTCCTCAGAGTCCCAGCAGGAGTCCAGTCCCTGTGCTCCTCAGAGTCCCAGCAGGAGTCCAGTCCCTGTGCTCCTCAGAGTCCCAGCAGGAGTCCAGTCCCTGTGCTCCTCAGAGTCCCAGCAGGAGTCCAGTCCCTGTGCTCCTCAGAGTCCCAGCAGGAGGCCAGTCCCTGTGCTCCTCAGAGTCCCAGCAGGAGTCCAGTCCCTGTGCTCCTCAGAGTCCCAGCAGGAGTCCAGTCCCTGTGCTCCTCAGAGTCCCAGCAGGAGTCCAGTCCCTGTGCTCCTCAGAGTCCCAGCAGGAGTCCAGTCCCTGTGCTCCTCAGAGTCCCAGCAGGTGTCCAGTCCCTGTGCTCCTCAGAGTCCCAGCAGGAGTCCAGTCCCTGTGCTCCTCAGAGTCCCAGCAGGAGGCCAGTCCCTGTGCTCCTCAGAGTCCCAGCAGGAGTCCAGTCCCTGTGCTCCTCAGAGTCCCAGCAGGAGTCCAGTCCCTGTGCTCCTCAGAGTCCCAGCAGGAGTCCAGTCCCTGTGCTCCTCAGAGTCCCAGCAGGAGGCCAGTCCCTGTGCTCCTCAGAGTCCCAGCAGGTGTCCAGTCCCTGTGCTCCTCAGAGTCCCAGCAGGTGTCCAGTCCCTGTCTCCTCAGAGTCCCAGCAGGAGTCCAGTCCCTGTGCTCCTCAGAGTCCCAGCAGGAGGCCAGTCCCTGTGCTCCTCAGAGTCCCAGCAGGAGTCCAGTCCCTGTGCTCCTCAGAGTCCCAGCAGGAGTCCAGTCCCTGTGCTCCTCAGAGTCCCAGCAGGAGTCCAGTCCCTGTGCTCCTCAGAGTCCCAGCAGGAGGCCAGTCCCTGTGCTCCTCAGAGTCCCAGCAGGTGTCCAGTCCCTGTGCTCCTCAGAGTCCCAGCAGGTGTCCAGTCCCTGTGCTCCTCAGAGTCCCAGCAGGAGTCCAGTCCCTGTGCTCCTCAGAGTCCCAGCAGGAGGCCAGTCCCTGTGCTCCTCAGAGTCCCAGCAGGAGTCCAGTCCCTGTGCTCCTCAGAGTCCCAGCAGGAGTCCAGTCCCTGTGCTCCTCAGAGTCCCAGCAGGAGTCCAGTCCCTGTGCTCCTCAGAGTCCCAGCAGGAGTCCAGTCCCTGTGCTCCTCAGAGTCCCAGCAGGAGTCCAGTCCCTGTGCTCCTCAGAGTCCCAGCAGGTGTCCAGTCCCTGTGCTCCTCAGAGTCCCAGCAGGAGTCCAGTCCCTGTGCTCCTCAGAGTCCCAGCAGGTGTCCAGTCCCTGTGCTCCTCAGAGTCCCAGCAGGAGTCCAGTCCCTGTGCTCCTCAGAGTCCCAGCAGGAGTCCAGTCCCTGTGCTCCTCAGAGTCCCAGCAGGAGTCCAGTCCCTGTGCTCCTCAGAGTCCCAGCAGGAGTCCAGTCCCTGTGCTCCTCAGAGTCCCAGCAGGAGTCCAGTCCCTGTGCTCCTCAGAGTCCGGGCTGGTTCATATGGGACTAACATGTCACTAATATATTTTGGTGCGAGGCCATGGAGAGACTTGTAACAAGCAGAGCTGTTTTAAAGTCTATTCTCTGAGCCACAGGAAGCCAGTGCAGAGACCTGAGGACTGGACTAATATGGTCGTACTTCCTGGTTCTAGTCAGGACTAATGTGGTCGTACTTCCTGGTTCTAGTCAGGACTAATGTGGTCGTACTTCCTGGTTCTAGTCTGGACTAATGTGGTCGTACTTCCTGGTTCTAGTCAGGACTAATGCGGTCGTACTTCCTGGTTCTAGTCAGGACTAATGCGGTCGTACTTCCTGGTTCTAGTCAGGACTAATGCGGTCGTACTTCCTGGTTCTAGTCAGGACTAATGTGGTCATACTTCCTGGTTCTAGTCAGGACTGGAGCTGCTGCATTTTGAATGTACTGCAGCTGTTTTACAGCCTGTTTGGACAGACCTGTGAGCAGGCCATTGCAGTAGTCTAACCTACTGGAGACAAATGCATGGATAAGAATCTCCAAGTCTGCTTTAGACACTATGTTTTTGATCCTGGAAATGTTTTTTAGATGGTAAAAAGCTGCTGATGTTACTGATTTGATGTGGCTATTAAAATTTGAGTCTGAGTCCAGTATTACCCCTAGATTTCTGACCTTGTTTGAAGGTTTTAGGGAGAGAGACTGTAGGTGACAGATGACGCTCTCTCTTTGTTTCTGGGGACCAAAGACAATCATTTCGGTTTGTCTCGTAATCTACCTGGAGGTTGGACTTGCGCCACTTCCGCTCGGCCCTCCGGCACTCTCTCTTTTGTGCCCTGACCGAGTCTGCTTTAGCCCACGGCGCCTTCTGCTTATTTTTCACTATTTTAACCTTCACAGGAGCGATGGTGTCCAGAACTTTCAAAACACTAGAGGTGACAGAGTTAAACAGTTCATCTACAGTAGAATACGATGCATTCTCAAAGTTTATCATTCCCATAAATAGTTCACCCGTATTTTCCTTTATGTGTCTTCTTCGAGCAGTTGCAGAGTCCACTGGTGGTTTGTTAGTGAAACACATGTCAAAAAATACATAGCTCCAATGTCTCCCCACCCTGAGAATTGCACTGGAGGAAGTCTATAAAGTCTTCCTGAGGCTTCATCCACAAAAGGCTTGAGGTCCTGACGGTGTCTCACCTGTCACCTTGAGACATTGTTCAAACGTGCTCACTCCAATCTTTGCTGACATTTTTAACATCTCACTGGAGTCTTGCCACGTCCAGGCCAGCTTCAAGACCTCTACCATCGTCCCTGTCCCCAAGAAGACCCCAAGTCACCTGGATTACATATTACCACGACGAGTTCCGTTGGATTATCCAAATTTGGGATGTAACCTGCAGCTGCGATGTGTGGGACTAAAACATCCCCTCCCCCCAGGCTCCCCCATTGTCTATACAGGGGATGAGCTGCTGTGGTTACGCCGCGGGACCGGCATGAGATCCCTGCGGAACTGCTACGTAAATCCAATCGTGGATGTCACGCGGGACGTAAATGCAGGGAGAGGAGGCGGGGACCCACCAGACCTACGCTTTCCTTTGTTACTACGGCCAACGTACGTTCTCTCTGCAACAAAGCCAAAACATGCCAGACTTTGTGAACAAATACTGGTGCAAAGCTAAGCACTATCAAAGCTAAAGCCTGCTGTAGAGACAGAGAGTTGCTAGTCATTAGCATGAGGCCCTACTATCTGCCTCGGAAGTTTAGCTATGTTATTGTCGTAGTGGTCTACAGCCAAGGCTGAGAATGCGTGTGACCTTTTCCACTCTACTGTCAGTAATCTACAGACTCTGCATCCCCAAGCTCTGTTCCTTATCACTGGGGATTTCCACCACACAAATCCCCAAAAAGTCCTTCCCACATTCACCCAGTACATCAACTTTCCCACTGGAGACAATAGAACTTTAGATCTCTTCTTTGCAAATGCCACAGGGGCATACAACCCAACTGCTACGCCCCCTTTGGCTGTTCTGACCATAACATCGTCAATCTACACCCCTATTGTACACAGGCAACCAGCCATTCCCCGGCTGGCCCAGAGGTGGACTGTGGTGTGTGAAGACAGGCTGAGGGACTGTTTTAACTGCTCACTGTGCGATGAACCGTGTGACCACGGGGATGACATCGTGGTCACACGGTTCATCCAAAAAAAATTGGGTGACCTTATGCTTTGTCTAACAAAAATGTGAAAAATACTATATCATTGTACTTTATTTAATGTATTTTGACGAGGATGGATTAAACAAATGATCCAAAGACCCTTGTTTGCTGATATATGTGGTTTGAACGATTGCAGTGCGGGAGTGGGCCGGACCGGATGCTTCATTGCCATAGACGCCATGCTGGAGAGGATGCAGCAGCAGCAGTCTGTGGACATATATGGCCATGTGACGTACATGCGGGCACAGAGGAACTACATGGTCCAGACGGAGGAGCAATACGTGTTCATCCATGACGCACTGCTGGAGGCTCTTACCTGTGGCCACTCAGACGTCCCTGCTCGATGTCTCCAAGCACATGTGCACAAGCTGAACCAGCCCGAGAACGGCCACAACAGTAACGCCATGGCCATTGAGTTCAAGGTCAGTCTCAAACAAAGGTCTAGAGCAGGGGTGCTCACACTTTTTCAGCATGCGAGCTACTTATAAAAGGATCAAGTCAAAATGATCTACCTACTACAAAAATGCAAATCATATATTTATTTCAAAAAATATTCTTTATACCTACAATGTATGTTTATGTACATGCAAAACCGCATGAGCCAATTTAGCACAACACAATTACCTATGTACATTTTTTGTCATTACCCGAGTTTACTCTGATGACTTGCACTGAATTGAATCGGCCAGAGATGCATAGTCCGGAAAATTGGTGGTAACTCGCTGACAAGTTTGTCGTGGTTTAGCTTTCCTGCACTGAGCGCGGTTGTTTGCGCATGTGCAGTCACCTAAGTGTCAGTAAAACATTACTGAGTAAAACACAGATGTCATTTGACTGTGGTGCCATGTCCATGTGCCATGCCTGTTTTTTTAAATCCAAATATTTCCCCTCCTCAGTTTATAAAATAATTTGCATCCACACATCTGCGTTATCAATCACATTCGTAACATTCCAAACATGTGCGTCTCTTACGTCCTGTCCTGCGTTGGGGAAAAACACAGAAGTGGGCGGAGCTTTGATGCAGACGCCGGTAACGGCACTTTTACAGTCATAGAAGACACTCAGAGTAAAGACGTATATTTACAAGCAATGACCCCGTCCTCAGCCCTGGTTTAGTCCTGGTTTAGTCCTGGTTTAGTCCTGGTTTGGTTGTTTTCGAGCGTGAGTCCCCGCGATCACTTTGCTGCTCTCTGATGTGGAGGATGTTCGCTGCTGCGAGCATCTCACAGCGAACAGTTTTTAAGGTAGTATGATCCATGCTTCAGTGACCAGAGGAATTTAGGGGGGTACTGTGGCGTGCGAGAACGCAAAACTCTGGTTATCTCTGTCTACACACAAATGCATTAACGGAGTTTTCAAAAATCTCCACTTTGCCCGGAGTTTTTTGTATATATTTGTTTAGAATGTGTAATTTTTTCATTTATTTAATGCGATCTACCAATACTACCTTTGCGATCGACTGGTAGATCGCGATCGACGTATTGAGCACCCCTGGTCTAGAGATTGCTTCATTTATTCTAAATGTTGGTACTATCAGTGAAGCAAACCATCATAGGCTGAAAGGCAAAACTAACAAAAGGTGTGGCTACATAAATCAATGAAGATGTTTTTTTGTAAAGTAGAACCAAGATAAATACATACAAAAAACAAAATAAAAAACAGTGCAATTACATATGAAACAAATTGTAATAAAAGTTGATATACATTTTTTTACGTTCACATCTAAAACAGGACCTCTTTAGGGTTATACCCTGCTCTCCCCTGGTCCCCTGCTCTCCTTTAATTCAATTAAATTAAATTCAATGGTTTAGTCCTAAATCACAACAGATCACATCTCAGATGACTTAACAGAATCATTGTGATTGCCAACACGGATCAGAGGATCAAACAGTTAAAACACAGAAAAATATAGAACACACAGGTATTGGTCCATAGGGCGAGTTGACCAATGTCCATGAATTTTGATAAATGTCCAAAAATGTTGTAGAATGTAGAACGTCCTGGATCATCACCACAGTCCATTTTGAACAAGAACAAGGTTGTAGAACAAGGACAGGTACGGTGCAGGACTGAAGCACCTCCCAGCAGACGGGGGGTGCAGCCCACAAGGCGGGTCGGGCAGTTCACAGGTGCAGAGGGAGGGGGCCGGGCTCTATGGAGCTATTGTTGTTTCAAAAATATTTGTGCGTGCGTAAACAGATTTATGTGTGCATAAAAAGATTTGTTCGTCTGTAACCAGATTTGAGTGTGCGGGAAAAAAACTGTGTGCTATCTAGATTTGTGTGTGTCTACAATAATATTTGTGAGTGTGTAACCAGATTTGTATGTGCATAACAAGATTTTCGTTTGCGTAACTAGATCTGTGTGTGTGTAAAAAAAAAAGTTATACACACAAGTCTTTCTTTTGCACACAGATCTTTTGACACAGTCCTGCCTTCACAGATTCGCAAGTGTAACTTGGACTGTGTGCGTGTGTACCCATATTTGTGTGTGTGTATTTTGACATTTGTATCTGAACAATCTGTGTGTAAATAACCACGTTGTAAGAAGAGAACATCGGAAAAAACCCAAGTGCTACACACAGGCTCTCGTTTTACACATGAAACTTTTGACACACTCCTGCCGTCAGTGTCTCTGGAGATTCTTAAGTGTAATATGGTTGTTCTACCACATTACACTTACAAATCTCACACATAGGAGTGTGTCAAAAGTTTCATGTGTAAAACGAGAGCCTGTGCATAGCACTTTTCCGATGTTCACTTCTTACAAGGTGGTTATGTCAAATTACACACACACAAATCTGGGTACACACGCACACAGTCCAAGTTACACTTGCGAATCTGCGAAGGCAGGACTGTGCGTATAACATTTTTTTTAAAACAGCACGCACACAGATGATGAATAGTATTTCATAATTTGATTTGACTCTGGTGAAAAGCAGGGGTTTTCACAATCCTTTACTCTGAATGTTCTAATAGGAGCATGTTTTTTTACAAATGACGTGTTTAAAATCATGTGATTAGTTGTTGATCCATGTTTATTTTATGTGTGTGTTCTCAGAAGCTAAGCAGCTGTCCTGTACAGGCCTTCACATTCATCAGTGCTACTTTACCGTGCAATAAATCCAAGAATCGACTGGAGACTGTCCTGCCGTTTGAGGCAAGCCGCGTGAGGCTGCAACCGCTCAGAGGCCTGCAGGGCTCAGACTACATAAACGCCAGCTTCATCGATGGATACAGGTCTGAAAGCATCTCACCTAGAGGGAGGGGCCCAGGTGTCTCAAAATATCACAAATGCTAGAGAGACTATTATTGTGAAAAAGTGAAAAAGCGATATATTGTGAAATACTGTATAAAAAAATTTAAAAAATTGTCCACTCACCTTTGGCCCTCCGCGGGCAGTTATCCCTCTCTAAGCTCGGGTCCTCTACCAGAGGCCTGGGAGCCTGAGGGTTCAGTATCTTTGCTGTTCCTAGCACAAATCCAAAACACAAATAATCAACTTGTTTAAAACCGCTGGGAAAATCATGGGCACGCCTGTCCCTCTTGGCCCCCAGGAGCTCTATGAGCAGACCAGGAGGAGACAGACCAGGAGGAGACAGACCATGAGGAGACAGACCAGGAGGAGACAGACCAGGAGGAGACAGACCAGGAGGAGACAGACCAGGAGGAGACAGACCAGGAGGAGACGGACCAGGAGGAGACAGACCATGAGGAGACAGACCAGGAGGAGACAGACCAGGAGGAGACAGACCAGGAGGAGACGGACCAGGAGGAGACAGACCATGAGGAGACAGACCAGGAGGAGACAGACCAGGAGGAGACAGACCAGGAGGAGACGGACCAGGAGGAGACAGACCATGAGGAGACAGACCAGGAGGAGACAGACCAGGAGGAGACAGACCAGGAGGAGACAGACCAGGAGGAGACAGACCAGGAGGAGACAGACCATGAGGAGACAGACCAGGAGGAGACAGACCAGGAGGAGACAGACCATGAGGAGACAGACCAGGAGGAGACAGACCAGGAGGAGACAGACCAGGAGGAGACAGACCAGGAGGAGACAGACCAGGAGGAGACAGACCAGGAGGAGACGGACCAGGAGGAGACAGACCAGGAGGAGACAGGCCATGAGAGACAGACCAGGAGGAGACAGACCAGGAGGAGACAGACCAGGAGGAGACGGACCAGGAGGAGACAGACCATGAGGAGACAGACCAGGAGGAGACAGACCAGGAGGAGACAGACCATGAGGAGACAGACCAGGAGGAGACAGACCAGGAGGAGACAGACCATGAGGAGACAGACCAGGAGGAGACAGACCAGGAGGAGACAGACCAGGAGGAGACAGACCATGAGGAGACAGACCAGGAGGAGACAGACCAGGAGGAGACAGACCAGGAGGAGACAGACCAGGAGGAGACAGACCATGAGGAGACAGACCAGGAGGAGACAGACCAGGAGGAGACAGACCAGGAGGAGACAGACCAGGAGGAGACAGACCATGAGGAGACAGACCAGGAGGAGACAGACCAGGAGGAGACAGACCAGGAGGAGACAGACCATGAGGAGACAGACCATGAGGAGACAGACCATGAGGAGACAGACCAGGAGGAGACAGACCAGGAGGAGACAGACCATGAGGAGACAGACCAGGAGGAGACAGACCAGGAGGAGACAGACCAGGAGGAGACAGGCCATGAGGAGACAGACCATGAGGAGACAGACCAGGAGGAGACAGACCAGGAGGAGACAGACCAGGAGGAGACAGACCAGGAGGAGACAGACCAGGAGGAGACAGACCAGGAGGAGACAGACCATGAGGAGACAGACCATGAGGAGACAGACCAGGAGGAGACAGACCAGGAGGAGACAGACCATGAGGAGACAGACCAGGAGGAGACAGACCAGGAGGAGACAGACCAGGAGGAGACAGACCATGAGGAGACAGACCAGGAGGAGACAGACCAGGAGGAGACAGACCATGAGGAGACAGACCATGAGGAGACAGACCAGGAGGAGACAGACCAGGAGGAGACAGACCAGGAGGAGACAGACCAGGAGGAGACAGACCAGGAGGAGACAGACCAGGAGGAGACAGACCAGGAGGAGACAGACCAGGAGGAGACAGACCAGGAGGAGACAGACCATGAGGAGACAGACCATGAGGAGACAGACCAGGAGGAGACAGACCAGGAGGAGACAGACCATGAGGAGACAGACCAGGAGGAGACAGACCAGGAGGAGACAGACCAGGAGGAGACAGACCAGGAGGAGACAGACCATGAGGAGACAGACCAGGAGGAGACAGACCATGAGGAGACAGACCATGAGGAGACAGACCATGAGGAGACAGACCATGAGGAGACAGACCAGGAGGAGACAGACCAGGAGGAGACAGACCATGAGGAGACAGACCAGGAGGAGACAGACCAGGAGGAGACAGACCAGGAGGAGACAGGCCATGAGGAGACAGACCATGAGGAGACAGACCAGGAGGAGACAGACCAGGAGGAGACAGACCAGGAGGAGACAGACCAGGAGGAGACAGACCATGAGGAGACAGACCAGGAGGAGACAGACCAGGAGGAGACAGACCAGGAGGAGACAGACCATGAGGAGACAGACCATGAGGAGACAGACCAGGAGGAGACAGACCAGGAGGAGACAGACCATGAGGAGACAGACCAGGAGGAGACAGACCAGGAGGAGACAGACCAGGAGGAGACAGACCATGAGGAGACGGACCAGGAGGAGACAGACCAGGAGGAGACAGACCAGGAGGAGACAGACCAGGAGGAGACAGACCATGAGGAGACAGACCAGGAGGAGACAGACCAGGAGGAGACAGACCAGGAGGAGACAGACCAGGAGGAGACAGACCATGAGGAGACAGACCATGAGGAGACAGACCAGGAGGAGACAGACCATGAGGAGACAGACCAGGAGGAGACAGACCAGGAGGAGACAGACCATGAGGAGACAGACCAGGAGGAGACAGACCAGGAGGAGACAGACCAGGAGGAGACAGACCAGGAGGAGACAGACCAGGAGGAGACAGACCAGGAGGAGACAGACCAGGAGGAGACAGACCATGAGGAGACAGACCAGGAGGAGACAGACCAGGAGGAGACAGACCATGAGGAGACAGACCATGAGGAGACAGACCAGGAGGAGACAGACCATGAGGAGACAGACCAGGAGGAGACAGACCAGGAGGAGACAGACCATGAGGAGACAGACCAGGAGGAGACAGACCAGGAGGAGACAGACCAGGAGGAGACAGACCATGAGGAGACAGACCATGAGGAGACAGACCAGGAGGAGACAGACCAGGAGGAGACAGACCATGAGGAGACAGACCAGGAGGAGACAGACCATGAGGAGACAGACCAGGAGGAGACAGACCAGGAGGAGACAGACCAGGAGGAGACAGGCCAGGAGGAGACAGACCAGGAGGAGACAGACCAGGAGGAGACAGACCAGGAGGAGACAGACCAGGAGGAGACAGACCAGGAGGAGACAGACCAGGAGGAGACAGACCATGAGGAGACAGACCAGGAGGAGACAGACCAGGAGGAGACAGACCAGGAGGAGACAGACCATGAGGAGACAGACCAGGAGGAGACAGACCATGAGGAGACAGACCAGGAGGAGACAGGCCAGGAGGAGACAGACCAGGAGGAGACAGACCAGGAGGAGACAGACCAGGAGGAGACAGACCAGGAGGAGACAGACCATGAGGAGACAGACCAGGAGGAGACAGACCAGGAGGAGACAGACCATGAGGAGACAGACCAGGAGGAGACAGACCAGGAGGAGACAGACCATGAGGAGACAGACCAGGAGGAGACAGACCAGGAGGAGACAGACCATGAGGAGACAGACCATGAGGAGACAGACCAGGAGGAGACAGACCAGGAGGAGACAGACCATGAGGAGACAGACCATGAGGAGACAGACCAGGAGGAGACAGACCAGGAGGAGACAGACCATGAGGAGACAGACCAGGAGGAGACAGACCAGGAGGAGACAGACCAGGAGGAGACAGACCAGGAGGAGACAGACCATGAGGAGACAGACCAGGAGGAGACAGACCATGAGGAGACAGACCATGAGGAGACAGACCATGAGGAGACAGACCATGAGGAGACAGACCAGGAGGAGACAGACCAGGAGGAGACAGACCATGAGGAGACAGACCAGGAGGAGACAGACCAGGAGGAGACAGACCAGGAGGAGACAGGCCATGAGGAGACAGACCATGAGGAGACAGACCAGGAGGAGACAGACCAGGAGGAGACAGACCAGGAGGAGACAGACCAGGAGGAGACAGACCATGAGGAGACAGACCAGGAGGAGACAGACCATGAGGAGACAGACCAGGAGGAGACAGACCAGGAGGAGACAGACCAGGAGGAGACAGACCATGAGGAGACAGACCATGAGGAGACAGACCATGAGGAGACAGACCATGAGGAGACAGACCAGGAGGAGACAGACCAGGAGGAGACAGACCATGAGGAGACAGACCAGGAGGAGACAGACCAGGAGGAGACAGACCAGGAGGAGACAGGCCATGAGGAGACAGACCAGGAGGAGACAGACCAGGAGGAGACAGACCAGGAGGAGACAGACCAGGAGGAGACAGACCAGGAGGAGACAGACCAGGAGGAGACAGACCATGAGGAGACAGACCATGAGGAGACAGACCAGGAGGAGACAGACCAGGAGGAGACAGACCATGAGGAGACAGACCAGGAGGAGACAGACCAGGAGGAGACAGACCAGGAGGAGACAGACCAGGAGGAGACAGACCAGGAGGAGACAGGCCATGAGGAGACAGACCATGAGGAGACAGACCAGGAGGAGACAGACCAGGAGGAGACAGACCAGGAGGAGACAGACCAGGAGGAGACAGACCATGAGGAGACAGCCCAGGAGGAGACAGACCAGGAGGAGACAGACCAGGAGGAGACAGACCAGGAGGAGACAGACCAGGAGGAGACAGACCAGGAGGAGACAGACCAGGAGGAGACAGACCATGAGGAGACAGACCAGGAGGAGACAGACCAGGAGGAGACAGACCATGAGGAGACAGACCAGGAGGAGACAGACCAGGAGGAGACAGACCATGAGGAGACAGACCAGGAGGAGACAGACCAGGAGGAGACAGACCAGGAGGAGACAGACCATGAGGAGACAGACCATGAGGAGACAGACCAGGAGGAGACAGACCATGAGGAGACAGACCAGGAGGAGACAGACCAGGAGGAGACAGACCAGGAGGAGACAGACCAGGAGGAGACAGACCATGAGGAGACAGACCAGGAGGAGACAGACCAGGAGGAGACAGACCAGGAGGAGACAGCCCAGGAGGAGACAGACCAGGAGGAGACGGACCAGGAGGAGACAGACCAGGAGGAGACAGACCATGAGGAGACAGACCATGAGGAGACAGACCAGGAGGAGACAGACCAGGAGGAGACAGACCAGGAGGAGACAGACCAGGAGGAGACAGACCATGAGGAGACAGACCAGGAGGAGACAGACCAGGAGGAGACAGACCAGGAGGAGACAGACCATGAGGAGACAGACCAGGAGGAGACAGACCATGAGGAGACAGACCAGGAGGAGACAGGCCAGGAGGAGGACAGACCAGGAGGAGACAGACCAGGAGGAGACAGACCAGGAGGAGACAGACCAGGAGGAGACAGACCAGGAGGAGACAGACCAGGAGGAGGAGACAGACCAGGAGGAGACAGACCATGAGGAGACAGACCAGGAGACAGACCAGGAGGAGACAGACCAGGAGGAGACAGACCAGGAGGAGACAGACCAGGAGGAGGAGGAGACAGACCAGGAGGAGACAGACCATGAGGAGACAGACCATGAGGAGACAGACCAGAGGAGACAGACCAGGAGGAGACAGACCAGGAGGAGACAGACCAGGAGGAGACCAGAGAGACAGACAGGAGGAGACAGACCAGGAGGAGACAGACCAGGAGGAGACAGACCAGGAGGAGACAGACCAGGAGGAGACAGACCAGGAGGAGACAGACCAGGAGGAGACAGACCATGAGGAGACAGACCAGGAGGAGACAGACCAGGAGGAGACAGACCAGGAGGAGACAGACCAGGAGGAGACAGACCAGGAGGAGACAGACCAGGAGGAGACAGACCATGAGGAGACAGACCAGGAGGAGACAGACCAGGAGGAGACAGACCATGAGGAGACAGACCAGGAGGAGACAGACCAGGAGGAGACAGACCATGAGGAGAGGAGACAGACCAGGAGGAGACAGAGGAGGAGAGACCAGGAGACCAGAGACAGACCAGGAGGAGACAGACCAGGAGGAGACAGACCATGAGGAGACAGACCAGGAGACACCAGAGGAGACAGACCAGACAGACCATGGAGGAGGACAGACCAGGAGGAGACAGGAGGAGACAGACCATAGAGACAGACCAGAGGAGACAGACCAGGAGGAGACAGACCAGAGACAGACCATGAGGAGACAGACCAGGAGGAGACAGACCATGAGGAGACAGACCAGGAGGAGACAGACCAGGAGGAGACAGACCAGGAGGAGACAGACCAGGAGGAGACAGACCAGGAGGAGACAGACCAGGAGGAGACAGACCAGGAGGAGACAGACCAGGAGGAGACAGACCAGGAGGAGACAGACCAGGAGGAGACAGACCATGAGGAGACAGACCAGAGGAGACAGACCAGGAGGAGACAGACCAGAGGAGGAGGAGACAGACCAGGAGGAGACAGACCATGAGGAGACAGACCAGGAGGAGACAGACCAGGAGGAGACAGACCAGGAGGAGACAGACCAGAGGAGACAGACCAGGAGGAGACAGACCAGGAGGAGGAGAGACAGACCAGGAGGAGACAGACCAGAGGAGACAGACCAGGAGGAGACAGACCAGGAGGAGACAGACCATGAGGAGACAGACCAGGAGGAGACAGACTGAGGAGACTCAGGAGGAGACTGGTCTCAGACCAGGAGGAGGTCTCCATGAGGAGACAGACTGGTCAGACCAGGAGGAGACTCCAGGAGGAGACAGACCAGGAGGAGACAGACCAGGAGGAGACAGACCAGGAGGAGACTGACCAGGAGGAGACAGACCATGAGGGAGACAGACCAGGAGGAGACCAGACCCTGGTCTCTCTCTGGACCAGGAGGTCTCTCTCTGGGTCTCTCTCTGGTCTCAGACTTGGTCAGGTCTCTCTCTGGTCTCTCTCTGGTCTCTCTCTGGTCTCTCTCTGGTCTCTCTCTGGTCTCTCTCTGGTCTCTCTCTTGGTTCTCTCTCTGGTCTCTCTGGTCTCTCTCTGGTCTCTCTCTCTGGTCTCTCTCTGGTCTCTCTCTGGTCTCTCTCTGGTCTCTCTCTCTGGTCTCTCTCTCTGGTCTCTCTCTGGTCTCTCTCTGGTCTCTCTCTCTGGTCTCTCTCTGGTCTCTCTCTGGTCTCTCTCTGGTCTCTCTCTCTGGTCTCTCTCTGGTCTCTCTCTGGTCTCTCTCTGGTCTCTCTCTGGTCTCTCTCTTGGTCTCTCTCTGGTCTCTCTCTGGTCTCTCTCTGGTCTCTCTCTGGGTCTCTCTCTGGTCTCTCTCTGGTCTCTCTCTGGTCTCTCTTGGTCTCTCTGGTCTCTCTCTGGTCTCTCTCTGGTCTCTCTCTGGTCTCTCTCTCTGGTCTCTCTCTGGTCTCTCTCTGGTCTCTCTCTGGTCTCTCTCTGGTCTCTCTCTCTGGTCTCTCTCTGGTCTCTCTGGTCTCTCTCTCTCTCTGGTCTCTCTCTGGTCTCTCTCTCTCTCTCTGGTCTCTCTCTGTCTCTCTCTCTGGTCTCTCTGGTCTCTCTCTGGTATCTCTGGTCTCTCTCTGGTCTCTCTCTGGTCTCTCTCTGGTCTCTCTCTGGTCTCTCTCTGGTCTCTCTCTGGTCTCTCTCTGGTCTCTCTCTGGTCTCTCTCTGGTCTCTCTCTGGTCTCTCTCTCTCTCTGGTCTCTCTATGGTCTCTCTCTCTCTCTGGTCTCTCTCCTGGTCTCTCTCTGGTCTCTCTCTGGTCTCTCTCTGGTCTCTCTCTGGTCTCTCTCTGGTCTCTCTCTGGTCTCTCTCTGGTCTCTCTCTGGTCTCTCTCTCTCTGGTCTCTCTATGGTCTCTCTCTGGTCTCTCTCTGGTCTCTCTCTGGTCTCTCTCTGGTCTCTCTCTGGTCTCTCTCTCTATGGTCTCTCTCTGGTCTCTCTCTGGTCTCTCTCTGGTCTCTCTCTGGTCTCTCTCTGGTCTCTCTCTGGTGTCTCTCTGGTCTCTCTCCGGTCTCTCTCCAGTCTCTCTATGGTCTCTCTCCGGTCTCTCTCTGGTCTCTCTCTGGTCTCTCTCTGGTCTCTCTCTGGTCTCTCTCTGGTCTCTCTCTGGTCTCTCTCTGGTCTCTCTCTGGTCTCTCTCTGGTCTCTCTCTGGTCTCTCTCTAGTCTCTCTCTGGTCTCTCTCTGGTCACTCTCTAGTCTCTCTCTGGTCTCTCTCTCTGGTCTCTCTCTGGTCTCTCTCTCTGGTCTCTCTCTGGTCTCTCTCTGGTCTCTCTCTGGTCTCTCTCTCTCTGGTCTCTCTCTCGTCTCTCTCTAGTCTCTCTCTGGTCTCTCTCTGGTCTCTCTCTGGTCTCTCTCTGTTCTCTCTCTGGTCTCTCTCTGGTCTCTCTCTATGGTCTCTCTCTGGTCTCTCTCTGGTCTCTCTCTGGTCTCTCTCTGGTCTCTCTCTGGTCTCTCTCTGGTCTCTCTCTGGTCTCTCTCTGGTCTCTCTCTGGTCTCTCTCTGGTCTCTCTCCGGTCTCTCTCCGGTCTCTCTCTGGTCTCTCTCTGGCCTTTCTCTGGTCTCTCTCTGGTCTCTCTCTCTGGTCTCTCTCTGTTCTCTCTCTGGTCTCTCTCTGGTCTCTCTCTCTGGTCTCTCTCTTGGTCTCTCTCTGGTCTCTCTCTGGTCTCTCTCTATGGTCTCTCTCTGGTCTCTCTCTGGTCTCTCTCTGGTCTCTCTCTGGTCTCTCTCTGGTCTCTCTCTGGTCTCTCTCTGGTCTCTCTCTGGTCTCTCTATGGTCTCTCTCTGGTCTCTCTCCGGTCTCTCTCTGGTCTCTCTCTGGTCTCTCTCTGGTCTCTCTCTGGTGTCTCTCTCGGTCTCTCTCTCGGTCTCTCTCTGGTCTCTCTCTGGTCTCTCTCTGGTCTCTCTCTGGTATCTCTCTAGTCTCTCTGGTCTCTCTCTCTCTGGTCTCTCTCTGGTCTCTCTCTGGTCTCTCTCTGGTCTCTGTCTGTTCTCTCTCTGGTCTCTCTCTGGTCTCTCTCTAGTCTCTCTCTGGTCTCTCTCTGGTCTTTCTCTTGTCTCTGTCTAGTCTCTCTCTGGTCTCTCTCTAGTCTCTCTCTGGTCTCTCTCTCGGGTCTCTCTCTGGTCTCTCTCTCGGGTCTCTCTCTAGTCTCTCTCTGGTCTCTCTCTATGGTCTCTCTCTGGTCTCTCTCTGGTCTCTCTCTGGTCTCTCTCTGGTCTCTCTCTGGTCTCTCTCTGGTCTCTCTCTGGTGTCTCTCTGGTCTCTCTCCGGTCTCTCTCGGTCTCTCTATGGTCTCTCTCTGGTCTCTCTCCGGTCTCTCTCTGGTCTCTCTCTGGTCTCTCTCTGGTCTCTCTCTGGTGTCTCTCTGGTCTCTCTCCGGTCTCTCTCTGGTCTCTCTCTAGTCTCTCTCTGGTCTCTCTCTCTGGTCTCTCTCTGGTCTCTCTCTGGTCTCTCTCTGGGCTCTCTCCGGTCTCTCTCCGGTCTCTCACCGGTCTCTCTCTCTGGTCTCTCTCTGGTCTCTCTCTTGTCTCTCTCTGGTCTCTCTCTGGTCTCTCTCTGGTCTCTCTCTGGTCTCTCTCTGGTCTCTCTCTGGTCTCTCTCTCTGGTCTCTCTCTGGTCTCTCTCTAGTCTCTCTCTGGTCTCTCTCTTGTCTCTCTCTGGTCTCTCTCTAGTCTCTCTCTGGTCTCTCTCTGGTCTTTCTCTGGTCTCTCTCTGGTCTCTCTCTCTGTCTCTCTCTGGTCTCTCTCTCTGGTCTCTCTCTGGTCTCTCTCTGGTCTCTCTCTGGTCTCTCTCTGGTCTCTCTCTAGTCCTCTCTGTCTCTCTCTGGTCTCTCTCTGGTCTCTCTCTCTGGGCTCTCTCTGGTCTCTCTCTGGTCTCTCTCTGGTCTCTCTCTGGTCTCTCTGGTCTCTCTCTGGTCTCTCTCTGGTCTCTCTCCGGTCTCTCTCTGGTCCCTCTGTCTCTCTCTAGTCTCTCTCTGGTCTCTCTCTGGTCTCTCTCTGGTCTCTCTCTGGTCTCTCTCTGGTCTCTCTCTGGTCTCTCTCTGGTCTCTCTCTGGTCTCTCTCAGGGACCACATATCTTTCTTTCTATCTTTACTAAACTATAGGTGTTATTAGGAGATTAAAGTGACGTACCACAGCAGAGGTCTCAGAGGTCCAGATCCAGGTCTCAGGTCTCAGTTCTCAGAGGTCCAGATCCAGGTCTCAGGTCTCAGTTCTCAGAGGTCTCAGATCCAGGTCTCAGGTCCAAAAGCAGTCCACTCCTGTGCTCTGTATGAAGCCGCTGCTCCAACTGTCTGTGAGTCTGAGAGAATCTGTCCTTAGTCCACACAAACACAATCATTAACCTGAGATCAGGTTTATATAGAAGGATTTCAAAGTCCATGGTTTTTATGGTGTTTATGGTTTTATGGCACCATCGTAGCAGTTACAGAGACTGTCCAAAGTGCAGCTGGTCTCTGGTCAAGCTTGAACCTTTCTCAGGTTTAACATAAACATGTATCAAGTGTCAGACTTCTGTGACGTGAAAGTGAAATGATTCTGTGATTATTTAAAAAAGGAAAAGTTGAAGTGAAAAGTCTTTAGTTCATTAAATTCTTTAAAACGTCTCTGAGCTGAACGCCTCAGGATTCCCCCAGATGAGCTGGAGGAGGTGTCTGTGGAGGGGGAAGTCTGTGTCTCTGCTCAGACTGCTGCTCCTGTGACTCAGTACAGTTATATATGTTTTCTATTCATTCCAATAGGGATAGTACACATTTACTGTATACAAGAGGGAGCAGCGTCTGCAATCAGAGCTCTATGTCAGACTGCTGCCCCCGCCACCCGGCAACGGAAATCATGCATTCATCCACTTTTCTGTAAATGTGCCAGCTGTAGTCTCTCTGGTCTCACTGTAGTCTCTCTGGTCTCACTGTAGTCTCTCTGGTCTCTCTCTGGTCTCTCTCTGATCTCTCTCTGATCTCTCTCTTTGGTATCTCTCTGGTCTCTCTCTGGTCCCTTTCTGGTCTATCTCTGGTCTCTCTCTGGTAACAATAATAATAATAATACATTTTATTTAAAAGCGCCTTTCTAAACACCCAAAGACACTGTACAGGACATTAAAAACATAAAAAACAGGATCAACAGAATAAAACAGTAGTGCAATATGGGATGGTGTGTGTGTTAGGTGTGTGTGTGTTAGGTGTGTGTGTGTGTGTGTTAGGTGTGTGTGTGTGTGTGTTAGGTGTGTGGGTGTGTGTGTGTGTGTGTGTTAGGTGTGTGTGTGTGTGTGTGTTAGGTGTGTGTGTGTGTGTGTGTTAGGTGTGTGTGGTGTGTGTGTGTGTGTGTGTGTGTTAGGTGTGTGTGTGTGTTAGGTGTGTGTGTGTGTGTTAGGTGTGTGTGTGTGTGTGTTAGGTGTGTGGGTGCGTGTGTGTTAGGTGTGTGTGTGCGTGTGTGTTAGGTGTGTGGGTGTGTGTGTGTGTGTGTGTTGGGTGTGTGGGTGTGTGTGTTAGGTGTGTGTGTGTGTGTTAGGTGTAAGTAAGTAAGTAAGTAATGTTTATTTATATACCGCCTTTCACAGACAAGGGTCACAAAGCGGTTTACAATTGTTATTATTTTTTGGGGGTCCGGGTGATGTGGGGGTGACTGTTGGTCAGCTGTGGGGTCCGGGTGATGTGGGGGTGATGTGGTCAGTTGTGGGGCTTGTCCGGGTGATGTGGGGGTGATGTGGGTCAGCTGTGGGGGTCCGGGTGATGTGCTCAGTTGTGGGGGTCCGGGTGATGTGGGGGTGATGTGGTCAGCTGTGGGGGTCCGGGTGATGTGCTCAGTTGTGGGGGTCCGGGTGATGTGGGGGTGATGTGGTCAGCTGTGGGGGTCCGGGTGATGTGGTCAGTTGTGGGGGTCCGGTGCTGATGTGGGGGTGATGTGCTCAGTTGTGGGGTGGGTCCGGGTGATGTGGGGGTGATGTGGTCAGTTGTGGGGGTCCGGGTGATGTGGGGGTGATGTGGTCAGCTGTGGGGGTCCGGGTGAATGTGGTCAGTTGTGGGGGGAGTCCGGGAGGTGATGTGGGGGTGATGTGCTCAGTTGTGGGGGTCCGGGTGATGTGGGGGTGATGTGGTCAGTTGTGGGGGGGTCCGGTGGGTGATGTGGGGGTGATGTGGTCAGCTGTGGGGGTCCGGGTGATGTGGGTTGGTGATGTGGTCAGCTGTGGGGGTCCGGGTGATGTGGTCAGCTTGTGGGGTCCGGGTGATGTGGGGGGGGATGTGGTCCAGCTGTGGGGGTCCGGGTCAGCTGTGGGGGTCCGGGTAGAAGGTGATGTGGGGGTGATGTGGTCGCTGTGGGGGTCCGGGTGACTGTGGGGGTGATGTGGTCAGCTGTGGGGGTCCGGGTGATGTGGTCAGTTGTGGGGGTCCGGGTGATGTGGGGGTGAAGTGGTCAGCTGTGGGGGTCCGGGTGATGTGGGGGTGATGTGGTCAGCTGTGTGGGTCCGGGTGATGTGGTCAGTTGTGGGGGTCCGGGTGATGTGGGGGTGATGTGGTCAGCTGTGGGGGTCCGGGTGATGTGCTCAGTTGTGGGGGTCCGGGTGATGTGGGGGTGATGTGGTCAGTTGTGGGGGTCCGGGTGATGTGGGGGTGATGTGGTCAGCTGTGGGGGTCCGGGTGATGTGGGGCGTGATGTGGTCAGTTGTGGGGGTCCGGGTGATGTGGGGGTGATGTGGTCAGCTGTGGGGGTCCGGGTGATGTGGTCAGCTGTGGGGGTCCGGGTGATGTGGGGGTGATGTGGTCAGCTGTGGGGGTCCGGGTGATGTGGGGGGGGATGTGGTCAGCTGTGGGGGTCCGGGTGATGTGGTCAGCTGTGGGGGTCCGCGGTGATGTGGGGGTGATGTGGTCAGTTGTGGGGGTTGCCGGGTGATGTGGTCAGCTGTGGGGGTCCGGGTGATGTGGTCAGTTGTGGGGGTCCCGGGTGATGTGGGGGTGATGTGGTCAGTTGTGGGGGTCCAGGTGATCGTGGGGTGATGTGGTCAGCTGTGGGGGTCCGGGGGTGATGTGGTCAGTTGTGGGGGTCCGGGTGATGTGGGGGTGATGTGGTCAGTTGTGGGGGTCCGGGTGATGTGGTCAGTTGTGGGGGTCCGGGTGATGTGGGGGTGAAGTGAAGTGGTCAGTTGTGGGGTCCGGGGTGATGTGGGGGTGAAGTGGTCAGCTGTGGGGTGTCCGGGTGATGTGGAGTGATGTGGTCAGCTGTGGGGGTTCCGGGTGATGTGCGGGTGATGTGGTTTCAGCTGTGGGGGTCCGGGTGATGTGGTCAGCTGTGGGGGTCCGGGTGATGTGGGGGTGATGTGGTCAGTGTGGGGGTCCGGGTGATGTGGGGGTGATGTGGTCAGTTGTGGGGGTCCGGGTGATGTGGGGGGTGATGTGGTCAGTTGTGGGGTCCGGGTGATGTGGGGGGGGATGTGGGTCAGCTGTGGGGGTCCGGGTGATGTGGTCAGCTGTGGGGGTCCGGGTGATGTGGGGGTGATGTGGTCAGCTGTGGGGGTCCGGGTGATGTGGTCAGCTGTGGGGTCCGGTGATGTGGGGGGGGATGTGGTCAGCTGTGGGGGTCCGGGTGATGTGGTCAGCTGTGGGGGTCCGGGTGATGTGGGGGTGATGTGGTCCAGTTGTGGGGGGTCCGGTGATGTGTGGTCAGTTGTGGGGGTCCGGGTGATGTGGGAGTGTGTGGTCAGCTGTGGGGGTCCGGGTGATGTGGGGGGTGATGTGGTCAGTTGTGGGGGTCCGGGTGATGTGGTCAGTTGTGGGGGTCCGGGTGTGAGTTGTCCGGGTGATGAGTTGTGGGGTGAATGTGGTCAGCTGTGGGGGTCCGGGTGATGTGGGGGGTGATGTGGTCAGTTGTGGGGGTCCGGGGTGATGTGGTCAGCTGTGGGGGTCCGGGTGATGTGGGGGTGATGTGGTCAGTTGTGGGGGTCCGGGTGATGTGGTCAGTTGTGGGGGTCCGGGTGATGTGGGGTCGATGTGGTCAGTGTGGGGGTCCGGGTGATGTGGGGGTCAGTGTGGGGGGTCCGGGTGATGTGGGGGTGATGTGGTCAGCTGTGGGGGTCCGGGATGAGGATGGTGAGCTGCAGAGTTTTGGAGGAGCTGCAGTTTCTGGAGGGATTTGTTGGGGAGGCCAAAGAGAAGAGAGCTGCAGTAGTCAATCCTTGAGGTGACGGTGAGGATGGCTGTGGTGTGGGGGGTGAGAGAGGGGCGGAGACGAGGATGGCTGTGGTGTGGGGGGGTGAGAGAGGGGCGGAGACGAGGATGGCGGTGGTGTGGGGGGTGAGAGAGGGGCGGAGACGAGGATGGCGGTGGTGTGGGGGGGTGAGGGAGGGGCGGAGACGAGGATGGCTGTGTGGTGTGGGGGGTGAGGGAGGGGCGGAGACGAGGATGGCGGTGGTGTGTGGGGGGTGAGGAGAGGGGCGGAGACGAGGATGGCGGTGGTGGTGTGGGGGGTGAGGGAGGGGCGGAGACGAGGATGGCGGTGGTGTGGGGGTGAGGGAGGGGCGGAGACGAGGATGGCGGTGGTGTGGGGGGTGAGGGAGGGGCGGAGACGAGGATGGCGGTGGTGTGGGGGGTGAGGGAGGGGCGGAGACGAGGATGGCGGTGGTGTGGGGGGTGAGGGAGGGGCGGAGACGAGGATGGCGGTGGTGTGGGGGTGAGGGAGGGGCGGAGACGAGGATGGCGGTGGTGGTGGGGGGTGAGGGAGGGGCGGAGACGAGGATGGCGGTGGTGTGGGGGTGAGAGAGGGCGGAGACGAGGATGGCGGTGGTGTGGGGGTGAGGGAGGGGCGGAGACGAGGATGGCGGTGGTGTGGGGGGGTGAGGGAGGGGCGGAGACGAGGATGGCGGTGGTGTGGGGGTGAGAGAGGGGCGGAGACGAGGATGGCGGTGGTTGTGGGGGGTGAGAGAGGGCGGAGACGAGGATGGCGGTGGTGTGGGGGTGAGGGAGGGGCGGGAGACGAGGATGGCGGTGGTGTGGGGGGTGAGGGAGGGGCGGAGACGAGGATGGCGGTGGTGTGGGGGGGAGGGAGGGGCGGAGACGAGGATGGCGGTGGTGTGGGGGGAGGGAGGGCGGAGACGAGGATGGCGGTGGTGTGGGGGGTGAGGGAGGGGCGGAGACGAGGATGGCGGTGGTGTGGGGGGGTGAGGGAGGGGCGGAGACGAGGATGGCGGTGGTGTGGGGGGGAGGGAGGGGCGGAGACGAGGATGGCGGTGGTGTGGGGGGTGAGAGAGGGGCGGAGAGACGAGGATGGGCGGTGGTGTGGGGGGGTGAGAGAGGGGCGGAGACGAGGATGGCGGGTGGGTGTGGGGGGTGAGGGAGGGGCGGAGACGAGGATGGCGGTGGTGTGGGGGTGAGGGAGGGGCGGAGACGAGGATGGCGGTGGTGTGGGGGGGGGAGAGAGGGGCGGGAGACGAGGATGGCGGTGGTGTGGGGGTGAGGGAGGGGCGGAGACGAGGATGGCGGTGGTGTGGGGGTGAGGGAGGGGCGGAGAGGAGGAGGATGGCGGTGGTGTGGGGGGGTGAGGAGGGGCGGAGACGAGGATGGCGGTGGTGTGGGGGGGAGGGAGGGGCGGAGACGAGGATGGCGGTGGTTGAGGGGGGTGCAGGGAGGGGCGGAGACGAGGATGGCGGTGGTGTGGGGGGTGAGGGAGGGGCGGAGACGAGGATGGCGGTGGTGTGGGGGGTGAGGGAGGGGCGGAGACGAGGATGGCGGTGGTGTGGGGGGTGAGGGAGGGGCGGAGACGAGGATGGCGGTGGTGTGGGGGGTGAGGGAGGGGCGGAGACGAGGATGGCGGTGGTGTGGGGGGTGAGGAGGGGCGGAGACGAGGATGGCGGTGGTGTGGGGGGTGAGGGAGGGGCGGAGACGAGGATGGCGGTGGTGTGGGGGTGTGAGGGAGGGGCGGAGACGAGGATGGCGGTGGTGTGGGGGGTGAGGGAGGGGCGGAGACGAGGATGGCGGTGGTTGTGGGGGGGAGGGAGGGGCGGAGACGAGGATGGCGGTGGTGTGGGGGGGGAGAGGGAGGGGCGGAGACGAGGATGGCGGTGGTGTGGGGGGTGAGGGAGGGGCGGAGACGAGAGATATTGCGCAGGTGGAAGTAGGCAGACCCGAGTGATGTTATTGATGTGAGATTGGAAGGAGAGTAAACTGTCGAGGATGACACCCAGACCTGAGGGGAGGGGGGGCAGATGTGTTATGATGGGGAGGGGGGGCAGATGTGTTATGATGGGGAGGGGGGACAGATGTGTTATGATGGGGAGGGGGGGACAGATGTGTTATGATGGGGAGGGGGGGGGCAGATGTGTTATGATGGGGAGGGGGGCACAGATGTGTTATGATGGGGAGGGGGGGGACAGATGTGTTATGATGGGGAGGGGGGCACAGATGTGTTATGATGGGGAGGGGGGGCACAGATGTGTTATGATGGGGAGGGGGGGGGACAGATGTGTTATGATGGGGAGGGGGGGGACAGATGTGTCATGATGGGGAGGGGGGACAGATGTGTTATGATGGGGAGGGGGGGGACAGATGTGTTATGATGGGGAGGGGGGGGACAGATGTGTTATGATGGGGAGGGGGGGCAGATGTGTTATGATGGGGAGGGGGGGCAGATGTGTTATGATGGGGAGGGGGGGACAGATGTGTTATGGATGGGGAGGGGGGCACAGATGTGTTATGATGGGGAGGGGGGCACAGATGTGTTATGATGGGGAGGGGGGGCACAGATGTGTTATGATGGGGAGGGGGGGGACAGATGTGTTATGATGGGGAGGGGGGGCACAGATGTGTTATGATGGGGAGGGGGGGACAGATGTGTTATGGATGGGGAGGGGGGGCAGATGTGTTATGATGGGGAGGGGGGCACAGATGTGTTATGATGGGGAGGGGGGGACAGATGTGTTATGATGGGGAGGGGGGGGACAGATGTGTTATGATGGGGAGGGGGGACAGATGTGTTATGATGGGGAGGGGGGGACAGATGTGTTATGATGGGGAGGGGGGGGACAGATGTGTTATGATGGGGAGGGGGGCACAGATGTGTTATGATGGGGAGGGGGGGACAGATGTGTTATGATGGGGAGGGGGGGACAGATGTGTTATGATGGGGAGGGGGGGACAGATGTGTTATGATGGGGAGGGGGGACAGATGTGTTATGATGGGGAGGGGGGACAGATGTGTTATGATGGGGAGGGGGGGGACAGATGTGTTATGATGGGGAGGGGGGGCAGATGTGTTATGATGGGGAGGGGGGCACAGATGTGTTATGATGGGGAGGGGGGGACAGATGTGTTATGATGGGGAGGGGGGGCAGATGTGTTATGATGGGGAGGGGGGCACAGATGTGTTATGATGGGGAGGGGGGGACAGATGTGTTATGATGGGGAGGGGGGGGACAGATGTGTTATGATGGGGAGGGGGGGACAGATGTGTTATGATGGGGAGGGGGGCACAGATGTGTTATGATGGGGAGGGGGGGCACAGATGTGTTATGATGGGGAGGGGGGGCAGATGTGTTATGATGGGGAGGGGGGGGACAGATGTGTTATGATGGGGGAGGGGGGGGGGCAGATGTGTTATGATGGGGAGGGGGGGGACAGATGTGTTATGATGGGGAGGGGGGGCACAGATGTGTTATGATGGGGAGGGGGGGACAGATGTGTTATGATGGGGAGGGGGGGACAGATGTGTTATGATGGGGAGGGGGGGGACAGATGTGTTATGATGGGGAGGGGGGGGGGCAGATGTGTTATGATGGGGAGGGGGGGGACAGATGTGTTATGATGGGGAGGGGGGGGACAGATGTGTTATGATGGGGAGGGGGGGACAGATGTGTTATGATGGGGAGGGGGGGGGGCAGATGTGTTATGATGGGGAGGGGGGGGGCAGATGTGTTATGATGGGGAGGGGGGGACAGATGTGTTATGATGGGGAGGGGGGGGACAGATGTGTTATGATGGGGAGGGGGGGACAGATGTGTTATGATGGGGAGGGGGGGACAGATGTGTTATGATGGGGAGGGGGGACAGATGTGTTATGATGGGGAGGGGGGGACAGATGTGTTATGATGGGGAGGGGGGACACAGATGTGTTATGATGGGGAGGGGGGACACAGATGTGTTATGATGGGGAGGGGGGGGACAGATGTGTTATGATGGGGAGGGGGGGACAGATGTGTTATGATGGGGAGGGGGGACAGATGTGTTATGATGGGGAGGGGGGGACAGATGTGTTATGATGGGGAGGGGGGACACAGATGTGTTATGATGGGGAGGGGGGACACAGATGTGTTATGATGGGGAGGGGGGGGACAGATGTGTTATGATGGGGAGGGGGGGACAGATGTGTTATGATGGGGAGGGGGGGACAGATGTGTTATGATGGGGAGGGGGGACAGATGTGTTATGATGGGGAGGGGGGGACAGATGTGTTATGATGGGGAGGGGGGACACAGATGTGTTATGATGGGGAGGGGGGACACAGATGTGTTATGATGGGGAGGGGGGGGACAGATGTGTTATGATGGGGAGGGGGGGACAGATGTGTTATGATGGGGAGGGGGGACAGATGTGTTATGATGGGGAGGGGGGGACAGATGTGTTATGATGGGGAGGGGGGACACAGATGTGTTATGATGGGGAGGGGGGCACAGATGTGTTATGATGGGGAGGGGGGGGACAGATGTGTTATGATGGGGAGGGGGGACAGATGTGTTATGATGGGGAGGGGGGGACAGATGTGTTATGATGGGGAGGGGGGGCACAGATGTGTTATGATGGGGAGGGGGGGACAGATGTGTTATGATGGGGAGGGGGGACAGATGTGTTATGATGGGGAGGGGGGGACAGATGTGTTATGATGGGGAGGGGGGGACAGATGTGTTATGATGGGGAGGGGGGACAGATGTGTTATGATGGGGAGGGGGGGACAGATGTGTTATGATGGGGAGGGGGGGACAGATGTGTTATGGATGGGGAGGGGGGCACAGATGTGTTATGATGGGGAGGGGGGGACAGATGTGTTATGATGGGGAGGGGGCACAGATGTGTTATGGATGGGGAGGGGGGGACAGATGTGTTATGATGGGGAGGGGGGGCAGATGTGTTATGATGGGGAGGGGGGACACAGATGTGTTATGATGGGGAGGGGGGGACAGATGTGTTATGGATGGGGAGGGGGGGACAGATGTGTTATGATGGGGAGGGGGGGACAGATGTGTTATGATGGGGAGGGGGGGACAGATGTGTTATGATGGGGGGGGGGGGGACAGATGTGTTATGATGGGGAGGGGGGGACAGATGTGTTATGATGGGGAGGGGGCACAGATGTGTTATGGATGGGGAGGGGGGGACAGATGTGTTATGATGGGGAGGGGGGGCAGATGTGTTATGATGGGGAGGGGGGACACAGATGTGTTATGATGGGGAGGGGGGACACAGATGTGTTATGATGGGGAGGGGGCACAGATGTGTTATGATGGGGAGGGGGGGACAGATGTGTTATGATGGGGAGGGGGGGACAGATGTGTTATGATGGGGAGGGGGGGCAGATGTGTTATGATGGGGAGGGGGACACAGATGTGTTATGATGGGGAGGGGGGACAGATGTGTTATGATGGGGAGGGGGGGACAGATGTGTTATGATGGGGAGGGGGCACAGATGTGTCATGATGGGGAGGGGGGGGACAGATGTGTTATGATGGGGAGGGGGGGGACAGATGTGTTATGATGGGGAGGGGGGACACAGATGTGTTATGATGGGGAGGGGGGGCAGATGTGTTATGATGGGGAGGGGGGCACAGATGTGTTATGGATGGGGAGGGGAGGGGGCACAGATGTGTTATGATGGGGAGGGGGCACAGATGTGTTATGATGGGGAGGGGGGCACAGATGTGTTATGATGGGGAGGGGGGCACAGATGTGTTATGGATGGGGAGGGGAGGGGGCACAGATGTGTTATGATGGGGAGGGGGGCACAGATGTGTTATGATGGGGAGGGGGGGACAGATGTGTTATGGATGGGGAGGGGGGCACAGATGTGTTATGGATGGGGAGGGGAGGGGGGCACAGATGTGTTATGGATGGGGAGGGGGGCACAGATGTGTTATGGATGGGGAGGGGGGCACAGATGTGTTATGGATGGGGAGGGGGGCACAGATGTGTTATGGATGGGGAGGGGGGCACAGATGTGTTATGGATGGAGACAGAGTAGCTGTTAGATTTGGAGAGAGTGCGGGGGGGGGGGGGGGGTGCCTACGAGAAGGACTTCAGTTTTAGAGCTGTTGAGTTTGAGAAAGTTGGAAGAGAACCAGGAATGAATGTCTTGTAGACAGAGGGTGAGGGAGGATGGAGGGAGAGAGGAAGGCTTTCTATAGGCCGCTCAAGGCTTGTATGCAGAAGTGCCAAAGTTTAAAAGCTGTTTTTTAATTCAGCTCTCTGTGTAGTTAATTCAAGCACATTTTAACTGTAGCAATGTTAAGGTTGTGAGCAACTTTATGTCGTCTATCTTTGTGTATGACAATAATCATGCCATTTTAAAGCACATTGAGAACGAATTCAATAGTAATATTTGATGTATGAAAGAAAATGTATTTTTTCCCCCCAGACAGCAGAGGGCGTACATTGCTACACAAGGTCCTCTGGCTGAGACCACAGATGACTTCTGGAGGATGCTCTGGGAAAACAACTCAACAATAGTGGTCATGCTCACCAAACTGAGAGAGATGGAGCGGGTAAGACACCACCCTAATGTGAGTTAGAACGGCCCACACTAACTGGGATAGAGCCGTATGCTTACACAGTAAAGGACAGATCCACATGCTTATAGCATTAGAAGGCCTTTCTGACGTGAAATTATTAGAGTAAATTGGCTTCGATGAAAGCAATTTAACATTTACCATTACTTTTTACCAATAAGGCAAGTGATTATTCTCCCACATTTTTACATCAGGCTTAAAGTGAATGGGAGTCAATGGTTTCCAAAACCATTGAAGTCTTGCAACTTAGTATGAAGCTTCCATGGTGTTTTACATCATTAAAATAATTATTCTCTCCGGAAAACAACCACATAATGTATTTATTTCTAAAGATCAAACTGAAAAGGTAATGGGTAATAAACATATGATGAAATAAATCTGTAAATCCGTCAACGATTCACAGCCTTTTTCTATAGTTCTGTTTCAAGCACAAACATACTTATTTTGTTCAGGAAAACACTAACAAAAGAGAATATCCAGACCCATATTCAGTAAAAGTAATACTTGGTTCATAATAGTACCTCAATAATGTAAAAAGTAAAAAATATTGAAAATTATATGAACAATATAGCAATAATCACAGTATTGTCATATTGTGATAATATTGTTTTGTAAGGGTTATTCCCAGCCCTAATTAGGACCGAGCCCCGACAGGGGCCTTTTGCTTTCATAACGGTGAATGTAAGGGGTCGCGGTGCGTGACGGACTCGTCAATGCCCGTCACTCACCAAAATGTTTGCACAAAAATCAGACCTGGTGAAAAGTTAATGTTTTTGGTGTTCCATTTTATGGGACTAAAAAAATGCCTCAACAGCGCCTCCTACAAAAGCCAATTTATTCAGCCTATGGGAGGGGTCCGAGATCAATTTTGTCGTGGAGCTACACAATTTGGTACACATGTTCCTCAAGTCAAGACATGAAAAAAAAAATCCGTTATGGCTCCGCCCCCTGACAAACAGGAAGCCCATAAATTTCATTGCAAAATGGAAAAAGGCTCCACATTGTCTTAACACATGTACCTTCAAAATGACCTCACAGAATTTATTTTTATGGTACACATTGTTTGAGCAGCGAGCCGCTAAAAGTGACATTTTTTTCCCCATTTTTGACAATGGGCAATCTGCTCCCATTTGCACAAAACTTTAATCCATTGTTCAGCTCCAGGGTCCAGGCCATGTGAAAGTGAAATGATTCAAATTGGCCCATTAGCGCCCCCTACAGACTATGTCAAATTTTACATTTAGTCTTTTCAAAATGTTTTACATTTTGCACATAATTCTGTTTGACGCTGCTTGCGGCTTTAATAATACATTTCATTTATAAGCCCCGAGCCCCAACTGGGGTAAGGAAAACTTGCCAAATTTAGCCCAAAATTCAGAACTAGAAATGTTTTTACTTTTTTGGTGTTTATTTCTATGGGACTAGAAAAATGCCACAACAGCGCACCCTACAAAAGTCAGTTTAGATTGCGCCCATGGGAGAGGGTCTGAGGTCAAGTTTGTCGTAGAAAATTTCAAATAAGGCCGCACATCCCTGTAGTCTGGGCTAGCGTGCTGGATTAAAAATTTGCAAAACGTAAAAACAGTGACAAAAATCCGCACAGTTATGTAGCTCCCAATCAGTGTTTTTTATTCACATACAACGCTGTAACGTTTCGGGCTGAGGCTCTTCGTCAGACAGATTTTTGTAACTGTTTTTACAAGTTTGTTGTAGAGCCAGGAAATTCGGTACACATGTTTCTCAACTCAAGACATGAAAAAAAGGTTATTATGGCCACGCCCCCTGACAAACATTGTTTGTCAGGGGGCGTGTGAAATATTACATGGGCTCTTTAGTACAGCGAGCCAGAGTTCTACATGGGGAGCCAAACCAACTGATCATATTCATTACAATTTTACAAACATCGTTCTATGGCAACGGGAGCAAATCATGGCGTGGCGCCGCCCCCTCCTTTGCGAGGACCGTTCGACTCCGCTTTCTTCTGCACTTTGAGCAGAAGTACATAAATACATCAAAAAGATACATGAAGGGTTAAACGCCCAAAGAATCCATAATTGGCCTGATTAAAGAGAAAGGTCTGGAGGCCTCTTTTAAGGCTTCCACATTTTGTGGTGCCCTCAGAGTCTATGGGAGGGTGTTCCAGAGGCGTGGAGCTGCGACCTGGAAGGTGGAGAGCTTAGGCAATTTCCGTGGACACACTGGTGTGTGAGGAGACAGAGCTTGTTTTGGATAGTGTAGTGCAGTGTCTCCCAAAGTGGGGTCCGCGGCCCCCTGGTGGGCCGCGAGGGTACTGCAGGGAGGCCGCGGGAGGTCATAAAAAAAATAATATAATTATTTAATGTTAAATTTATAATGTTTTGTTTGTAATATTAAAATATTTGTGTTCATTATTTGACTTGAATAATCCACTGTAATCATTTTTGTATTACAATGTTTGTAGCAGAGGCTATTTCCCCAAAATAAAATCCAGGTAATAAAATAACCAGAAGAGCCTATTCTTAAGGTTGTCTTCTTGGTTATTATTTTGGGGGGCCACGCAGACCCGTCAGATTTTTAAGGGGGCCTCGGTGTTACTGAGTTTGGGAATGGCTGGTGTAGTGGATGGGGAGCCAGTGGAAGGAGCAGAGAACAGGGGTGATGTGGTTATATTTGCGCCTCCTCGTTAGGACCTGAGCCGCGCAGTTCTGGATGTGTTGGAGCTTTTGCAGGCTCTTGACCGGTATCCCGACGGGGGGGGCATTACAGTTGTAGAGAGATAAAAGGCATGGACCAGCTTTTCTGTGTCAGTTTGAGAAAGGGATGGGCAAAGTTTAGCAATATTTTCAGATGGAGGTAGGAGATTTCAAGTGTGGAGAGCAGAGGAGTCCGTTTTAAGATAGAGCTGTGTGTTGTTGCCGTAGGAGTGGAAGGACAGTTTGTGAGATCTTATGATGTTACCAAGGGGGAGCATGTATATGGTGAAAAGGACTGGGCCCAGGACAGATCCCTGTGGGAATCCGCATGTGACTGTGTGGGGTAGGGTTTTGACGTCATAACGTGTCCTTCCACTGCTCTGCGGACGACACACAGATATACGTCTCGCTGAGACCAAACGACCCTGGAAGTCTGGCTGCTGTGGTCGACTGTTTTAATGAGGTGAACAGTTGGATGGCCCACAACTTTTTAAGATAAGATAAACCTTTATTAGTCACACAGTGGAGAAATTTCAGTGTCATCGTTGCGCACATTACAGCAGAGAAAGGAAATAAGAGCACTCAGATTGCACACATCAAAGTCTATTATTTAAGGTAATAGACAATAAAATAAGATAAGAATAAAATAAAATGAGATCAACTATGGGCTATAATCACGCTTGGTTCGGAAGTATTTACAGATGTCTATGTACTTTAGCAGCGGAGAATATGAGAATATGAATATGAGCAGAATAAGCATCAGAAATAATATCAACAGGTAAAGTGACTTGAATGGGAGAAATATCAGATATGTAATAATGCAGTAGTACTGATAACAGTAAATATCAGATATGTAGTACTGTAGTAGTACTGATAACAGGTAAAGTGACAAAGTTACTAGTGAATTATCAGTGACTAATTAGCAGTTCCTGTTACACATTCTCGTTGTACAGTCTGACAGCAGCAGGAAGGAAAGACCTACGGAACTCTCCTTCACACAGCGAGGGTGAATTAGTCTGTCACTGAAGCTGCTCTCCAGAGCAGAGAGAGTGTCCTGCAGGGGGCGACAGTCATGGTCCAGCATAGATGTTAGTTTGCTCAGGACCCTCCTGTCCCCCACCTGCTGCACTGTGTCCAGGGAACAGCCCAGGACTGAGCTGGACTTCATGATGTTCCAGCTTCTTCCTGTCCCTCTCTGTGATGCTGCTGTTCCAGCAGACCACACCGTACAAGAGGCTGATGCCACCACAGAGTCATAGAAGGTCTTCAGGAGTGGCCCCTGCACTCCAAAAGACCTGAGCCTCCTCAGCAGGTAGAGGCGGCTCTGGCCCTTCTTGAAGAGGGCGTCTGTGTTATGAGTCCAGTCCAGTTTGTGGTTCAGATGAACACTCAGGTACTTGTAAGAGTCCACTCTCTCGGTGTTCTTTCTTTACAGCTCAACACCTCCAAATCAGAAGTCCTCCTCATCAACCCGCCTCCATCTATATCCCACATCCAAACCCACCTCGGCCCCTGTCCTCAAACATCACTCCCTCCGCCGTAACCTCGGTGTCACTTTTGATTTTCAACTCACCTTCAACCCCCACATCAAAAAAACACCACCACCCAATCCTGCTTCTTTCACCTCCGCACCATCTCAAAGATTAAAAACATTCTCACTCCTCCCGATCTCCATAAAGTCAACGCCCTCGTCTTCTCCCGCCTCGACTACTGCAACTCCCTCCTCTCCGGTCTCGACGCTAAATCCCTCTCCCGCCTCCGACTGGTCCAGACGCAGCAGCCAGACTTCTCACTGGTTTTAACAGAAGGGAGCACATCACCCCTGTGTTAGCGTCTCTCCACTGGCTCCCTGTGCGTTTTAGAATTGATTTTAAGATTTTACTGATTACTTTTAAAGCTCGTTTAGGTCTGGCACCAAGCTATATTTATGAACTTTAACCACCTACGAGCCCCCCCGCAGCCTTAGATCCTCGGGCAGGTCCCTGTGGCTGTTCCAAGGTCGAGGCTCCGGACGAAATGTGACCGAGCCTTCTCTGTCCGTTCTCCTCAGCTTTGGAACCACCCGAGGAGATAAGGCACAATCAGTGTCCTCTTTTAAATCACTTCTAAAAACCCACTTTTATCAAACAGCTTTAAACTTATGTCGTATTTTACGGTCTGTCCTGTCTTTGTTTTGTCTTCTTGTGTTTCCTCTGTGTGTCTTGTCTTCTTGTATTCTATCTTATTGTTTTAACATTGTATTATGACTGATTTATTGTTTATGATGCTGACTGTGCAGCGCTTTGGAAACATTGTTTTTGAAAAGTGCTATACAAATAAATATTTAGTTGTTCCTCTGATGCAGGAGGGTCTGTTGGACAGTTAGTGTCCAACTAGAAGGACTGTGATGATCCAGGACACTTTAACATTCTACAACATGTATGACATTTATCACATGTGTTCTATATTCTTCATGTGTTTTAACAGTTGATTCTCTGATCTGTGTTGGTGATTTCAATGGTTTTGTTAAGTCTCTGAGATGATGCTGTTTTGATTTAGGGAAATACAAAATATATTGTATTGTATTGTAAAGGCCGTTTTCAGGGCCAGGGGGAAGTGGCTTGTGTGTAGTTATTGATCTTAGTTACAAGTGGACTTATGGCTGTGGCAGTTGCTTTGTTGAGGGCCTCATGTTCTTCAGAACACCCTCCTCTTCTGTGTGTGTGGCATCAGTGAAATTGGAGAATGTGTTCTCAGGTGTTATGTTTAAAGGGAGAGGTGTGGTCACAGGAGGAAGAGCAGAGCGAATGGATGTGACCTTGTTGGTGAAGAAGTTCATGAAGCTATTGCATTGTTTGTCACTGATGTCACTTTGAGTGTGTGCGGGAGGATTACGCGCAGGGATGAGTTGGTGGTGTTGCCCTCGTTTCCGTGGAGAATACGTGGACTGTTGGTGTGTTGGGGCAGACGGTGGAGTCAACGTGCCCCACCACCCGCAGCAGCCGGGATGAGGAGTGCTGAAGGATCTGGAAGTACAATTTGCTGTGCTGGCGCTCGTAAATTTTCCCAGGACAACATGCAGTTTCCGACCCGTGATGGCTTGGTCCTGCTGGTGGTCATCAATGCTGCCGCAGCGCTCGCCAGAGGAAGAGGATGATTCGGGTGAGTTTGTTTGTCAGGCACATAGAATGGACTTAGAGAGAGTACCTCAGAGATAGCAGCGGTACTCCTGTTGGTAGCGGATGCTACATGGGGGGCCTCTGTTTCTTGATTGTTGGTCGGGCCTGGGCACTGGTGAATGTTCCCGGATAATAAGAGGCGATGATAAAACAGAGGCATTGTCATGGTTCAAACTCAGTTTTCGAGAACTTTCATGCATGGTTGAACAGGGACAGATAGATGACGTGAGCTGCAAGGACGTATCTCCCAAATCCAATATTCTTCTTGACTTGGATTGTTGTTGTCAGGTTGTTCGGCAATGATGACCGGCTTTTATCATTGAAGAGGCATTTGTTCTTGCACTGTCCCATATCAAAATGTCTTGTAAGAGCAGAGCTGAAACAGACCTAGCCCTACGTAGTGCCACCATCTTTCCCTCCACAAGTCAACTGTGGAGAATACACTGTCGTCAGCAGCAGTCATGAGGATTAACATTTACAGATAGTTAATATTGTATTTTAGCAGCAGAGAATATACTGCAGTATATAACAGTAATTACATCACTTTTGTAACTCCCTACACTGGTGTCAAAGAATCATGTAGCAAAAAGAACAAATCACATGAATTTTCATTGGCAGTGCAATTGACTTTGTGACTAGACCCTTCTTCAGATGGGCCCCTCTTCACTGATGTTTGGTTAGCCAACACCTGGTCATTTCACTGTCTAAAACTTCTGCTGGGCTACCTTGACATTTGTATTTAGTTACTTAACAGGGATAATGTACATTACGGATGTGCAAACCTTTTCGTATGATTGCCTCTTTAGATAACAATACTTGTCCAGGGGGCGACACCATGGGTTGTAAAACTGTTTTAAAGGAACTATACCTGGTTTATGTGCTACTGAGTTCATACTACATACAAGTTGTATTAAAATCCATAATTTAATTGAAACGAGCTCTTTGATTCAGCTTGTGTATGAATTCAGGCCATAAAAAGTGCTGAGTAGAAACATGACGCTAGCTCTCACAGAATGAGGAGTGGTGCTGTTACGAACAGGCCGCCTCCCATAGCGTCTGTCGCGCATGTAAACAAGAGCAGCATGACAGCAGAAAGTGGCCTGCTCTGGCTGTAACTGCATACACACAGCCCCAAAAGACTGAAAAGTGAGGTGGAGAAGAGAGAACTAAAGCGAAAAAATGAGTGAATATAGCTAGTTTACATCGTATCCTCGCTTGAAAGACCAGCGGGTGAGGGACCGCAGCGGACTACATTTGGACGTGAAATTGGCAGTAATCTTTCAGTTATTGTACTGTATATTTTGTTAGCAGTGTGTAGCTTTTCCACCATTTCATCAGTGATTGTTGTACAGCTTACAATAATTTGTGCTAATGCTAACGTTTGCATACGTATCAGATCCCCACGGAGGAGAGCGTAGGGAAGTTTAGGATAATTTCTCCAAATGAGAAGCCTGTAAGCGAGTTTGGGAGCGGTGCTAAACATTCAAACTGAAAAAATTGGATATATAGTATGTTGACATTGATGCAAATAGTTTAATTCAAATTAAAAACATTTTTTTGTATCTCAGAGGACTTTAGGAAGTTGTTGATTCGCCAAGACAGATCAGAAAAATAAACTGTTAAAAGCAATGCAATAATAACAAACAAATAGGACCACATACGAGATCCATAGTGGGCGGATGACCAATGTCCATAAATGTTGTTTAATGTCCTGGATCATAACCACTTAGACTCTCCTGCATCGCCAATAAACAACAACCCAGAGGGACAAAAGTGAGAAACTTTGGGAATCCCCACATTCCGAGAGGGGTCCACTCGGACAGACAGGCTAAAGATCCAGGAACGGGGGCCACACAAATCAGATTCAAGAAGGAAGACCGAGGCAGGACAGTGCAGGTCTGAGGTGGCTGTCCACAGATGCAGATGAAGGAAGCCAGATTCAGGAGCCCCATCATCACACCATGAAACAGACAATGGGACAGCGGATGAATAGCAATGAATGAACTACAGCTGAAGTCATAATCATGAAGGATAAAAAAGGAAAGAATAGAGCTCAAGTCTTTACTGTCAATCTGTGTTTACTTGATTCTTACCTGTACCACCTGTTACCAGTTACAACAGTCACCTTTGCACGCATGCAAACTTATACACAAAGTGAAAACCTCGCTTTTAAAATCCACTTATATCAGAACAAAATAATGTACAACGGCAAGTTCATCAAACCCCCAAATAGACGAACAACATAATTAACAATAATGCATTGGTTTTATAGAGAGCTTTTCTGGACACTCAAAGACGCTTCACATATTATTATTCATTCTCTCCAAACACGGTGGTGATAAACTACTACTGTAGCCACAGCTGCCCTGGGGCACACTGACAGAAGCGAGGCAACCAGTGTGTGCCATCGGCCCCTCCCACCACCACCAACCATTCACAAACACACCAGACTCATTCTAGGCAATGTGGGTGAAGTGTCTTGCCTAAGGACACAACAACAGTTTGGCACTTTATAACCAAAGCCACCCCACTGTGTCACCTGGTTCCCAGAGGTCTCCCATCACAGTACAAACCGGGCCCTGCCCTGCACTGCTTCAGAGGTCTGACAGGATCAAACATTAGTGACTTATGAGGAGTGGAGAACATATAGAAACTTATGGCCCACTTAAGGGCAAATCTCAACATGATCCAAGAACTCCAAACAGTGTTTCTCCCACTGTTATACTCTCCTTTTACGCACATGCTTATATAGTTGCTAAAACCTGATATATTCCCAAAATGCAAGTTTCTTGTGCTTAGGAAGTGAGTTGGGAACATAAAGTTGAAATCAACTTAACCAATGAAATCAGAGGAACAATTTTGCGCCACTTCTGGCGCCCACATTTGTTTAGCCAATGTGGGTCTCTGCTCTACAATCTTTTTTATTTTAGTTAAAAAACCATAAAGTAATAATATTTAAAAATACATAAAGAGTTACTTTATGATTGGATGAATGTTTTGTGTTTGCAGGAGAAGTGCCATCAGTACTGGCCCAGCTCAAGCACTGCCCGCTCTCAGTACTTAATGTTGGAGCCCATGGCTGAGTACAACATGCCTCAGTACATTCTACGGGAGTTCAAGATCACAGACGCCCGGGTATGTTTGTCTGACACGTTTTTAACTGTATTTTCCAACGTTGTGCCCTTTACAGTAGTCACGTATCACAGATAAAGATCAGTTCAAGTGTACAACTGAAGATGCTAAACGGAATATACAGATTAAAACATCTATTCATTCTCAAAAAGACCCTGTATAGATAGACCTTTGATTTATTATATTTGGTCATCTTGTATGGATGGATCAACCCTCTACTTTGAGCACAACCAGTAGGTGCCATACTCTGACTCTCCTCTTTCACAAGAGGGAAGTGATACTTGGTCACTCATATTACTCTATTTTTCTGCTCTGTAATCTATGTGCAGAATGTGTTGTATTTTTAATGCTATTCAATATAGAGTAGATATGAAATATGCAAACTGTCAAGAATAACATGAAGAAAACGCTGATTACAAGATACATGGTTAAAATGCTGATTAATATATATACTATGTATGGGTAAGGTGAGATAAGGCTAAGAACCTTTATCCTTCTATATGAGGTCTTGCTCTTTGGAAAGCAAGAGCTCTATGTTTTGTCCATTTGAGAGAAGCCAACATCTGTGCACAGTTCATACGACCAGTTTGTGGGTTGCTCCATGGTTTGGTGTCCAGGTCCTGGTCAGGTGGTCGTCCAGTTCCCAGGCTTAGAGATGTTGAGAGACCATCCTGAGCCAATGGTTTAAACTGACTCAGAAGTGAAGCCAGTCAGGCCTCTTGGTCCTCCAGAGGAAAATGGAGAACCGAGAGAGCATGGAGATGATGTTCTCCGGCAACCTGCTTTTTATAGAGCTTCAAAATGGAGTTGTGCAGTTTTTGTCACTTCTTGGGCTGCCTCCCCCCGGATTACAGGGAGGCTCTGGCTCTTATCAGTACGGAGGTGAAAGTTATGTGGATCTCTATTTAAAAACACAATGCAAAAAGAGATGGAGCAGCCTAAAGCCTGGTTTAAGTGCGCCAGGGCCCGTTTAGGCATTAGATCTGGGCTTTAGGTGCATTGTGACCGCGGCTATCGAGCCTGGGCACGACTGCAGCAACCGCGCCCAGGCTCTGGGTGTGACGTGGGTGTGAGCACCCTTTCCAGGGCGGATGAGGGGGGTCAGTGTGGCGGGTGGTGGGGAGTGGGGGATGAGGTGAGGTGGGGACGTGATATTGTGCGTCACATTACGTCTTCCTGTGACACGCATTTTCGTATTCTCCGCTTGTGTTAAACTTTTCATATACTGTAAGCCCCGGACCGTGGTCGAGGGGCGCTGGGGAGTGTGTGGCTGCAAGACCAAAGAAAAGCGTTTCCTACAGGAATCAATCCTTTGTTATCTCACAGATGGAGAAATTCAGTTTGATGAATAAACATTAAGGCTGGTGTAACCCAGATATATTTTGATATACTTTTTAAGAAATATTTTAAGAATGATATTGTTCATGTAATTTAAAATATCATTACATTTAAAATCATGTTTTTACCTGTGAAATTAAATTGTTTTGGATCAAGTCTCGCGAGACTTGGGGCGAGACTTTGGGTCTGAGATTTGCGCGCCGCCATTTTGAATATAGCCGGCTGCTTAGCATTTGTGGTTAGGTGTGTGGGAGATGCTGCATTAAGAGCTGCTACAGGTAAACATTTACCCCTCTAACTCGCTACCTCTGCCAAATCAAAGATCAGTTCCTAAAACGTTGTCCTCCCAACCTTTTACAGATTCATGTGACCGCAAAGTTGTCTTTGCTGCGTATATGTGTGTGTGTGAAGAAGGAATCGGTGAGTGCAATGTTATTGTTATGCTAATGCTAACTGGCGCAAAATGCTATCCAGTGCTGGCATTTATTGCTATGTGAGATTTTTATTAAGCTAAATCAGCTAAACTATAAGTGTATGCCTCACTCTATGAATTGTGTTAAGGTACCTGTTTAATGTCGTAAATGAGTGAACTTTTACTGTCATGAACAACCCATGGTTATTTAATGTATTCACCTGGTAGATAAGGGAATATTTATGCATGCATATTTTGTACACAGGCCAGGCTTAGGAGACTGCTTATTGCCATTGGCGACTTGCCGTGAGAGTACTGCCAGCAGCCATCCTACAGTTACCTGTGTGTTTTGATCAGCCTTCACGTCTGCTGCGGTAGGACACGCTGTAGGCACTCGCTCACTCCCCACCACCTCCTACATTACGAGGGTTGGGCCGGGGAGCTATTTTCCTTCCCTCTGGATCCTAGAACTGTTTACCTTTTGGGACTAAGAGGCCCTCTCGGACTCTGAGCGTGAACTCGGTGGATGGAAAGAGCGATTGGTTACTTGTTTTTGGTTTTGTTTTGTTTTGTTTTGTAAATATTCAAGTGCACTTGAGCCTGTAAATATTGTAAATACCCCTTCTTCAAAATATCAATAACACAAATAATTTGCTAGCATCCCAGTTGTCTTGAGTATTTCATACGCACTATCATTTCCTCCCAGAGAGAACTTATTTTTCTGAGTAGTCTCAGTCATATTACATTTTACAAAGAAAGTTACTATATTACCGATATAATCAGTAACTCTTATGCACATACGTGTTACATAAGTAGCGAGCTAGATAGCCAGGAGAAATCTAAAATAGTGCTTAATAAATACTCTGGGTGCTTTATATAAAAATGGAAGTGTTTGAAGGGATGTCACTCAAAATATCAAATACATTGCTGGTTGAGGGCACAACGTCTGATGTCAAGGAAGTTGTTGAGTTCCTTGAACAATACGGTAAGATTAACAGGACAGCGATTATAAATGACCCCGTTTCTGAATTTGATGAAGCCCTTGTTGTTGAATTTGAATCGGGTATGTCTATTGCTACGCTTAAGCCAATATTGCCATACAATTTCAGTTCAGTTAAGAACCCAGGAAGTTATTTTATTCGTGAGTTATCGGATATTTATTCAAATCATGTGGGGAAAGTTAAAACTGAAACTTATTTGGCTGATATTCAAAAACTGGCTAAAGTATCAGGCATAGACTATGCTGAAGTTCTCTCAACTATGATGAAGCAGATTAGTAACTCACTCCAAGACATAAAGCCTGACGAAGCCAAGTCCTCAATAAGCTCAACTGAAGCTATTGTGTCACCACCCACTGTGCCTTCTGTGGCTCCTGCACCACCCACAATCAATGTGTCCTCCTTGCCCAGAGGGAGAATATCTACTGCCCACTTACCTACTCAAGATTTGAATCCCCCCGAGGTCCAGAGGCTGGTTGTGGAGCACATAGTGAAAAGTGAGGACGGTCCGACACATCACCTGTCCACACAGAGACTCAGGCCATTCTCGGGACGGACCCCCAGACCCCCGCACGAAGCAGATTATGACACCTGGCGTGCAGGAGTGGAGCTATTGTTAACTGACCCAGCGATATCAGATCTACATCGTTCAAGGCGTATTGTTGACAGTCTGCTGCCACCAGCTGTGGAAATGGTCCGCCACTTAAGTCCTGATACATTACCTATGGTTTACATGCAGATCTTGGATTCAGCATACGGAACGGTCCAAGATGGTGAAGAGTTGTTTGCTAAATTTATGGACACTTTTCAAGATTCAGGGGAGCGTGCGTCTTCTTATTTACAACGTCTTCAATGTGTTTTAAACTTGGCTGTTAAGAGAGGTGGGATCGCGGAAGTTGACACAAATAGACACTTGCTTAGTCAATTTTGTCGCGGCTGCTGGGACAATACACTTATTTCCGAATTACAGTTAAAACAAAAGAAATTCAATCCGCCCTCTTTCGCAGAGCTACTTTTATTGCTACGAACTGAGGAAGACCGCGAGGCATCAAAAAGTATCCGTATGAAGCAACATCTAGGGTCAACAAAGCAGAAAGTTTCTACTCATGCTCATATTGCCCACACTGAACATGAAGATAAAGGTGCTATAGCTGCCCTAACCTCTGTCACTCAACAATTGGCCCAGCAGGTTGCAGATATTCAAAAACAACTGGCTCTACTAACTACAACACAGTCACGTTCAAAACACCCAGTGCCCATTCCTCCCTCAAATAGCAAACCCAAGTTTGATAAATCATTGTCACGTCGACAAAGGTTTTGTTATCGCTGTGGTGAAGACGGTCATGTTCGTCCTGAGTGCACCAATGAACCCAACTCTGCCTTGGTTGCTCATAAGAAGAAGCAGGTCAATACACAGTTTCAGTCCAAGAGAAACTTGACCGGCAACAGGGAGTTAAACTAGAACCAGTTCCTGTTACGGGAGAAACAGGGGCTGGGGAGGGTCGACAATTTTCCCCAAAGAAAGCTGCTCAATGTAAATTATCACAGTCCAACTCTACTTCAGCGGAATTACCTCGTGGACTGGTGGGTTCAAAGTGTACAGCACTGGTGCAGATAGCTGGGCGTGAGTGTTCTTGCTTATTGGACACAGGCTCTCAGGTCACCACAATTCCAATTTCGTTCTATAATAATATTTCTCTCAGATCAACCCGTCAAGTCACTCAATGATTTACTCCATGTTGAGGGAGCTGCAGGGCAGACAGTACCGTATTTTGGGGTATGTGGAGGTGCAAATCACATTCTCCAAAGACTTTTTAGGTTCTGAGTTTACTGTACCCACACTGGCATTGGTAGTTCCAGATGAGGGCCCGGCACCCGTTCTTATTGGAATGAACACGTTGGAGCCGTTATACACTCATTATCTTCAGAGTGATTGTAACACCTCTCCCCAGTTTCACAGGGATATTGCGCGGTGCTGAAACTCCTTGCCCTACGCCACCAACACAGCCAAGAGGGCAGTGTGGGAGTAATCCGGGTGTGCAGTAAGACACCACAGACTGTCCCTGCTGGATGTACAGTTGTTTTGGAGGGGTCCGCTGATGTTAAGCTCCACTCAGCTGGACGTTGGACACTTATTGAGCATCCCACGTCTCCGCTTCCCGGGGGTTTTATGTGTGCAGAGCTGTCTAACTTCCATCCCAAAGCTTGCACCATACAAAGTTCCGGTCGTGGTAACCAACGAGTCAGAGCAAGATGTACTGATCCCACCGCGCGCAGCTATTGCCAATGTTGGGGAGGCAGCTAGCATATTGTCACAGCAAGCTGTTAGTGCCGCCATTACCAACGCTACTCCGCTACATTTAAATTTTGGTGATTCACCTGTACCAGCTGAATGGAAGGATCGTATTGTAAACAAATTAAGTCAAGCTTCTGAAGTTTTCTCTCAGCATGACTTGGATTTTGGCTGCACAGATAAAGTCCGGCATCACATCAAGCTCAGTGATGAGACGCCATTCAAGCATCGTGCACGGCCAATTCATCCCCAGGATATTGAGGCAGTCCGGAGTCATCTTCGTGATCTCCTCGAAGCGGGGGTAATCAGGGAGTCTGAATCACCTTATTCGTCTCCTATTGTGGTTGTTAGGAAGAAGAATGGAGATGTCAGACTGTGTATAGACTTTCGGAAATTGAATTTACAAACTGTGAAGGATGCTTACGCATTGCCTAATCCAGAAGAATCTTTCTCAGCACTCAGTGGTTCCAAGTGGTTCAGTGTACTGGATTTGAAGTCTGGTTATTATCAGATTGCCATGAATGAAGAAGACAAGCATAAGACAGCCTTTGTTACTCCGATCGGATTTGGGAATTCAACCGAATGCCCCAGGGTGTGACAAATGCACCAAGCACTTTTCAGAGATTAATGGAGCGCTGTATGGGTGATCTCAATTTAAAGGAAGTTTTAGTGTTCCTCGACGATATCATCATTTTTTCGGAGACACTGGAAGAACATGAGAACCGGCTACTCCGGGTACTTGAACGGTTTGAAAGATTTTGGACTCAAGTTGTCTCCAGAAAAGTGTCTTTTCTTTCAGACATCCGTGAAGTACCTGGGTCACATTGTTTCGGAGAAGGGTGTGGAGACGGATCCTGGAAAGATCGAAGCCTTAAAATCCTGGCCGATTCCTACGAACTTAAAAGAAGTTGAGATCATTCCTTGGATTCGCCGGTTATTATCGGCGGTTATATAAGGATGTATGCTTCTTTCACTTGATTGTTATGGTTGGGAGAGATGGGGATGAGGTTGATTGGAGGGGGTTGAGATAAGAGTGGAGAGGGTGAATATATGTAGCTGAGTTTCCCTGAGCACTGGAAGTGGAGGTTTGTGGAGAAGTTTCACGACTATCTCTAGGGAGCAAATTTTACTGTCCGTTGACGGATAGTAATCCTCTAACCTACGTTCTTACTTTCTGCTCGGTTGGATGCCACCAGCCATCGTTGGCTTGCAGCGCTTTCAGCGTATTCCTTTAAGCTGCAGTACCGAGCAGCCGTCACAATCATGACGCTGACGGATAGTCAACGACGCCCATGTATCCAGCTCTGATGACAGCCATTTTGCTGAAGGAACAAGGATTGGCCAGCTATTTCTGGAGCAACGTGTTGCAAGACAGCTGATGAGGAAGGTTACTGCAGAGATTGTTAGAATACCATCGTGAAACCTCTCCTGCAAGAAAGGGTCAGTTCATGGTGAAGATCCACCCTTTACCCTTGTGGAGTCTCCCAGTGCATGTGGAAGGCATTCAGACTGCTAAGCTGCTGAGGACTTCATGCCATCCAGAAACTTCCAGAGCTGGCAGATAAGAACTGAAGATCGACAGCAGGCCTATCCGGCCTTCCATGAGGTGATCCAACAATTGGAACTGGTTTTGCTGTAGTACCTCTTCTAACGACGAAGAACAAAAAAAGAGCTTCCAGAGGTTACAACTACTGCTCCGGGAACTAACCCCAGTTAGAGAATGGTGGATGAGTCCTGTACAGAGAAGATTGAAGAAAATCGTGTCAAGCTACAACATGTTGCCTTCCTGGAACTGCGTTCAGTTGTTTTCACAAGTCTCCATGACCACATGGCCATATGGAGTGGAAAGGACGCTGGATCTAATTCGCCAGCGTTCTTTATGCCAAAATGCTGCTGAAGTGAGAGAAGATCGAACTTGGGTCGGTGCGTACTGCGAAAACTGCGCCAGAAAGGGCTGCGCCACTTGTAAATATCAAGACCTCACGCCACTCGAATTACTTTGCATTGATTATCCAGTCGATTGAACCTGACAGCAGCAATACGAAAGATTGTTTGGTACTTACTATCAATTCACAAAGTTTGCTATGGCAATTCCTACACCTCCAAACCAGCGAGCACAAACGGTTGCAAAATTTCTTTGGAATGATTTTATTGCAAACTTTGTTGTCCCAAACCCTGCACACGATCAAGGTCCCGACTTGAGTCAAAGGTTGCTCCGGAACTCTGTGAGCTGACTGGTAGGAAAAAGACCCACACCACCCCGTACCACCCTCGAGGGAACCCAGTTGAGAGTTTAATCGAACATTGCTTAACATGCAGGGAACTTTTAGAGAACGAAACAGAAGACCAGAAGGCGAGATTATGTGAAACCTCTTGTGCACGCTATAAAAGCACACGCAAGGAGGTAACTGGCTTCACCCTTATGACTCATGTTTTGCACCAGAAGTCAGCTGAGAAGCCAACCTCATTCACATACAGAATATGTCAAAAGCTCGATTTGACCGACGCTGTATACTCCTTTGCACGCGCCTGGACATGGGAGATAGAGTTCTGGTTCGCAGTGTCCGGATCCGATGAAACACAAATTGGAGGACAAGTGGGAATCTGACGTCTATGTAGTCATTAAATGTGCTGGAGATCTTCCGTGTACACAGTGAAGCCAGAGACCAAGGATGGACCAACTCGCACCCTTCATAGAGATCTGCTCCTTCCCTGTGGGTTCCTCCCAGCTGCACCTTCTCGAGGCATTTCACCCCTGCTGCCCTGTCCGAAAACATCAGACCCGCAGTCAAGCCTCACCTGAACTTAGCTGACCCATTACTTCTCTGATGATGACGACAGTCCTCCTTTCATCTCAATCAGTATAGTGGAATTTCCTGAAACTATTTCTAGTGTTCAACCCAGCCACAGTCACACTCTTGATGTTGAGCAGTCCGACATCCCTCTGGATCCAGCTTTAGCCACAAGAGTTGACGAGATTCCCAATCCTCCTGTTGAGCCTTCTCAAGAAATGGTTCCAGAGTCCTAGCCATGAACCTGAGGCTACATTGCTATTGGACAATGAGAGATCTGTTGAAGCTGAAGATAAATTACCCTATCCGACCTTACCGATCCTTACCATTCTACCGATACTCCTGAAGCTGGCACTGAAACTATGGAGGAGGATGTGCTGAAGACGTGCCAATTAAGTGAACAGTCTTTAAACCCTGAGGTGACAAACTCTGTTCCAGAAACAGTTACTGAAGTTGTAGAAGCCACTAATGTCAGTCATGAGGTAGGGGAAGATGTTGTACTTCGCCGCACAGGTCGTACTAGGGCCCCGCCTAGCCGGTTAACATATACCAAGTTGGGTAATCCCCTTATCTCTGTCGTCCAAACAATGTTTCAAACCCTTTCAGATGCTTACGCTGACGCTTTAAACCGCGCTGCTGTAATGGATATTTATCCCAAACGTAGTTAGCTTTCCCTCGTCTCAACATGCGACGGGACGTGCATGGTCTAAAGGGGGGAGGGTGTAACCCAGATATATTTTGATATACTTTTTAAGAAATATTTTAAGAATGATATTGTTCATGTAATTTAAAATATCATTACATTTAAAATCATGTTTTTACCTGTGAAATGAAATGTTTTGTCAAGTCTCGCAAGACTTGGGGCGAGACTTTGGGTCTGAGATTTGCGCGCCGCCATTTTGAATATAGCCGGCTGCTTAGCATTTGTGGTTAGGTGTGTGGGAGATGCTGCATTAAGAGCTGCTACAGGTAAACATTTACCCCTCTAACTCGCTACCTCTGCCAAATCAAAGATCAGTTCCTAAAACGTTGTCCTCCCAACCTTTTACAGATTCATGTGACCGCAAAGTTGTCTTTGCTGCGTATATGTGTGTGTGTGAAGAAGGAATCGGTGAGTGCAATGTTATTGTTATGCTAATGCTAACTGGCGCAAAATGCTATCCAGTGCTGGCATTTATTGCTATGTGAGATTTTTATTAAGCTAAATCAGCTAAACTATAAGTGTATGCCTCACTCTATGAATTGTGTTAAGGTACCTGTTTAATGTCGTAAATGAGTGAACTTTTACTGTCATGAACAACCCATGGTTATTTAATGTATTCACCTGGTAGATAAGGGAATATTTATGCATGCATATTTTGTACACAGGCCAGGCTTAGGAGACTGCTTATTGCCATTGGCGACTTGCCGTGAGAGTACTGCCAGCAGCCATCCTACAGTTACCTGTGTGTTTTGATCAGCCTTCACGTCTGCTGCGGTAGGACACGCTGTAGGCACTCGCTCACTCCCACCACCTCCTACATTACGAGGGTTGGGCCGGGGAGCTATTTTCCTTCCCTCTGGATCCTAGAACTGTTTACCTTTTGGGACTAAGAGGCCCTCTCGGACTCTGAGCGTGAACTCGGTGGATGGAAAGAGCGATTGGTTACTTGTTTTTGGTTTTGTTTTGTTTTGTTTTGTAAATATTCAAGTGCACTTGAGCCTGTAAATATTGTAAATACCCCTTCTTCAAAATATCAATAACACAAATAATTTGCTAGCATCCCAGTTGTCTTGAGTATTTCATACGCACTATCATTTCCTCCCAGAGAGAACTTATTTTTCTGAGTAGTCTCAGTCATATTACATTTTACAAAGAAAGTTACTATATTACCGATATAATCAGTAACTCTTATGCACATACGTGTTACACTGGCTGTGTACTCTATTTACATGTTTTCGCGCTCCTTATGACAGTTATTCAACAGCAGAGAGCAAAACAAACATATATTTCAACAGACAATATTGGAGAGAAACACATGCGAAAAACATGTAGATCTTTTTAAAGGGACATTATCACTCTGACCCACCTCGTCCAATATGGCGTGTCAGAGGGGAGTGTGGGTGGGGGAGGTGGAGGGGAAGACATGTAGAGGGAGGGGGGGTGAGCCACACAACTGGTTGAATTGAGAGGCGGTGAGTTATGAGAGAGAGAGAGTCCATCTTCGGCCTTGAGTAGTGGAATGTGGAGGTCAGTGGATAAGAGCGGTGCCTGCAGGCATGGAGACAAAACAACACACATATGCCTTTGGGATAATTTGTAAAGCACTTCCTCACCCCAGCCTACAGCAGACAGGCCTGTGCTGGGGTTTCCTCAACCACCTGCCCCTCCATCAAAGACTCCCTCGCCACCTCCCATGGACCTGTCTTGGGTCCCCCCTGCCACGTCCACTCCATCAAGAGAGAATGGGGACACCTCCCTTTGTTTTTCATCCCCGCCTTCACTGTTAGACCTACCTGAACACTCTGCAGGGCTAATACAATCGGTCATGAAGACTATTCCTCTCACACCCATATTAGCTCGATCTAGAGTCCTGTCCAACATGCTAAACCACTCCCCATATGTACCTCCAAAACCACCTAGGGTTTCCAATTCACCTACAAAAACCACCTCAGCCAGTCCCTCCCCTAACCTCATGACCATTCCACCCCCACTTCCCCCTCGCTCAACATCCAAAACCTCTGCCTCAGCCCACCCCGGCCCTAACCCATCACCAAAAACCCCTCCACCTCCCTGCCCCCCTCGTTCAACACCCAAAAGCCACCCACCTCTCCATCCTCCTCCCCTGCCTTCCCCTACCCCTCTTTTCTCTAAACACTAGGATGCACAGGGTCTCTGCTTCGCAGCCACTGGCAGTCTAGTTAGAGGAGAGACCCGGCTGGGGCCCTGTCATGAAGCCACCTGTGCCATTCCCTTAGTGATAACACAAAGAATACATTACAGAAAAACATCTGGAGTTAATCAGTCTAATCTGCAAAATCTAATTCTTGTTCCGTGTAAGAATCAGCCGACCGCAACCGCTGATACTGAAACTTTGAAACTTGCTACGCTTAATGTCAGATCTCTTTGTAACAAGTCTTTTTTAATCAATAATTTTATTTGTTCTCATAATCTTGATCTTATGTTCATGGCTGAAACTTGGCTTGACCAAAATTCAGGAAATGCAGTTTTAATAGAAGCATCACCACCAAATTTCAAGTTTGAATCTGAAATACGGGAAAACAAAAAAGGAGGAGGCTTAGCTGCCATTTTCAGAGACCACTTTGTCTCCCATAGAATGTCTCTTGGGAAGTGTCCGTCTTTTGAATATGTGTCTTTTAAAATACAACAAAAACAATCTCCTCCAATACTCTTCATAGTCCTATACAAGCCACCGCAGTCATGTCACAGATTTATTGATAATTTTACCGAGTTGCTTTCAGTTGTATGCACAGATTTTGATAGTTTGGTTATTACAGGTGATTTTAATATTCATGTGGATAATGTTGATGACAGAAAGGCAAAAGAGCTGAGTTCTGTTCTTGAATCTTTTGGTCTCACTCAGCATGTGAGTGGCCCCACCCACAGCAGAGGGCACACTCTAGACCTGTTAGTTACAAAGGGGGTGAATATTTCAAATGTAAACGTGGTCAATGTTGCTCTTTCGGATCATTTCTGTGTTTTTTTTTGACATGTGTTTCACTAACAAACCACCAGTGGACTCTGCAACTGTTCGAAGAAGACACATAAATGAAAATACGAGTGAACTATTTATGGGAATGATAAACTTTGAGAATGCATCGTATTCTACTGTAGATGAACTGTTTAACTCTGTCACCTCTAGTGTTTTGAATGTTCTGGATACCGTTGCCCCTGTGAAGGTTAAAATAGTGAAAAATAAGCAGAAGGCGCCGTGGGCTAAAGCACACTCGGTCAGGGCACAAAAGAGAGAGTGCCGGAGGGCCGAGCGGAAGTGGCGCAAGTCCAACCTCCAGGTAGATTACGAGATCTTCAAAGATAAGTTGTGCGAGTTTAACCGGGTGCTACGTAGTACGAGAGAAAGGTATTTTTCTGAAATGATTGAAGGCTGCAGCAACAATCTGCGTGTTCTGTTCTCAACAGTTAATAGATTAACAAACCCCCCTGTTCAGATGCCATTAGAGCTTACTTCCAAACGTAAATGTAATGAGTTTACAAATTTTTCAATGACAAGGTTCAAGGCATCAAAAACTCCATTGTCTCCAATCCACAGATAACCATCCAACAGCCAGAAAGGCTCTCTGAGCTAACTTACTTTGCACCTGTAAATGATAAAACTGTCCAAGAGATAATCTCCAGTTTGAGCTCCTCCACATGCAGCTTGGATGTACTACCCACTAGATTTCTGAAGTCTTTTCTGAGCAGTCTGTTACCTTCACTCACACAGATAGTAAACATGTCCCTTCATTCTGGAATATTCCCAAAGGCCCTGAAAACTGCAGTCATCAGGCCCCTGCTAAAAAAGAGCAGTCTGGATGCTACGGTACTTAACAACTATCGTCCCATCTCAAATCTGCCATTTATGGGGAAAGTCCTTGAGAAAGTTGTCTACCTACAGCTTACTAGATTTCTTATAATCAACAACTCATTTGATATGTTTCAGTCCGGCTTTAGACCCCACCACAGCACTGAGACTGCTCTCGTTAAGGTTACAAACGATATCCGGCTGAACACTGACGCAGGCAAAGTCTCAATCTTAATCTTGTTAGATCTGAGTGCTGCCTTTGACACCATCGACCATGAGATCCTCTTACAGAGACTAGAGGACTGGGTTGGCGTCGCTGGCACCGCCCTAAGTTGGTTTAGGTCTTACCTTGAAGACAGGAAGTACTTTGTGGAGATTGGAAACTGTGTCTCAGATCATATGGCCCTGACCTGTGGAGTCCCACAGGGGTCGATCCTGGGACCTCTTCTGTTCAATCTCTACATGCTGCCGTTAGGTCAGTTAATACGCAGAAACAAAGTTTCCTATCATAACTATGCAGACGACACTCAGATCTATGTCTCACTGACTGCAGGAGAACATGGACCAGTGGACTCACTCCTTCACTGTATCCAACAGATCAGTGAGTGGATGCAAAACAACTTCCTTCAGCTAAACGCAGACAAAACTGAAATGATTGTCTTTGGTCCCCAGAAACAAAGAGAGAGCGTCATCTGTCACCTCCAGTCTCTCTCCCTAAAACCTTCAAACAAGGTCAGAAATCTAAGGGTAATACTGGACTCAGTAATAAAAACTTACTAATAGCCACATCAAATCAGTAACATCAGCAGCTTTTTACCATCTAAAAAACATTGCCAGGATCAAAAACATAGTGTCTAAAGCAGACTTGGAGATTCTTATCCATGCATTTGTCTCCAGTAGGTTAGACTACTGCAATGGCCTGCTCACAGGTCTGTCCAAACAGGCTGTAAAACAGCTGCAGTACATTCAAAATGCAGCAGCTCCAGTCCTGACTAGAACCAGGAAGTATGACCACATTAGTCCTGACTAGAACCAGGAAGTACGACCGCATTAGTCCTGACTAGAACCAGGAAGTACGACCGCATTAGTCCTGACTAGAACCAGGAAGTACGACCACATTAGTCCTGACTAGAACCAGGAAGTACGACCACATTAGTCCTGACTAGAACCAGGAAGTATGACCACATTAGTCCTGACTAGAACCAGGAAGTATGACCACATTAGTCCTGACTAGAACCAGGAAGTATGACCACATTAGTCCTGACTAGAACCAGGAAGTATGACCACATTAGTCCTGACTAGAACCAGGAAGTACCACCACATTAGTCCTGACTAGAACCAGGAAGTACGACCACATTAGTCCTGACTAGAACCAGGAAGTACGACCACATTAGTCCTGACTAGAACCAGGAAGTACGACCACATTAGTCCTGACTAGAACCAGGAAGTACGACCACATTAGTCCTGACTAGAACCAGGAAGTACGACCACATTAGTCCTGACTAGAACCAGGAAGTACGATCACATTAGTCCTGACTAGAACCAGGAAGTACGACCACATTAGTCCAGTCCTCAGGTCTCTGCACTGGCTTCCTGTGGCTCAGAGAATGGACTTTAAAACAGCTCTGTTTGTTACAAGTCTCTCCAAGGCCTCACACCAAAATATATTAGTGACATGTTAGTCCCATATGAACCAGCCCGGACTCTGAGGAGCACAGGGACTGGACTCCTGCTGGGACTCTGAGGAGCACAGGGACTGGACTCCTGCTGGGACTCTGAGGAGCACAGGGACTGGACTCCTGCTGGGACTCTGAGGAGCACAGGGACTGGACTCCTGCTGGGACTCTGAGGAGCACAGGGACTGGCCTCCTGCTGGGACTCTGAGGAGCACAGGGACTGGACTCCTGCTGGGACTCTGAGGAGCACAGGGACTGGACTCCTGCTGGGACTCTGAGGAGCACAGGGACTGGCCTCCTGCTGGGACTCTGAGGAGCACAGGGACTGGACTCCTGCTGAGACTCTGAGGAGCACAGGGACTGGACTCCTGCTGGGACTCTGAGGAGCACAGGGACTGGACTCCTGCTGGGACTCTGAGGAGCACAGGGACTGGACTCCTGCTGGGACTCTGAGGAGCACAGGGACTGGACTCCTGTTAGTGCCCAGAGTCAGAACTAAACATAGGGAGGCTGCTTTTCAGATTCATGCTGCTAAAATCTGGAACAGTCTTCCTGAAGATGTGAGACAGGCCTCCTCTCTGACAATGTTTAAAACCAGGTTAAAGACAGTTCTGTTTAACTGTGCTACAACTGAGGGATTTTATATTTTTATCTTTCTTTTTAATGTTCTGTGATTATTTATGATTTGAATGCTTTCTTATTTTGTTCAGCACTTTGAATTGCCTTTTGTATGAATTGTGCTATATAAATAAACTTGCCTTGCCTTGCCACTTTAGCTGGTCAAATCAGGCAGTGTAAACTTTAAAGCCAATTAAATCCAATTATACTGGAACTGGATCTCTCCGTGAACCGTTCTCCAGAGTTGACCACGTCAGTGCAAGGATCCGCCATGAGGCCCAAGTCCATCAATCAATCCTTCCAAACGCTTATGTCCCTCCATAGATCCCATTCTCAGATCTTTAAGAGAATGTTCGATCTGTATCACACACGTCTGTGTCCCCACTGCGCTCTCGACCACGACATTCCTCTGACGTTGTGATAGATCAGGCCAACTCCAAATCCAATCAGGAGGAACCCTGCTACCATAAATCCAAAAATGTATATATCCTCAATGTCTTCGATAGACAAACGGGGCGCCACTTCTGCCAGTTGTCAAAAACGTACCCATCAGCCGCCGAACCATCCGGACAGACGGCATCTCCAGAACCGCCTTTACTCTCTTCTGTCCTGACCCTCGCTCTCAGTGTGGTGCTGTTGCAATAACACTTCAGACATTCAAAAATCAGTCTTTATTTAATCGCCAGAACACACACACTTACAGTATGTTCTCCGGCTCTGGTCACTCTGCTCGTACATTTATCTGTCTTTCATTCTCAATGAATGAGCGTAAAGCGTTCATTCTCAACGCTTTACGCTTACTATAAAGGCGCGCTCCCGTGTGCGCACACACAGATAACACACACGTGTCCCACCGCTGCATATCTCACACTTGTTCACATTGCTCTGATGCAAGCAACACGTTGCATGCTCGAGCCTGCTGGCTGCAGTAGCAGAATGTAAACAGGAAGAAAAGCAGATACTCAACTCGGACAACGTGGTAGTCGCTGAAGTTATTGTTAGCGCCACCAGCTGGACCAGGAATCGTACTACAGCAAAATTGCTTTGGCACGGTTCAAAGGACACCTTCATGTGACCGCGGGCCGTTTTCACACCCCTGTGGCGACGATTCCACAGGGTGGACGATTCCACAGGCGTGGACGATTCCACAGGGTGGACGATTCCACAGGCGTGGACGATTCCACAGGGTGGACGATTCCACAGGGGTGGACGATTCCACAGGGGTGGACGATTCCACAGGGTGGACGATTCCACAGGGGTGGAACGATTCCACAGGGTGGACCATTCCACAGGGTGGACCATTCCACAGGGTGGACGATTGCACAGGGGTGGAACGATTCCACAGGGTGGACCATTCCACAGGGTGGACCATTCCACAGGGTGGACCATTCCACAGGGGTGGAACGATTCCACAGGGTGGACCATTCCACAGGGGTGGAACGATTCCACAGGGTGGACCATTCCACAGGGTGGACCATTCCACAGGGTGGACGATTCCACAGGGGTGGACGATTCCACAGGGGTGGAACGATTCCACAGGGGTGGACGATTCCACAGGGGTGGAACGATTCCACAGGGGTGGACGATTCCACAGGGGTGGACGATTCCACAGGGGTGGAACGATTCCACAGGGGTGGAACGATTCCACAGGGTGGACGATTCCACAGGGGTGGACGATTCCACAGGGGTGGACGATTCCACAGGGGTGGAACGATTCCACAGGGTGGACGATTCCACAGGGGTGGACGATTCCACAGGGGTGGACGATTCCACAGGGGTGGACGATTCCACAGGGGTGGAACGATTCCACAGGGTGGACCATTCCACAGGGTGGACGATTCCACAGGGGTGGACGATTCCACAGGGGTGGACGATTCCACAGGGGTGGACGATTCCACAGGGTGGGGTGGACGATTCCACAGGGTGGACGATTCCACAGGGGTGGAACGATTCCACAGGGTGGACCATTCCACAGGGTGGACCATTCCACAGGGTGGACGATTCCACAGGGGTGGACGATTCCACAGGGGTGGAACGATTCCACAGGGGTGGAACGATTCCACAGGGTGGACCATTCCACAGGGTGGACCATTCCACAGGGTGGACGATTCCACAGGGTGGACGATTCCACAGGGTGGACCATTCCACAGGGTGGACGATTCCACAGGGGTGGACGATTCCACAGGGGTGGACGATTCCACAGGGTGGACCATTCCACAGGGTGGACCATTCCACAGGGTGGACGATTCCACAGGGGGGGACGATTCCACAGGGGTGGACGATTCCACAGGGGTGGACGATTCCACAGGGTGGACCATTCCACAGGGTGGACCATTCCACAGGGTGGACGATTCCACAGGGGGGGACGATTCCACAGGGGTGGACGATTCCACTTGGCTCAGTTCGCTTGTAAAAACCTATGTGACCGTGCCCTTACATTGTTCACTGTTGTTGGACATTTGGGAAAAGGGGCAATTTTCATTCACCCTACATTAAACTACATGCAGGTGAGATTCAGTGGCGTGAAAACGTATTTAGTCAGCCACCAATTGTTCAAGTCCTCCCAATTAAAAAGATGAAAAAAAGCTTATAATTTTCATCATAGGTATACCTCAGGAGAAAAAATTAGGAATAAAATGCTGAGAAATCTGCATGTATTTTTTAAATATTGTTTTTGCAAATTATGGCTGATCATCCCTCTCCAAAGTGTCACTGACGTTTCCCACTTGAGCGTTGAAGTCCCCCAGGAGAACAACAGAGTCCTGTTAGGCTGTTTGCTCTGCACTGCAACATCACATTTATCATTTTTGTGCAGTCCATGGCGGGTTTTGGACTGTGCGTCGTCTGATTTGTCACCTTGGACCTGTTTGCCCATGGTTCATAAAGAATGTTTATAAAGATCATATATATATATATATATATATATATATGTATATTATATATATATATGTATATTATATTATTATATATATTATTATTATATATATAAAGATAGACTTTATTGATCTGTGATGGAGAAATGTACATGTCACATCTGTGATGGATAGAATCACTCATAATGTGTGCAAGAAAGAAGTGTGCAAACATGTTAATGCAGGATATATTATATACAATAAAAAAGTGGTAATTAAAGAAACAGTGTCAATATTAGTGCAGGTTTTTTTTTGTCCTAGTGCAAGTGACTTACAGTGACTTGTTGTACAGTCTGACAGCGGTGGGGATAAAGGCCCTGCTCCTTCTTACACAGAAGGAGCTCCTCAGCTCCTCCTCAGTCCTGTGCAGTGGGAGGTGTTGTTCATGATGGAGGTGGCTTTGGCTAGCACCTCCTGTCCCTCACCTCCTCCACAGAGTCCAGGGGCCTCCTGTCCCTCACCTCCTCCACAGAGTCCAGGGGCCTCCTGTCCCTCACCTCCTCCACAGAGTCCAGGGGCCTCCTGTCCCTCACCTCCTCCACAGAGTCCAGGGGCCTCTTGTCCCTCACCTCCTCCACAGAGTCCAGGGGCCTCTTGTCCCTCACCTCCTCCACAGAGTCCAGGGGCCTCCTGTCCCTCACCTCCTCCACAGAGTCCAGGGACCTCCTGTCCCTCACCTCCTCCACAGAGTCCAGGGGCCTCCTGTCCCTCACCTCCTCCTGACCAGCTTGTTCAGTCTGTTTCTGTTCCGCTCTGTGCTGCCCGGGGCCCAGCACACGGCAGCGTAGTAAATGGCAGAGGCTACCACAGAGTCATGAAAAGTCTGAGGCAGCGTGTGGTGTCGATAATGACACCATAATATAACATAATTATCCGTGCTACTTTCACTACCTTGGAGTGCCTGTTGTTTCGCCTTGTGGAGCTAGAGAACACACTAAAAAGCAGCTGTTTTTTTGTTTTACTGTGTTGTTTTGATTGATCCTTTCATGGTCAGGATGGACAATCAAGAACCATCAGGCAGTTCCACTTCATGGACTGGCCAGAACAGGGAGCCTTCCAAACATCAGAGGGCTTCATCGACTTCATCGGACAGGTCCAGAAGACCAAAGTGCAGTTTGGACAAGATGGACCAATCACTGTGCATTGCAGGTGACTGCTATAGTTTATGTTTATGATGTTCCAATCAAAATAACAAAGCCATCACATCAATGTTGGGAAGAGTAAAGTGATGAGGTGTGAGTATGAATGTTTGCTTGAATGGGCAGAAGCTCAAGGAAGTGGATGTGTTAAGTATTTGGGTTCAAATGAGAGTGCAGACAGAAGCGTTGTGAAAGAGGTGGCACATTGGATAACTGGAGAGTCCCAGAGTCTGAGTGGACCATGTTCTCTGCCTCAATCGCCGATGCGGCGGCTCGTAGCTGTGGTCGTAAGGTCTCTGGTGCTGGTCCCGGCAGCAACCCCCGAACCCGGTGGTGGACACCGGCAGTAAGGGATGCCGTCAGGCTGAAGAAGGAGTCCTATCGAGCCATGATGGTTCGGGGGACTCCTGAGGCAGCTGTCCAGTACCGGCAGGCCAAACGTGCCGCAGCCCGGGCTGTTGCAGAGGCAAAAACCCGGGACTGGGAGGAGTTTGGAGAGTCCATGGAGCATGACTATTGGTCGGCCTCAAAGAGATTCTAGCAAACCGTCCGGCGCCTCAGGAGGGGGAAGCAGTTCTTCGCCAACACCATGTACGGTGCGGGTGGAGAGCTGCTGACCTCGACTGGGGATATTGTCGGGCGGTGGAAGGAATACTTTGAGGTTCTCCTCAATCCCTCCGTCACGTCCTCCGTCCCGGAGGCAGAGGCTGAGGATGTTGGGGCGGATACTTCCATCTCTCTGAGGTCACCAAGGTGGTTGGCAGCCTCCATGGTGGCAAGGCTCCGGGTGTGGATGAGATCCGTCCTGACTATCTAAAGTCTCTGGATGTTGTAGGACTGTCTTGGCTGACACGTCTCTGCAACATCGCGTGGCGATCGGGGGCGGTGCCAATGGAGTGGCAGACCGGGGTGGTGGTCCCTCTCTACAAGAAGGAGGACCGGAAGGTGTGTTCCAATTAGCGTGGGATCACACTCCTCAGCCTCCCCGGTAAGGTCTACTCCAAGGTACTGGAGAGGAGGCTACGGCCGATGGTCGAATCTCGGATTCAGGAGGAGCAGTGTGGTTTTCGTCCCGGTCGTGGAACACTGGACCAGCTCTATACTCTCCATCGGATACTCGAGGGTTCATGGGAGTTCGCCCAACCTGTCCACATGTGCTTTGTGGATTTGGAGAAGGCGTTCGACTGTGTTCCCCGGGGTGTCCTTTGGGGGGTTCTCCGGGAGTATGGGGTCCGGGGTCCTCTGCTGAGGGCCGTCCGGTCCCTGTATGACCGGAGCCAGAGCTGTGTTCGCATTGCCGTCAGTAAGTCAGACCTGTTCCCGGTGCATGTTGGCCTCCGACAGGGCTGCCCTTTGTCACTGGTTCTGTTCACTGTATTTATGGACAGAATATCTAGGCGCAGCCAGGGGTCGGAGGGGGTCCGGTTCGGGGACCACAGGATTTCATCTCTGCTGTTTGCAGACGATGTTGTCCTGTTGGCTCCAACGAACCAGGACCTGCAGCATGCACTGGGACGGTTTGCAGCCGAGTGTGAAGCGGCTGGGATGAGAATCAGCACCTCCAAATCCGAGGCCATGGTGCTCGACCGGAAAAAGGTGCCTTGCCCTCTCCAGGTGGGTGGAGAGGTCCTTCCTCAAGTGGAGGAGTTCAAGTATCTCGGGGTCTTGTTCACGAGTGAGGGGAGGATGGAGCGTGAGATTGCCAGGCGGATCGGTGCAGCGTGCGCAGTGATGCGGTCGCTGTATCGGACCGTTGTGGTGAAGAGGGAGCAGCGTCTGCAGTCAGAGCTGTATCGGACCGTTGTGGTAAAGAGGGAGCTGAGCCGAAAGGCAAAGCTCTCGATTTACCGGTCAATCTTCGTTCCCTCCCTCACCTATGGTCATGAGCTTTGGGTAATGACCGAAAGAACGAGATCGCGGATACAAGGGGTCGAAATGAGCTTCCTCCGCAGAGTGGCTGCTCCCTTAGAGATAGGGTGAGGAGCTCAGTCACACGGGAGGAGCTCGGAGTAGAGCCGCTGCTCCCTTAGAGATAGGGTGAGGAGCTCAGTCACACGGGAGGAGCTCGGAGTAGAGCCGCTGCTCCCTTAGAGATAGGGTGAGGAGCTCAGTCACACGGGAGGAGCTCGGAGTAGAGCCGCTGCTTCTCCACGTCGAGAGGAACCAGTTGAGGTGGCTCGGGCATATGTTCCGGATGCCTCCTGGACGCCTCCCTGGGGAGGTGTTCCGGGCACGTCCCACCGGGAGGAGGCCCCGGGGAAGACCCAGGACACGCTGGAGGGACTATGTCTCTCAGCTGGCCTGGGAACGCCTCGGGGTCGGACGAGCTTGAGGAAGTGCGTGTGGATAGGGAAGTCTGGGCGTTAGGTTAGGTTAGGTTAGGTTAATTTATTTGTACCCGTGGGTAAATTTGTTTTGCAATTCTGAGAACTAGTCGACACATTAAAACACATTTCGAAGATAAAACATCATACATATAAAATACAAAACTTATAAGTGCTCCACATACTAACAGGATGTGCCTTTGGTACAAAAAACAACTGAAATTTAAGCCACTTGACAGTAACAAAGATAAAAAACCTGTGTCAGGGGCAGTTTGATCCCTGACACAGGGATCAAACTGCCTCTGCTTAGACAGTCTCTGCTTAGACTGCTGCCCCCGCGACCCGGCAACGGATAAAGCGGAAGAAAATGGATGGATGGATGCATGGTAACTAAATTGTATCATATCCAAGCATAAATATATCTATATTTGAGCCTGAAAACTAAACCTAAGCTTTGAACTCAAATATGTGCACGTCTTCTATATCTTCTGTTTATGTGATGGAGGCATGCACAGGACCAGGGGCTGTGCTCTCAACAGCAGTGTGCTATATCCATGTGATTGAAAATGATATGGATATTTAAATGCCTTTGAATGGCATCTGTTTGAGTCAAGAATATGCTAATATATACATTCCTACTATATTCCACTATATTCAAGACTCCAATGACAAGCCAAATTTCAGTACTGAAATCCCCATGGAAAATGCCCATCTTTTAAAATTCCCAGAATGTTCCAAACCTGATAATATTTAAATAGAGTTCTAAGTTTTTCTCCTGACAAGCCTGAATTCTTGCACTGGATCAGCACTCGTCTCAGACAGAGTGAAGTCACATGCTTGTCCTCAGTGTAGATGGAAAGTTCCACATTTCAGACTGAGCATTTCAATGGGTCCAAATAAAAAATGATGTTTAGCTTTAGCTTAAGGCAAAGTAAGAATAAGTAGTTAGCTCTTGGTTGAAATATTGCCAGTGATGATTCTACTGTCTTCAGTATCTGATGTGGGATATTGCTATGGTCCACTGACATTACTGCATTATTGCTGCAGATGAAGGACACGTGGAGTCAGTAGTGTGCATCAGTCTTTCCTGTTCATAGTTCAATGTGTTGACGTCAATGTTAAACACAGTCGTGACAACACAGTACATTATCCCTGAGACTATGGTTTTGTGTGTGCAGTGCTGGAGTGGGACGTACGGGCGTGTTCATAGCTCTGAGTGTGATCTTGGAGCGGCTGAAGTACGAGGAGAAGGTGGATGTGTTCCAGACGGTCAGACTGCTCCGCACCCAAAGACCTGCCATGGTTCAAACTGAGGTCAGTGCATGCACAACTACACACTTGCTTATAATTCAAACCAATTTGATTCAATATATTCTTGTATAGTCACAACAGTAGTTATCACAGAGGACTTAACAAAACTGTTAAGACAAACACAGATCAGAGAATAAAACGGTTCAATTGCACAAATATAGAACACATGGATGTTGGTCCTCAGGGGGAGTTGACCAATGTCCATGAGTGTTGGTAAATGTCCATAAATGTTGTAAAATGTTGAGTGTCCCGGATCATAACCAGAAACCATCATCAACAGACCCTCAGCAAGAAAAAACCTCTAAAACTCAGTGGGAGAAAAGTGAGAAACCTCAGGGGGAAGGGTTATAGATCCAGGACTTGGGTGGTACTTAGACTGACCTCCTCCCTCGATGAAACCTGATGTAGTCCAGTCTTGGTGAGGCGGTCGAAAGTCAGGCTCTGGTTGGATTTGTTAAGATTAGAAGACAGTCATGTGTCCAGGCCCCTTTTTTTCTCTTGATAAATGTCATATATGTTGATAAATGTCATACATGTTGTAGAATGTTAAAGTGTCCTGGATCTTCACCACAGTCCAACAGTATGTAAGTTAGAAGTAATTCACGTCTGATTATCATGTGGAGCTTTTGTGTGGTTTAATTAAAGTAAAAAGAACACCATAAAATCAGTTAATTGCAATGGAGACAGGCACAACAACTCTAACAGTGTGTCCCCAGATTCCCCTTGACAAGGAACATGTGTTTATAAGGACGTACAGGAGAAACAAGGGTCTCCCGAAAGTCCTAGAGATCAAAGTCTGATACAATCATCTATCACAAGCTACACAAAGATCACAAACCATGTTACTAAACACTATTGTATTGGCTACAGTACTTTATGCTGAATTTAGTCCCTTGTTTTTGTCTAAATTGATCAGTTTATATTTCTATGTCCACAGGGGGTTGCTTGGTGGAATGCGTATGTCAGTGGTGATGTCAATCAAACACAACACTATGATGTAGATGAAAACTTGTTGCATGATTCCCTAAGAAAAAAAATCTTCTTGAAACTAACAAATCTAAACTTCTCCCCGAGCCCGTCCTTAACTCTCTCACAGAACAGCTGTCATTATACTGACATTAGAATGCACTCTGAAGGACTATACAGAATAGTTAGTAAAAGTAATTGGTTGCACTCAGAGAAATGGGGACTAGAACAAAAATGTAATTCAGAATGTCTTTTTTTCATTCTAGGAGCAGTACCAGTTTTGTTACCGTGCAGTGTTAGACTACGTGGGCACCTTTGATCACTTGGATCCACCAAGAACATGAGGACAACCGGACTGAACCAAGCCAAACAAGGACTATCTTTACTGCAGTTCCCCTTCAAATGCCACATGAGACAATGTGACGTTCATTACCCCTGTTTGGTTCCAAATGTTAATTTAATTTAAGAAAGTGGGGTTAGAATTGCTTTCTATCGATGCCCACTTCTTTTCCTCTGACATGATGCTGACGATCCCATCAGAAGGCACGTCACAGAAGTGTTTGGTTCTGTTTGTTTGCTGCCGACTGGATTCAGGAACAATCGCCACTTCCCCTTGTCCCTGATTGGTTTGCACCTGCAAGCAGATATCCTGTTGGACTGCACAGAACCTCATCCCAGATAGATCTGATACAAAGTGCTTAGGATGGAAACCATGCTATTTTTAAGAGCATTTACCTGAATATTTTCTTTGAATCCGCAATGCAGATATGACAAAGACATCAACAGGTATGTTTTATGGGTTGAGAGGGCAGGGCTTTAGTGTCTGTGGCAGTCAAACAGCTCTCTGAAGATGGATAAAAACAGGTTAGACACATTTAAGACATTAAACAGTTGATTTTTTTCCATCTTGAAGATAACTCTCTGGTTTTTCATAATGTTACCCAGCAACCAGGTTTCACATTGGAACAAGACTGGATCATGCGTTGCAGCATATGCAGGACCAAAACTGTCAAAATTATGAATAAATAAATAAATGTCACATTCTGCCAAAAATTATTAAGATAACACGACAAATCATGATATTTAATAAATATATATTATTATTATAAAACGTTTTTTGGTTCCAAACAAAATAATAAAGCTTTATTATTGTTCTGTTCGTTCCAAGGTTAAGATTAAAATAAATATATTGTATTATTTAACTGCAGTTTTGTGCCAAAAGTAATAATAAAATCTCATTTTCTTTCTCCATGTATTTATTTTATTCATATTGTAATTTTATTGTTGTTCTGTTTCATTATTTCACGACACATTATTCTTTTCTTGTGTCTTGTAAAGCAATGCAAATGAGGGGGAGGAGCTACAGAAAGTTAGACCAAAGCAGTCTTTGAGAGGAGAGGAGGTCTGACCCACAGAGAGGAGGTCTGA